GAAATTTCCATGAAATCGAAATTATTGAGTTCAATTCAAAAATAAATTCTGAAAATATTTTTTTAAATAATTTTTATATTTTCAAATAACATGGATTTGTTTTTTAATTTTTTTCAAATCTTGATTTTATATCTTTTTTGAGAATATTATATTTTTCACACAGTTTACGACATTTGTGACACATTGTCAAAAACCCTGAAATCACCTCACAATTTATTTATAAGAATAAGTAATATGTTTGAGGCTGTTTTGTAAAAATTTACAAGCTGTATACGTTTTTGACATTTACGACAATTTGTCAAAAACTCAAAAAATGGTCACACAATCCATAATAACAACTTATTATAAATTTTTATCTCCCTTTCCGCATTTTTTATTTTGATAATCAATTTTTACACGATTTATACAGTTTTTGACTTTTGTGACATATTGTCAAAAACTTCAAAATCGCTCCAAAATGTATTTCTAAGAATAATTGGTGCATTTGAGGGCATTTTATATAGTTTTACCCACTTTTTTATGTTTTTGACATTTACGACATTTTGTCGAAAACTTCAAACTTGGCAATAAAAAGCATAATATCGAAGTATTATCCATTTCCAACTTCATTTCATACCTTTTTCCCTTCGATAATTGACTTTTTATATGTTTTATACATTATTATACGTTTTTGACAAAATGTCAAAAACCTCAAAATCATCAAATAATCTATTTCTTCGCATATTAAGTATGTTAAGGGGGTATTTTGCACAGTTTTCCAGGTTTTATACACTTTTGACATTTACGACATTTTGTCAAAAACTCCAAAAATGGCAAGAAAAACCCCTTCATAACAACAATTTATTATTTTTAGTGTCAATTCATACCTGTTTTCATTTGATAATTAATTTTTTATACGTTTTATACAGTTTATGACGTTTGTTACACAATGTCAAAAACTTGAAAATCACCCCACAATTTATTTGTAAGTGTAACTGATGTATTTAAGGGCAGTTTATATAATTTTACATGATTTGTTCCGTTTTTGACATTTACGACATTTTGTCGAAAAGTTCAAACTTGGCCATAAAAAGCAAAATATCGAAGTATTATCCATTTCCAACTTCATTTCATACCTTTTTCCCTTCGATAATTGACTTTTTACATGTTTTATACATTATTATACGTTTTTGACAAAATGTCAAAAACCTCAAAATCATCCCAATAGCTATTTCTCGATATGTTAAATGTGTTTGAGGGTATTTTGGACAGTTTTTCTAGGTTTTATACATTTTTGACATTTTGTCGAAAACTTCAAAAATGGTCAAAAACCTTTAAGAACAGCTCTTTATTAATTTTTATTGTCAAGTCATACCTATTTTCATAAGATAATCCATTTTTTACAGTTTTGACATTTGTGACACATTGTCAAAAACATCAAAATCATTCTAAAATTTGTTTAAAAGAATAAGTGAAGTGTTTGAGGGTATTTTTTATAGTTTTACAAGCTTTTTGACGTTTTTGACATTTACGACATTTTGTCGAAAACTCCAAAAAAAGGACATAGAAAGCATAATATCGATGTATTATCCATTTCCAACTTCATTTCATACCTTTTTCTCTTCGATAATTGACTTTTTACATGTTTTATACATTATTATACGTTTTTGACAAAATGTCAAAAACCTCAAAATCATCCCAATAGCTATTTCTCGATATGTTAAATGTGTTTAAGGGTATTTTGGACATTTTTTCCAGGTTTTATACATTTTTGACATTTACGACATTTTGTCAAAAAACTCGCAAAATGGTCAAACAACCATTAATAACAGCTCTTTATTAATTTTTATTGTCAAGTCATACCTATTTTCATATGATAATCCATTTTTTACACGTTTTATACAGTTTTTGACTTTTGTGACACATTGTCAAAAACTTCAAAATCATTCTAAAATTTGTTTAAAAGAATAAGTGAAAAGTTTGAGGGTATTTTATATAGTTTCACAAGTTTTTTGGCGTTTTTGACATTTACGACATTTTGTCAGAAACTCCAAAAATTGACATAAAAAGCATAATATCGATGAATTATACATTTCTAGCTTCATTGCATACCTTCGTCCCTTCGATAATTGACTTTTTACATGTTTTATACATTATTATACGTTTTTGACAAAATGTCAAAAACCTCAAAATTGTCACAAATTTTATTTCTTCGCATATTAAGTATGTTAAAGGGGTATTTTGGACATTTTTTCCAGGTTTTATACATTTTTGACATTTACGACATTTTGTCAAAAACTCCAAAAAGGGTCAAACAACCCTTTATAATAGTTTTTTATTCATTTTTATTGTCATTTCCCACATTTTTTCTTTTGATAACACACTTTTTACACGTTTTATACAGTTTTTGACTTTTGTGACACAATGTCAAAAACTTCAAAATCGCTCCAAAATGTATTTCTAAGAATAATTGGTGCATTTGAGGGCATTTTATATAGTTTTACACGCTTTTTGATGTTTTTGACATTTACGACATTTTGTCAAAAACTCAAAAAATTCAAATAAAAACCATAATATCGATGTATTATACATTTCTAGCTCCATTGCATACCTTTTTTCCTTCGATAATCGACTTTTTACATGTTTTATACATTAATATACGTTTTTGACAAAATGTCAAAAACCTCAAAATCATTCTAAAATTTGTTTCTAAGAATAATTTAAGTGTTTAAGGGCATTTTATATAGTTTAACAAGCTTTTTGACGTTTTTGACATTTACGACTTTTTGTCAAAAACTCAAAAAATTGACATAAAAAGCATAATATCGACGTATTATACATTTCTAGCTCCATTGCATACCTTTTTTCCTTCGATAATCGACTTTTTACATATTTTATACTTTATTATACGTTTTTGACAAAATGTCAAAAACATCAAAATCATCCCAATAGTTACTTCTCGATTTGTGAAATGTGTTTGAGGGTATTTGGAACAGTTTTTCTAGGTTTTATACATTTTTGACATTTACGACATTTTGTCGAAAACTCCAAAAATGGTCAAACAATCCTTAATAACAGCTCTTTATTAATTTTTATTGTCAATTCATACCTTTTGTACTTATGATTATCCATTTTTTACACCTTTTATACAGTTTATGACGTTTCTGTAAATCAGTGTAAAAGACCTGAAAATGAATTCCAAAATGTATTTCTAAAAATAATCGATGTGTTTCAAAATTTCTATATGAGTCATTGATAGGTACAGGTATTATTCAATGATGGGTTGATATAAATATTTTCATAATTTTTCAAAATTTTCATGTGAGTCACTGACAAATCGCAATCATTTGTTATTTTTTTTTAATTTCTAATTTTTTGAAAATAAATCGACGCCACACAGTACTTAAATCCAAGTTGATTAGAAAATATTGGCACAGTATTGCATCAGCCAGCCATCGGTATTAGTCCTCTACAATTTTCACCATGAACATTTTAATTTTGTGGACCCTGCTCTTGGGATTGATGGCCTTGCTTGGCAACAATATAACCGAGGCTCGAAAGAGGATGGTGAACCCAGCCTGCGCTGGAGTATTTTGTGATCGAGAACAAAAAAAAAACACAATGAAGAAGTCATTTGATTAAGGATTGTAAAGGAATGTGTAGACCTATCTAAAAAAATATATTTCTTATAAAAAAACAACAAAAAATAATAAAACTTAAACTTTGCCATCCTGAAACGTGGATTTTTTAAAAATATTTTTTCAAGGCTCATCCATAAACGTGGATTTTTTAAAAATATTTTTTCAAGGCTCATCCATAAACGTGGATTTTTTAAAAATATTTTTTCAAGGCTCATCCATAAACGTGGATTTTTTAAAAATATTTTTTCAAGGCTCATCCATAAACGTGGATTTTTTAAAAATATTTTTTCAAGGCTCATCCATAAACGTGGATTTTTTAAAAATATTTTTTCAAGGCTCATCCCTAAACGTGGATTTTTTAAAAATATTTTTTCAAGGCTCATCCATAAACGTGGATTTTTTAAAAATATTTTTTCAAGGCTCATCCATAACCGTGGATTTTTTAAAAATATTTTTTCAAGGCTCATCCATAAACGTGGATTTTTTAAAAATATTTTTTCAAGGCTCATCCATAAACGTGGATTTTTTAAAAATATTTTTTCAAGGCTCATCCATTAACATGTATTTTTTAAAAATATTTCTTCAAGGCTCATCCATAAACTTGGATTTTTTAAAATATTTTTTCAAGGCTCATCCATAAACGTGGATTTTTTAAAAATATTTTTTCAAGGCTCATCCATAAACGTGGATTTTTTAAAAATATTTTTTCAAGGCTCATCCATTAACATGTATTTTTTAAAAATATTTCTTCAAGGCTCATCCATAAACTTGGATTTTTTAAAATATTTTTTCAAGGCTCATCCATAAACGTGGATTTTTTAAAAATATTTTTTCAAGGCTCATCCATAAACGTGGATTTTTTAAAAATATTTTTTCAAGGCTCATCCATAAACGTGGATTTTTTAAAAATATTTTTTCAAGGCTCATCCATAAACGTGGATTTTTTAAAAATATTTTTTCAAGGCTCATCCATAAACGTGGATTTTTTAAAAATATTTTTTCAAGGCTCATCCATAAACGTGGATTTTTTAAAAATATTTTTTCAAGGCTCATCCATAAACGTGGATTTTTTAAAAATATTTTTCCAAGGGTCATCCTGAAACGTGGATTTTTTAAAAATATTTTTTCAAGGCTCATCCATAAACGAAAATTTAAAAAAAAAATTTTTTTCAAGGGTTATCCTGAAACTTGGATTTTTGAAAATATTTTTTCAAGGCTCATCCATAAACGTGGATTTTTTAAAAATATTTTTTCAAGGCTCATCCATAAACGTGGATTTTTTAAAAATATTTTTCCAAGGGTCATCCCGAAACACGGTTTTTCTTTCAATTTTGAACATTTTTAACAAATTATTCCAAGTCACAGATTTTTTTGAAATTTTTATGTTTTTATTTTTGTATATTTTTTTGCAAACATTAGTATATAATAAAATAAAATCATATTGACAACTTATTTCAATTCAAATCCGCCGATCGGCGATTACGAGCATAGAAGTAGGCAATCAGGCTGACCGCCAACAAAACTAACACAGCACAGCCGGAGAAAATGAGGATTTTATTTGTGATGGACTTCTGGGCGGATTTCGTAGTGCCAGCTAGTCGCACATCTGCGTTCACGTCGTCCCAGCTGCAATCGGCAAATGTTTCAACGACATGATTTGACGGACCCTTCGCCAAGCTGTGGGTGATTGTTGTGCGAGTTTCCTTTTTGGGGTTTGAATTGAATTTCTAAAAAAGTAAAAATATTTATTTAGTGTTGAAAAGTTTTGCAAACGGGGGAGGGGGCGTTGAATTTTGGTTCTCAAATACACTCACATCCTTGATACCCTTCCAGGCCTGCGATACCCAATTCGTTTTTTTATTCGACTTTTCCGGATTTTTCTGCTGTCCATTGCCGGGTACATTGACGTTTATGTTTACACTGGGATTTGAAGGAGGAGGGGCTGAATTTTGACTGCCAACAAAGACCTGGAAAATTTTGAAATATTGAATTTAGATTTTTTAAAAATATTTTTTCAAGGCTCATCTTGAAACGTGGATTTTTTAAAAATATTTTTTCAAGGCTCATCTTGAAACGTGGATTTTTTAAAAATATTTTTTCAAGGCTCATCTTGAAACGTGGATTTTTTAAAAATATTTTTTCAAGGCTCATCTTGAAACGTGGATTTTTTAAAAATATTTTTTCAAGGCTCATCTTGAAACGTGGATTTTTTAAAAATATTTTTTCAAGGCTCATCTTGAAACGTGGATTTTTTAAAAATATTTTTTCAAGGCTTATCTTGAAGCGTGGATTTTTTAAAAATATTTTTTCACGGGTCATCCATAATCGTGGATTTTTGAAAAATATTTTTTCAAGGCTCATCCATAAACGTAGAGTTTTTAAAAATATTTTTTCAAGGCTTATCTTGAAGCGTGGATTTTTTAAAAATATTTTTTCACGGGTCATCCATAAACGTGGATTTTTAAAAAATATTTTTTCAAGGCTCATCCATAAACGTAGATTTTTTAAAAATATTTTTTCAAGGCTCATCCATAAACGTGGATTTTTTAAAAATATATTTCAAGGCTCATCCATAAACGTGAATTTTCTAACAAAAATATTTTTCAAGGCTCATCCATAAACGTGGATTTTTTAAAAATATTTTTCAAGGCTCATCCATAAACGTGGATTTTTTAAAAATATTTTTCAAGGCTCATCCATAAACGTGGATTTTTTAAAAATATTTTTCAAGGCTCATCCATAAACGTGGATTTTTTAATAAATATTTTTCAAGGCTCATCCATAAACGTGGATTTTTTAAAAATATTTTTCAAGGCTCATCCATAAACGTGGATTTTTTAAAAATATTTTTCAAGGCTCATCCATAAACGTGGATTTTTCAAAAAATATTTTATCAAGACTCATCCATAAACGTGGTTTTTTTAAAAATATTTTTTCAAGGCTCATCCATAAACGTGGATTTTTCAAAAAATATTTTTTCAAGGCTCATCCATAAACGTGGATTTTTCAAAAAATATTTTTTCAAGGCTCATCCATTAACATGTATCTTTTAAAAATATTTTTTCAAGGCTCATCCATAAACGTGAATTTTTTAAAAAATTTTTTTCAAGGCTCATCCATAAACGTGAATTTTTTAAAAATATTTTTTCAAGGCTCATCTTGAAACGTCGATTTTTTAAAAATATTTTTTCAAGGCTCATCTGGAAACGTCGATTTTTTAAAAATATTTTTTCAAGGCTCATCTTGAAACGTGGATTTTTTAAAAATATTTTTTCAAGGCTCATCTTGAAACGTGGATTTTTTAAAAATATTTTTTCAAGGCTCATCCATAAACGTGGATTTTTTAAAAATATTTTTTCACGGCTCATCCATAAACGTGGATTTTTTAAAAATATTTTTTCACGGCTCATCCATAAACGTGGATTTTTTAAAAATATTTTTTCACGGCTCATCCATAAACGTGGATTTTTTAAAAATATTTTTTCACGGCTCATCCATAAACGTGGATTTTTTAAAAATATTTTTTCACGGCTCATCCATAAACGTGGATTTTTTAAAAATATTTTTTCACGGCTCATCCATAAACGTGGATTTTTTAAAAATATTTTTTCACGGCTCATCCATAAACGTGGATTTTTTAAAAATATTTTTTCACGGCTCATCCATAAACGTGGATTTTTTAAAAATATTTTTTCACGGCTCATCCATAAACGTGGATTTTTTAAAAATATTTTTCACGGCTCATCCATAAACGTGGATTTTTTAAAAATATTTTTTTTCAGTTTTGGATATGTTTTAACAAACTTTTCCAAAGCCACAGATTTTTTTGAATTTTGTATTTTTTTTATTAATTTTTTTTTATTTATTTTTTTATTTTTTTTTTGCAAACATTAGTATATAATAACATAAAATCATATCGACAACTTATTTCAATTCAAATCCGCCGATCGGCGATTACGAGCATAGAAGTTGGCAATCAGGCTGACCGCCAACAAAACTAACACAGCACAGCCGGAGAAAATGAGAATTTTATTTGTGATGGATTTCTGGGCGGATTTCGTAGTGCCAGCTAGTCGCACATCTGCGTTCACGTCGTCCCAGCTGTAATCGGCAAATGTTTCAACGACATGATTTGGCGGACCCTTCGCCAAGCTGTGGGTGATTGTTGTGCGAGTTTCCTTTTTGGGGTTTGAATTAAATTTCTAAAAAAGTAAGAATATTTATTTAGTGTTGAAAAGTTTGGCAAACGGGGGAGGGGGCGTTGAATTTTGGTTCTCAAATACACTTACATCCTTGATACCCTTCCAGGCCTGCGATACCCAACTCGATTTTTTATTCGACTTTTCCGGATTGTTCTGCTGTCCATTGTCGGGTAGATTGACGTTTATGTTTATACTGGGATTTGAAGGAGGAGGGGCCGAATTTTGACTGCCAACAAAGACCTGGAAAATTTTGAAATATTGAATTCAGATTTTTTAAAAATATTTTTTCAAGGCTCATCCATAAACGTGGATTTTTTAAAAATATTTTTTCAAGGCTCATCCATAAACGTGGACTTTTTAGAAATATTCTTTCAAAGCTTATCCTGAAATTTGGATCTTTTAAAAATATTTTTTCAAGGTTTATCCATAAACGTGGATTTTTTAAAAATATTTTTTCAAGGCTCATCCATAAACGTGGATTTTTTTAAAATATTTTTCAAAGCTCATCCATAAACGTGGATTTTTTAAAAATATTTTTTCAAGGCTCATCCAAAAACGTGGTTTTTTTAAAAATATTTTTTCAAGGCTCATCCATAAGCGAGGATTTTTTAAAAATATTTTTTCAAGGCTCATTCATAAACGTGGATTTTTTAAAAATATTTTTTCAAGTCTCATCCATAAACGTGGATTTTTTAAAAATATTTTTTCAAGTCTCATCCATAAACGTGGATTTTTTTAAAATATTTTTCAAAGCTCATCCATAAACGTGGATTTTTTAAAAATATTTTTTCAAGGCTCATCCAAAAACGTGGTTTTTTTAAAAATATTTTTTCAAGGCTCATCCATAAGCGAGGATTTTTTAAAAATATTTTTTCAAGGCTCATTCATAAACGTGGATTTTTTAAAAATATTTTTTCAAGGCTCATCCATAAACGTGGATTTTTTAAAAATATTTTTTCAAGGCTCATCCATAAACGTGGATTTTTTAAAAATATTTTTTCAAGGCTCATCCAAAAACGTGGATTTTTTAAAAATATTTTTTCAAGGCTCATCCATAAACGGGGATTTTTTAAAAATATTTTTTCAAGTCTCATCCATAAACGTGGATTTTTTAAAAATATTTTTTCAAGACTCATCCATAAACGTGGATTATTTAAAAATATTTTTTCAAGGCTCATCTTGAAACGTGGACTTTTTTAAGATACTTTAAAAAAGGAATTTTTACAGAAAATCAGAAAGTGGATTTTAAAAAAAGAATACAACCTACATATTTTGATAAAACATAAATTAAAGCCATCTAAACGTGGATTTAAAAAATATATATTTTTTTTTAAATTAAGGAATTTTTAAAAATATTTTTTTTGTTGCTAATTTAAAAAAATATATATTTTTTAAATATATTTGTTTCAATAGCAAAATATATATCTTGCAAAATATATATGTAATATATTCTCTAAAAGAATTAAGATATTTTAAAAATTATTTTTTTAAAAATCCATAAAAACGTGGATTTTTTAAAATATTTTTTTTAATGATCGAATAAAAAAATCAATTCCCCAAATATTTTTTTTCAATTCGTTCATTTTTTTAAAAATCTTGAATTATTAAAAAAAAATTAATAGAAATTTCGTATTTTTTAATTATTTTACCTTTGGTATAATTTCATTGGTTGTCACTTGAGCTGGGGTAGAAGACCTGCCACCGGCTCCAATATGTGTTGCATTTCTGGTGAAGTTCTGAAAAAATAAAAATTGGAATACTAAATCGGACCTAATTTACTGGGAGTAACATTTGTACCCACCATATTTGGCCGAGTGTTGTAGGGAAAAGCGTTGAGACTGGTATTCCGATAATTGCTGCCAACACGTCTGGGTCTCTAAAATAATAATGATTTTGAAATTGTTTTCCATTGTTTTTTTTTTTTTTTTGTATAAAAAAGTATTTTTATTTTACCATTTGGGGCCATTGCTGAGTATTATTGCGCCGTACATTGCCGCCAAAGCTAGTGGCATTTGTATTGATTCTCTAAAATTTTGAAATTGTATTCAAATTTGTTTTATTCATTTTTTTTTTTTTTTTTAATTTACCGTTTGAGGCCATTGTTGGGTATTATTACGACGTCCATTGCCATGCTGAGCTGGGTATAGGGGACGAGAGGCATTAACTTTCTGAAAAAAATAAAATTTTAAAAATTAAAAAAAAAATAAAAAGTTTAAAAATAAAAAGAAATTAAAAAAAATTTAAAAAAAAAATAAAAATTAAAAAAATAAAAATTAAAAAACATAAAAATTTAAAAAAAAAATAAAAAAGTTACAAATTGTGACCTTTTGTGGGGTAGGTACCAGAGTTTTTTTCATTTACCGTTTGAGACCATTGTTGGGTATTATTACGACGTCCATTGCCATGCTGAGCTGTGTATAGGGGACGAGAGGCATTAAATTTCTGAAAAAAAAAATAACATTTTAAAAATAAAAAAAAATAAAAATTAAAAAAAATATATATAAAAAAATAAAATTTTAAAAATTAAAAAAAATTAAAATTAAAAAAGAAATAAAAAAATAAAAAAGTTACAAATTTTGATACTTTATGGGGTAGGTACCAGAAGTGGAAAAATTGAAAAATTAAAAAAAAATTTAAAAAAGTTGACAAAAAATGTCAAAATTTTTACCCCTTTGTGGGGGAGGTACCTGAAGGAGTGGTTCGATATTTTCCACCTTCACACCAGATCTTGTGCTGATAGAAATATTGGGATGTACCGAGTTTGAAAGTAATCGAAGGCTTATTTCGCTTTTTATGAGACTTATATTTTTTCAAATTTATTAACCCCTTGTGAGGGAGGTACCTGAAGGAGTGGACCGATCTCTGCCATTTTCACACCCGATCTTGTGTTGATGGAAATATTGGGATGTGTCAAGTCTGAAGATAATCGGATGCTCATTTCACGTTTTATGAACCTTTTGGTTATTCAAAATATTGACTTCTTTGTGGGGGAGGTACCGGATGGAGTCGACCGATATATTCCACCTTCACACAAGATTTTGTGTTGATGGAAATTTTGACATGTGCCGATTTTGAAAGTAATCGGATGCTTACATCGCGTTTTATGAGCTTTTTGGGTTATTCAAAATTTTGACCTGTTGCGGGGGAGGTACCTCAAGGAGTGGTCCGATATCTACCATCTTCACATCAAGTCTTGCGTTGATAGAAACATTGAGATGTGCCGAGTTTGAAAGTAATCGGATGCTCATATTGCGTTTTATGAGCTTTTTGGGTTATTCAAAATATTGACCCGTTGTGGGGGAGGTACCTGAAGGAGTGGGCCGATAATTACCATCTTCACATCAGATCGTGTGTTGATAAAAATATTGACCGGTACCAAGTTTGAAAGTAATCGAAGGCTTATTTCGCTTTTTATGAGGCTTATATTTTTTCAAATATCTTAACCCCTTGTGGGGGAGGTATCAGAAGGAGTGGTCCGATATTTTCCATCTTCCCACCACATCTTGTGTTGATGGAAATATTGACAGGTGTCAAGTCTTAAGATAATCGGATGCTCATTTCGCGGTTTATAAGACTTTTGTATTATTCAAAATTTTGACCCGTTGTGGGGGAGGTACCAGAAGAAGTGGTCCGATATCTACCATCTTCACATTAGGTCTTGTGTTGATAGAAATATTGAGATGTGCCGGGTTTGAAGAGTCTTGGATGCTCATTTCGAGTTTTATGAGATTTTTGGGTTATTCAAAATTGTGACCCCTTTGTGGGGGAGGTACCTGAAGGGGTGGACCGATATCTACCATCTTCACACCAGATCTTGTGTTGATAGAAATATTTCCAAATGCCGATTTTGAAAGTAATAGGATGCTTACATTGAGTTTTATGAGCTTTTTGGGTTATTCAAAAATTTTGACTCCTTGTGGGGTAGGTACCTGAAGGAGTGGTCCGATATTTTCCACCTTCTCAACCGATCGTGTGTTGATAAAAACATTTCGCTCATTTCGGGTTTTATGAGATTTTTGTCTATTCAAAATTTTGACCCCTTTGTGGGGGAGGTACCAGATAGAGGGGACCGATACATAATATCTTTACACCACATCTTGCGTTGATAGAAATATTGGGGTATGTCGAGTATGAAAGTAATCGGATTCTTATTTCGCGTTTTATGAGATTTTTTTGTTATTCAAAATTTTGACCCGTTGTGGAGGAGGTACCAGAAGAAGTGCACCGATTTGGCCCATCTCCGAACTCGATCTAAGTTTGACAATAATATTACGATGTACCAAGTTTGGATCGAATCGGATACTTCTTTTGAAAGTTATCGAGCGCAGCAGTCAGTCTAGATAGGCGGACACCCACCCCTAAATCTCCTCCAAATGTCCTGAAACGGTTTTGGTCCAAAAAGACCTAGGATCTAAAAACATTTTTTCGATGAGGCATGTCTGGGTCATATCAAAAGGATGTATGCCCTCAGAAACCCTATGGCTATGACGGTATAAAAAAAAAATTGGAAAATTTGAAAATTTTTTCAAATTAAAAAAAAACCGCCTTGGCCTAGAATACGCAGCATTAATGATAAAATATTTTATTGATGAAAATATTTTAAAACTCACCGGTGCACTGTGGAAAGTGGGAACGACTCCAATTTTGGTTATGGCGGGACTCTGGAAAAAAAATTGCCAAAATTAGTTTCATTTTTTTTTCCTGCGACCTCTTGAATTCAACTCACCGCAACCATGGGCTTAGCAATCGGTTGTATTGGTCGTTTATTTCCTGGTCTTCTATAATTACCGCCATGTAACTAAAATAATTTTGTATTTATTTTTAGAACATAATTTTGGTATACGTATAAACTTACCGCCGCCGGAGGAGGTGGTGGTGGTGGAGGCGGAGGAGGTGCTGAGGCCAGCCTTGGTTGCTAAAAAAACAAAATTTAATAAAAAAATTATAAAAAAAAATATTTTTTTTGGTAATTCAAATTTTCCTTACATATCGAGTGGTTCCTCTATAATAGTTGGTACCCTACAAATAATTAAACAAAAAATTAAAAATTTTAAAAATTTTAAAAATTATAAAAAATAAAAAATTTTATTCAAAACACTCACTTTCGAAGAGCTCACCACAGAGCCTTGTTTTGGCGACTGAAAGAGAAATTAAAACAAGGAATTTATAAAAAAAAAAACATTTTTTAAAGGCTTCGAGATGAAGAGTCGTCTATTTTTTTTATTTTTGTTCTGTTTGTTTTTTAAAAGTAAATATTTTATTATTTGGTATGTTAAAACGTATTTAATTTATATTCATTATTATTTTTTTTTGAAATTCATTTTTTTTTTTTAAAAAAGAAAATTATATTATTTTTTTTTTGTTTTTTTTTTCAAAAAATAAAATATTTTAATTATTTTTTTTTTAAATTCGATTTTTTTTTCAAAGAAAATCTTAAAAAAAAGCTTTTTTAATAAAAAAAATATTTACTGAATTTTACTGATTTTTATATTAATTATTTTTTTAAATCAAAATTTTTTAAAAAAAATGTATATTAATTATTTTTTTAATTCAATTTTTTCAAAAAAAAATTAACAAAAAGCTTTTTTTAATAAAAAAAATATTTACTGAATTTTACCGATTTTTTATATTAATTTTTTTTAATTCAAAATTTAAAAAAAAAATTATATTAATTATTTTTTTTTTTAATTCAATTTTTTTTAAATATATATTAATTATTTTTTTTAAATTCAATTTTTTCAAAAAAAAAAATTTCACAATAAAGCTTTTTTTAATAAAAAAAATATTTACTGAATTTTACTGATTTTTTATATTAATTATTTTTTTTTTAAATTCAAAATTTTAAAAAAAAATTTATATTAATTATTTTTTTTAATTCAATTTTTTTCAAAAAAAAATATACTAATTATTTTTTTTAAATTCAATTTTTTCAAAAGAAATTTTAACAATAAAGCATTTTTTAATAAAAAAAATATTTACTGAGTTTTACAGATTTTTTATATTAATTATTTTGTTTTAATTCAAATTTAAAAAAAAAAATTATATTAATTATTTTTTTTAATTCAATTTTTTCAGAAAAAAATGTATTAATTTTCTTTTTTAAATTCAATTTTTTTCCAAAAAAAACGTTTTTGTTTTTTAATAAAAAAAAATTTAGTGCAATTAAAAAAAAAATTTTAAAACAAGTAAAAAATCTTTTAATTCGGCCGGGGCGAACTTTGAATACCCTTCACCATTTGGAACGATTTTGGCCATTTTCAAAAAAAAAAAAAATAAATAAATAAATAAAAATAAAATTCCTGTTAAATTCCTAAAAATACCGAATGTAGCTGTTATATTAGGATCTATACGACGACATGCACCTGCATAGGTAAATTTTGTCATAAGCCACCACAATATTCAAATGCGAAAATTAAAAAAAAATCGGTGAATAATGTCGCTAAAATCATCAAAATACCGAATATCGAGAGGTGCCGCTTTATGGGGGCTATACGAAGACGTGGACCGTCACAGACAATCTGCTGTCTTAGGCAGTGGTATCCATTTCGAACTTCAAATACCAAAACTGAAAGAATTCCGGTGAATAATGTCGCTAAAATCAACAAATTACCAGTTACCTATGCAGGTTCATGTCGTCGTATAGACCCTAATACAACACCTACATTCAATAATTTTAAGATTTTAACAGAATTTTTAATTTTTTTTTTTTTTTTTTTTTTTTTTGAAAATTTCACAAATTCTTTCCAAATAGTTTAGGGTATTTAAAGTTACCGAACTTACAGCTTTTATACTCATTAAAACTATGAAGCATTTCAAGGGTTTTGAATTCAAACCTTTTTTCATAGATTTTTTCCAGGATTTTTTTTTGTAAAATATTACTTTTTAAATTTGTGGATCAAACTTTCAAGGCGACAAAATTTATATTTAAGTTCTTTGGACGTTTATTTTTTATTTATGTTTTCAATCACATTTTTGAAAAATCTTCAAAATTTGTTTTTTTTTTTTTTTTTTTGATTGTTTTAATTTTTATATTTTTTTATTTTTGCTTTTTAATTTTGCCAATGCTCTTGGAAGATTAAAAATATAGTTTCTGGGCACCAGGACTTTTGAAAAATATTTTTCAAAAATTCCTAAAATTTTGAGACTATTTTCTAAAGAACAAAGGGAATATTTTTAACGATCCCAAAAATGATTTTTTTTAGTTTATATATTTTATATTTTTTTTTTTTTTTTTTTGAGTATATTCTCCAAACACTGTTAATTTTTACAATATATTTTTTATATATATTTTCAATTTTATTTTATATTTTTTTTAATTTTTTTTTTAATTTTTATTTTTATTTTAGTTTTTTTTTTAATTTTTTATTTATTTTTTTTTTTAATTTTCATTTCTTTAATTTTTTTTATATTATATTTTTCACAAAATTCTAAAATTTTGAGACTATTTTCTAAAGAAGAAGGGAATATTTTTATCGATCCTAGAAATGATTTTTTTATGTTTATATATTTTATAGAATTTTTTGAGTACAGTCTCCAAACACTGTTAATTTTTAAAATATATTTTTTCAATTTTATTTTATATATTTTTTTAATTTTTATTTAATATTATTTTACATTTTATTTTTTTAATTTATTAATTTTTTTTAATTTTTATTTTTTAATTTTTTATTTATTTTTTTTTTTAATTTTTTATTTTTTTTTTAATTTTTAATTTTGTTATTTTTTTTAATTTTTAAAATTTTTAAATGGTTCCCAAATTTCTATAGTTATTTTTTCCCTGCCTAGCGTAAAGAATCCTTAAATTTTCCACACACACACACACTTACATAGCCACTACGATTCCTTATACTGTTGCCACTATTTCCACCTCTCGTTGTTCGCCTCACCAAGACATTTTCACAGTTGCTCAGGAAAAATATTAGACAACCGAATAAGAAAATCCACTTGATATGCATTTTTCAGGACTCGGACGAACAAATGAACGTACGACTAAAAATCCACGCTTCAACTGAATGGCAAAAATGGAAAATCTTTAGATTTTATATCAACGCCAGCGTCAAAGAAAATTAAAAATAAAAAATGATTTATTTATTTATTTATTTTTTTTTTTTTTTTTTTTTCTAAAGACCATGATTTATTTTCTGTAAAAATAATTTAACCACATCCATATTCATGGGTGATATATATTTTTTTCTATTTTCAAAACGATGAACTCTGTTTGGAAACGTGATTAAGCCTGTTGAGGTGATGTTTTTATATTCTGTGTGGATTTTGAAGAATATTTTCGTATGACTTCTGGAGTCGTTAGGACACATTTTTGAAGGCCTCTGGGATTTTTTTATTATTTTCTCAAGGCTCTCGGATTATTAAGAAATTTTTGGAAGGTTTCAGAATTTTTTAGAAAACTTTTCGGGATCCTGAAATTCTTAGGATATTTTGAAAATTATCGAATTTAAATTTTTTTGGTTCTAAAATTTTTAAGATTTTATTATTTAAAAATTTTTATTTATTTTTTAAGATTTTTCTTATTTTTTAAGATTTTTTTTTATTAAAAAAAAATTGAAAATATTTTTAAGGATTTTTTTTTTTTTTTTTTATTGTAAAATATTTTTGACAAAACTCCAATATTTTATATATCTCGGATTTGTCTAACATATTTTAAGGCTTCTGAGAATTTTAAGTTTTTTTTTTTTTTTTTGGTTTTAAAATTTCTAAGAATTTTTAGATTTTATTATTTAATTTTTTTATTTATTTTTCCAGATTTTTATTTTTTTATTTTTTTTTTAATTTTTAAAAATTTGAAAATATTTTTAAAGATTTTTTTATTTTTAATTTTTTTTGACAAAACTCCAATATTTCATATATATCGGATTTGTCTAAAATATTTTAAGGCTTCTGAGAATTTTTGTCAGGCCTATATTATTATTATTTTTAAGGCTTTAGAATTTTTAAGTTTTTTTTTTAATATTTTTGAATTTTAATTAAAATTTTCAGTGCTCTTGGATTATTAAGAAATTTTTTGCTAGGCTTCAGATTTTTAAGAAAAATGTTCGGGGGCCTGCCATTTTTTTTGGAATATTTTTGAAGATTGCCGAATCTTGAGTATTTTTTTGTCGCTCTAATTTTTTTAAGATTTTTTATTTTATTTTTAAAAAATCTGAGAAAATGTTTAAGGTTGTTTTTCTAGTTTTTTTAAAAATAGTTGACAAAGCTCTAATATTTCATGAATAGATAAAATAGTTGTTTTTGGTTTCAAAAATTTTGAGATTTTTTCAAGCCAAGGTGAGATGAAAAAACTGCAACCAACTTCAGACTGCTGTCATTTCTAAGCCACTCGTCCGACAGCTGTTCCAAATTATTTCAGTCATAGCTCATTATATTGTTTACAAGCGTTGAAAAGCATTTTGGTGAGAATTTTCCAGAAAAAAAGTTATTCGTGGTTCGGAATTCAAGCGTGATATCGTGATTTCTTTCGAATTTGGCTGGAAAAGCACAAGTGGCTAGAGCACTCCAGCATTTAAATGTGAATAAATCTTTTGTGCCTCGTACCATCGCTCATTACCGTGATACTGATAGCCCAACCTCAAGGAAGTGGACGGAAGAAAACAGCAACATCGGCAGAAATTGTTTTAAAAAGTAAAGAAGCGACTGGAACGAAACCAGCGTTTTTTTTTCCAAAATTCCTACAATTTTTAGACTTTTTTCTGAAGAAGAATAATTTAATAATTTTGTTTTTTTTTTCTTCAGAAAATGCATTGTTAATAGAATTTTAAAAATATTGTTTTCAAGATCTTTTTAATGCTTTTTCCAAACACTTTTTAATTTTAAAATATATTTTTTATATTTTTTTCTTTATATTTTATTTTATTTTTTTTAATCGAAGCTCATGGATTATTAAAATGATGATTATAACTATGGCGTTTGACTTTTTTGCAGTTTTTTTCACATCACCCTGTATGCATTATATTTTATATAATTTAATTTGAATTTTTTTAAGCTCCTTGATTTTTCAAAATACATTTTTAATGCACCCGTAACTTTTAATTATGGCTCCGAAACAATTTTGAATTTTAAAATATATTTTTTATAACATTTATTTTTTCTTCAATTTTAAGTATTTTTTTTTTTTTTTCTAAAATTTTCAAAGCTCTTGGTTTATTAAAAATATTGTTTCTGGGCTCTAGGACTTCTAAAAATATTTTTTGAAAATTCATACAATTTTGAGACTATTTTCTGAAGAAGAACGGAATATTTTTTAATAGTTTTAGGTTTTTTTTTTTTTTTTTGAGAAAATTCATTGATAATATAATTTTAAAAATATTGTTTCCAAAAACTTTTTAATTTTAAAATACATTTTTTATAATTTTTATTTATTTTTTATTTTGTTTTAATTTTTTTTTTTTTAATTTTTCAAAGCTCATGTATTATTAAAAATATTGTTTCTGGGCTTCAGGACTTTTAAAAATATTTTTCCAAAATTCCTAAAATTTTGAGACTATTTTCTAAAGAATAACGGACAATTTTTTAATAATCCTATATAGAAAATTCATTGATAACTGCAGAATTTTAAAAGCAATGTTTTTAAGATCTTTTTAATTTCTTTTGCAAACCCCATTTTAATTTTAAAATATATTTTTTATAATTTTTATTTTTTTCTTTTCTTTTCTTTTATTTTTATTTTTTAATTTTTCAAAGCTCATGGATTATTTAAAGTATTGTTTCTGGGCTCTAGGATTTCTAAAAATATTTTTCGAAAATTCCTACAATTTTGAAACTATTTTCTGAAGAAGAACGGAATATTTTTTAATAATTTTGGGTTTTTTTTTTGAGAAAATTCATTGATAATATAATTTTAAAAATATTGTTTCCAAACACTTTTTAATTTTAAAATATATTTTTTTATAATTTTTATTTATTTTTTATTTTATTTTATTTTAATTTTTTTATTTTTTTTTTTTTAATTTTTCAAAGCTCATGGATTATTAAAAATATTGTTTCTGGCCTCTAGGACTTCTAAAAATATTTTTCGAAAATTCCTATCATTTTGAGACTATTTTCTGAAGAAGAACGGAATATTTTTTAATAATTTTAGGTTTTTTTTCAGAAAATCATTGATAATAGAATTTTAAAAATATTGTTTCCAAACACTTTTTAATTTTAAAATATATTTTTTATAATTTTTATTTTTTTTTTTTTTTTTCTTTATTTTTACTTTTATTTTAATTTTTTTTTTAATTTTTCAAAGCTCAAGGATTATTAAAAATATTGTTTCTGGGCTTCAGGACTTCAGGGCTTTTAAAAATATTATTCAAAAATTTCTAAAATTTCGGGACTATTTTCTAAAGAAAGACGGAATATTTTTTAATAACCCTAAATTTTTCAGAAAATTCATTGATAACTGCAGTATTTTAAAAGCATTGTTTTCAAGATCTTTTTAATTCCTTTTCCAAACACTTTTTAATTTTAAGATACATTTTTTTATAATTTTTATTTTTTTCTTTATTTTTTATTTTTTTTTTTTTAAATTTTTCAAAGCTCAAGGATTATTAAAATATTTTTTCTGGGCTCCAGGACTCTCAAAAATATTTTTCCAAAACTCCTAAAATTTTGAGACTATTTTCTAAAGATTAACGGAATATTTTTGTTTTTCATTGTTTTCAAGATCTTTTTTAATTCCTTTTCTAAACCATTTTTAATTTTAAGATATTTTTTTATAATTTTTATTTATTATTTTTTATTTTTTTAATTTTTCTTCTTATTTTTTATTTATTTCTTAAAATTTTTATTTTATTTTTTGAAGTTTTCAAGCTCTTGGATTATTAAAAATATTGCTTCTGGGCTCCAATATCCCTAAAACTTTGAGAATATTTCTTAAAGAAGATGGGGATATTTTTTTAATAATCCTAGATTTTTTTCAGAAAATTAATTGATAGATTTCTAAAAGTATTATTTTACTTATTTGGTTAATTGTTTGGCTTAATGTCATTAAAAAACAATTTTTATTTTATTTTTGATTTTTTTTTTATTATTTTCAAAATTCTGGAGGATTTCAAGGGTTTTGAATTCTAACATTTTTTCATAGATAATTTCCCGGATTTTTTATTTAATATTATTTCTATTTTTTTATTAATTTTCATTTTTTCCCAATTTTTATAGCTATTTTCCCTGCCTAGTGTAAAGGATTCTTGATTTGTCCACTCACGCATAGCCATTTTAATTTTTAATTAATTTTTAAATATTTTTTAAGTTTTTGGTTGTGTAAAAAATAAAACTTTCAGTGCTCTTGGATTATAAAGATTATTATTTAAAAGGTCTCAGTGGTTTTACGATTTTTGTAGGTTTCTAAAAACGTTTAGGGAAGAATTTTCAGCTTATTTTAAATTTTTAATGCATTCATTTAATTCTTATTTTTTTTTTTTTTTATTTTATATTTTAATTTTGTTATTATTTTTAAAAAAGATTTGAAAAAATCTCGGCTTCAAGATGTGTTGAAAAATATTTCTAAAAATTTCTAGTTTTTTAAGCATTGTTCTCAGGGCTACCAAAGACTAACAATCCTTCACAGTAATTTATTTTGAATATTTATATAATTAAATGTATATAATTACAAAAATACAACATGACTGCGATCGTTGCCAGTATGACTACTACACAGCTGAAATAAACAATTATGTGCAATCTTATACAAATTGTGATATTATCATTCGTGTTATACGAGCTCCGAATAATATGGTTTTCCATTTTCGAATTGCTGGAAAGATGTGGCGATTTCTAAAAAATAATGAGAAAAATAAATAAATAAAAATTAAATACTTATTTCAAATACTCACATCTCTACTACATTCTTGTAAATTGTCAATATTCTCCACACTAATCCATGAGTGTCCTCGGATATCCTCTCTACCATGACCAATTGAGAACAACACAAAAAGGCAGCCATAAAAGAAAATCAACTTGAAATCCATTTCTTTCAATATCAATATCCATGCAATGGATAAGGGAAAACTTGATGGTGAACTTTCTCAAACCCCTTTTAGTTGTATACTAAAGAGGAACTGGATTCCCCAATGCTATAAAACCTCAAGAAGAAAATTGAAAATAACACTACAATTCCTTTGCTGGCAAAAATACACATTTTTGGTCTATTTATAGATAAACCTCAAAGGAAAGAAACAAAACGGCCGGGTAGGAGTGGACTTATGATATCGTACAACGCCCTCAATGTGAAAATAGCCTTCACTCAATTTTAATATAACTCTAAGAATTCAAAAATTATAACGCTGTAGTATATATCAATGAAATATTAGAGATACTTTAGGTATATAAATCAAAAAATACGTTTAAGGAAAAATTTTAGGAAGTTTTGAAAATCGGGTAAAATGCCTATTAAGTCTTGATTTTTGGTATTTAGTGTCAATGGAAAAAATGTTCTACATCAAATTTCAATATGGGTTCCCAAACAATTCAAAACTGTATATCCAATAAATATTACAAAAATACTAACAACGAATTGATTATGTTTTAAAAAAAGTGTCTTATTAATATTTTAGGTTAGTTTTGGATTTGGGCCAAAAAGACCCTCAAAACTTCATTTTAGAGGATTTGTGTCAATGGTAAATGTATTCTACATCAAATTTCACTATGGGTCACCTTACAAATGAAATCGATTAAATTAATAAATATCAATATAAATTACTATAAGAACTTGGGGATATAAATAGATTGTCGATTTTTGGAAATTAAATGACTAATTTTCTGTTTGCCATAATTCGTCCATCAAAACTTAATTTTAGGGGATTAATACCAATGGAAAAAAAATTCTGCATCGTATTATAGTATTAGTTCTAGAACAATTCAAAACTGTAAATGTAATAAATATTATAAAAATACTAACAACAAATTGATTAAAAATGTGTCTAATTAAAATTTTAGTTTAGTTTTGGATTTGAGCCAAAAAGACCCTCAAAACTTCATTTTAGTGGATTAGTGTCAATGGAAAATGTATTCTACATCAAATTTCACTATGGGTCTCCTTATAAATGAAATCGATATGAATAACAAATATTAACAAAAATAACAATAATAAATTGGGTACATAAATATAGTTTAGATTTTCCGAAATTCAATGACTACTTTTCTGTTTGCCATAATTAGTCCATCAAAACCTCATTTTAGGGAGTTGATACCAATGTAAAAAATATTCTACATGGTATTTCAGTATAGGTTCAAGAACAATTCAAAACTGTAAATCTAATAAATATTACAAAAATACCAACAACAAATTGATCAATTTTTCAAAAATGTGTCTTATTAAAATTTTAGGTTAGTTTTGGATTTGAGGCAATAAGACCCTCAAAACTTCATTTTAGTGGATTCGGGTCAATGGAAAAAGTATTCTATATCAAATTTCACTATGGGTCTCCTTACAAATGAAATCGATATAAATAATAAATATCAACAAAAATAACAATAATAAATTGGGTACATAAATATAGTGTCGATTTTTGGAAATTAAATGACTACTTTTCTGTTTGCCATAATTATTCCATCAAAACTTCATTTTAGGGGGTTAGTACCGATGGGAAAAATATTTTACATCGTATTTCAGTATAAGTTCTTGAATATTTGAAAACTGGAAATCTAATAAATATTACAAAAATACCAACAACAAATTGATTATATTTATAAAAAATTTAAATGTTTGGCTAGTTTTGGATTTGAGGCAAAAAGACCCTCAAAGCTTCATTTCCGTGAATTTATGTCAATACAAAACGTATTCTACATCAAATTTCACTATGAATCTCCTTACAAAAGAAATAGATTTAATTAATAAATATCGATATAATCTACGATAAGAACTTGAACATGAGATACATAAAATACTTATTCAGCATTTTGAGGTTAGTTTTTTGAATTGGACCAAAATGTCCCTATAGAGACCGTTTTAGGTAGTTGGTTTCAATGACAAATATATCGTGCATCAAATTTTAGTACTAGCTTCCATACAACAAAAATCTGTAAGTACAATATATTTTTATAAAATACGTCTAACAAATTAGGCGCATGAACATAAAATACTTATTAACAATTTTGGGGTTAGTTTTTGGATTTGGACCAAAATGTCATTCTAGACCCCATTTTTGGAGGTTGGTGTCAATGGCAAATGTGTTGTGCATCAAATTTTAGTAAAAGCTTCCATACAACAAAAATATGTAAACATGATAGATTTTGATAAAATAAGTCTAACAAATTAGGAATACGAACATAAAATACTTATTAGTAATTTTGAGTTTAGTTTTTGGAGTTGGGCCAAAATGTCCCTCTAGAGACCGTTTTAGCGGGTTTGCGTCAATGGCAAATGTGTTGTGCATAAAATTTTAGTACTAGCTTCCATACAACAAAAATTTGTAAGTACAATATATTTTTTATAAAATAAGTCTAACAAATTTAGGTGCATGAACATAAAATACTTATTAACAATTTAAAGGATAATTTTTGGAATTGGGCCAAAATGTCCCTCTAGAGGCCATTTTTGGGGGTTGGTGTCAATGGCAAATGTGTTTTGAATCGAATTTCAGTATCACTTTCCATACAACAAAAATTTGTAAAGAAAATAGATTTTGATAAAATAAGTCTAACAAATTAGGAATACGAACATAAAATGCTTATTAGGAATTTTGAGTTTAGTTTTTGGAATTGGGCCAAAATGTCCCTCTAGACCCCATTTTTGGTGGTTGGTGTCAATGGCAAATGTGTTGTGCATCAAATTTTAGTACTAGCTTCCATGCAACAAAAATCTGTAAGTACAATAATTTTTCATAAAATATATCTAACAATTTAGGTACATGAACATAAAATACTTATTAACAATTTTGAGATTAGTTTTTGGAATTGGGCCAAAATGTCCCTCAAGACACAATTTTTGGTGCTTGGTGTCTTTGACAAAAATATTCTGCATCAAATTTTAGTATGGGTCTGCCAATAAAGGAAATCTGTAATTGTAATAAATTCTGATAAAAAATGGCTCATAAATTAGGTATATGAACAAAAAATACTAACTCACATTTTTAAGGTTAGGTTTCGAAATTCCACCAAAATATCACACAAGACATGCTATAAGGACTTTGGTGGCAATGGCAAAAGTTTTCTACATAAAATTCTACTAGAGGTCTGCAAACAAGAGAAATCTGTAAAAATAATATTTGAGTCGAAAATCAATGGTTACAAATTCTTTTGCACATATTTTAAGTAGTTCTCGATAATGCTCCAAAATAACCCTTTAGACATTATTTCAGGGAGTTGATGTTAACGGCAAAATTGCTCCGCATCGAATTTCACTATGGGTCTGGGAACAACAGATATCTGTAAAAATAATATTTAAATAAAAAATTTATAGAAAACAATCAGTTGTAAATATTTCAGGGTGGTTTTGGAATTGCACCTAAATAACCATATAGACATCCTTTTAGCGGTTTGGTGTCAACGACAAAAATATTCTTCATCGAATTTCAGTAGGATCCTGCAATCAATGAAAATCTGTAAATATAATAAATTCTGATAAATAATGGCTCATAAATTAGGTATAAAGTACTTACACACCCATTTAAGGTTAGGTTTCGAAATTCCACCAAAATATCACCCAAGACATGTCATAAGGACTTTGATGGCAATGGCAAAGGTGTTCTACATAAAATTCTACTAGAGGTCTGCAAACAAGAGAAATCTGTAAAAATAATATTTGAGTCGAAAATCAATGGCTACAAATTTACTTGCACATATTTTTAAGTAGTTCTCGATAATGCTCCAAAATAACCCTTTAGACATTATTTCAGGGAGTTGATGTTAACGGCAAAATTGCTCCGCATCGAATTTCACTATGGGTCTGGGAACAACAGATATCTGTACCAATAATATTTAAGTAAAAAATTAATAGAAAACATTCAATTGTAAATATTTCAGGGTGGTTTTGGGAATTGCACCAAAATAACCATCTAGACATCCTTTTAACGGGTTATTGTCAATGACAAAAATATTCTACATCGAATTTCAGTAGGAGCCTGCAAACAATGAAAATCTGTAAATATAATAAATTCTGATAAATAATGGCTCATAAATTAGGTATAAAGTACTTACACACCCATTTAAGGTTAGGTTTCGAAATTCCACCAAAATATCACCCAAGACATGCTATAAGGACTTTGATGGCAATGGCAAAAGTGTTCTACATCAAATTCTACTAGAGGTCTGCAAACAAGAGAAATGTGTAAAAATAATATTTGAGTCGAAAATCAATGGTTACAAATTCTCTTGCGTTATTTTTAAGTAGTTTTTGACATTGTTCCAAAATAACCCTTTAGACATTATTTCAGGGAGTTGATGTTAACGGCAAAATTGCTCTGCATCAAATTTCACTTTGGGTCTGCGAACAAAAGATAACTGTAAAAATAATATTTAAGTAAAAAATTCATAGAAAACACTCAATGAAAATATTTCAGGGTTGTTTTTGAAATTGCACCAAAATAACCATCTAGTCATCCTTTTAGCGGGTTGGTGTCAATGACAAAAATATTCTTCATCGAATTTCAGTAGGAGCCTGCAAACAATGAAAATCTGTAAATATAATAAATTCTGATAAATAATGGCTCATAAATTAGGTATAAAGTACTTACACATCCATTTAAGGTTAGGTTTCGAAATTCCACCAAAATATCACCCAAGACATGCTATAAGGACTTTGATGGCAATGGCAAAAGTGTTCTACATCAAATTCTACTCGAGATCTGCAAACAAGAGAAATGTGTAAAAATATTATTTAAGTCGAAAATCAATGGTTACAAATTTACTTGCACATATTTTTAAGTAGTTGTGATAATGCTCCAAAATAACCCTTTAGACATCATTTTAGGGAGTTGATGTTAATGGAAAAATTGTTCTGCATCAAATTTTACTGCGGGTCTTCAAACAACAGATATCTGTAAACATAATATTTAAGTAAAAAATAACAGAAAACTATCATGTGTAAATATTTCAAGGTAGTTTTTGGGAATTGCACCTAAATAACCATGTAGACATCCTTTTAGCGGGTTGGTGTCAATGACAAAAATATTCTACATCGAATTTCAGTAGGAGCCTGTAAACAAGAGATAAATGTAAACATAATATTTAAGTAAAGAATTAATGGTAACAAATTCATTTACAAAAAAAAATTTGGAAGTTTTCCAATTTCTACCAAAATGTCCCTCATGACGTCCTATTAGGAGATTGGTGCCAATGGCAAATATGTTCTGCATCAAATTTCACTATGAGTCTCCAAACACAAGAAATCTGTAAATAAAATATTTAATTAAAAAATCCATGGTAACAAATTTATTGAAAAATATTCTATTTAAATTCTCATTTTAATTTCCATTTTTAAATTATCCCTCCTTTCTGTTGTTTACATGAATCACTGACCTTAACCACATTGTTTCTTACTTCGTTCTTAATCATATTTAAAAATAAATAAATAAAAAATATATAAATGCATCAAACCAGATCAGTTAGGAAATAGTTGCTGACACGGCATCCATCCATTTACATGCTTAGCAATGCAGATTTCTAAGCATATCTCCTTTATGTGTATTATTTGTTTAATATTGGCGGTCATTCCTCTCGAGGCCAGGGCAAAGGGAAGCAAGGTACAGCATGCCCATGCTAAATCAGCTGTAAGTTAAACACTCAATTTTCCATTTTAAAGAATATATTGGAATGCTTTTCTTATTCTGTTTTTAGGTATCGAAGCCAAAAAGGCAAAGGATATTGCCGCCAGTGGGATCAAATCTTATAGATGTGTTTTCGTAGTTGCTTAACAAAATTGTCGATGCTATAACGACTTGAAAATGTTATTTAGAATTGGCGCAAAGAAATATGAGAATCTAAATTATAGAGTTCATCCTTCGATGTTTATTCCTTGTGGTATAAAATGTAGAAAGATTCCATTAATTGAATACTCCATTGATTCAGATTTTAAAATTGTTTTTCTTTTTTATTAAAATCACGTTCCATTGTTCTTAAGCCTCTTTAATTTCTAATTGCATTTAAAACTATTCCGCCTTGTTTTTTTTTTCCAAATTTACTTCTTCTTTTTGTGTTTCAATTTGTCCAACAACGATGTGACGGGTCCAATCAATGTGAAGAGCAACACCAATCCGGAAGCCAAGACAAATGCTGGAATGGCACTGTTATCAACATATTTAACAAAGAATGGAGTATAGTAGCCCAATATCACGGTGACCATGGCCACAGTAAATCCAATAATGCCAAACAAATTGTGACGATATTTAATCTCAGCCTGTGAATAGATTTTGTGGGCAAATTTCGGTTGGAAGAAGTTGACGGTGCCACCCAAGAGACTGGCGGCGCACAAAAATGTTGAAGCGAGACCTATAAAGAATATAAATGATTAAATGTTTAAATATAATTTTAATATGGAGAAAAACCTACCGATCTTGCCATGCCATGTGGTAAAATGTACTTCTGTGGATTGAATTTTACCCAAAGCTCCCAGGAGGGCCATAGAACCACCAATTACTTGTAATATGCCATGAAAGCGGGATTTGTTGCGATGTGATAGTTTACTGGTCACAGGGTTATGGGCATAATGGGACATCAGGGCCTCGGCTGCCAAAAAGTGCCACTGAAATGGAGAGAATACAAATTAAAAAACAATGACTAGAGATATTCCAATGAAGTTTTTTATAAAAAAAAAATTTTCAAAGGAGCTACAAGAGTGGATTTTTTTAAATATTTTTCTCAAGTCAAAAAAATATTAAAAAAAAATTAAAATATTTTTTTAAGGCCACCAAAAACGTTGATTTTTTAAGGCAACTACAAAAGTGGATTCTTTAAAAAAATATTTTTTCAAGCCCAATACAAACGTGGAATCTTTAAAAAAATATTTTTTCAAGCCCCATATAAACGTGGATTCTTAAGAAAATATTTTTTTAAGAAAATGACAAACATGGATTTTTAAAAAATATTTTTTTAAGAGAAACTTCAAATGTGAATTTTTTAAAAAATATTTTTTTTTAACTTCAACTACAAACGTCGAATTTTTAATTTTTTTTTTTAAATTCAACTACAAACGTGGTTTTTTTAAATTCAACTACAAATGTGGATTTTTTTTAAAATAATTTTTTTAAGTTCCATACAAACGTGGATTTTTTTAAAAATACTTTTTAAAGTCAACTACAAACATTGATTTTTTAAAAACTATTTTTTCAAGTCCCATACAAATGTGAATTTTTTAAAAAATATTTTTCAAAAAAACAACAAACGTGGATTTTTTAAAAAATATTTTTTCAAGTCCCATACAAACGTGGATTTTTTAAAAAAATATTTTTTTAAGAAAACAACAAACGTGGATTTAAAAAAAAATATTTTTTTAAGAAAACAACAAACGTGGATTTAAAAAAAAATATTTTTTTAAGAAAACAACAAACGTGGATTTAAAAAAAAAATATTTTTTTAAGAAAACAACAAACGTGGATTTAAAAAAAAAATATTTTTTTAAGAAAAGAACAAACGTGGATTTAAAAAAAAAATATTTTTTTAAGAAAACAACAAACGTGGATTTTTTTAAAAAATATTTCTTTAAGAAAACAACAAACGTGGATTTTTTTAAAAAATATTTTTTAAAGTCTCATACAAACGTGGATTTTTTTAAAAAATATTTTTTAAAGTCTCATACAAACGTGGATTTTTTTAAAAAATATTTTTTAAAGTCTCATACAAACGTGGATTTTTTTAAAAAATATTTTTTTAAGAAAACAACAAACGTGGATTTTTTTAAAAAATATTTTTTAAAGTCTCATATAAACGTGGATTTTTTTAAAAAATATTTTTAAAATCTCATACAAACGTGGATTTTTTAAAAAATATTTTTTAAAGTCTCAAACGTGGATTTTTTTTTTAAATATTTTTTAAAGTCTCAAACGTGGATTTTTTTTTAAATATTTTTAAAATCTCATACAAACGTGGGTTTTTTAAAAAAATATTTTTTTTAAGAAAACAACAAACGTGGATTTTTTAAAAAATATTTTTTTTAAGAAAACAACAAACGTGGATTTAAAAAAAATATTTTTTTAATAAAACAACAAACGTGAATTTTTTAAAAAAATATTTTTTTTAATAAAACAACAAACGTGGATTTTTTAAAAAATACTTTTTTAAGAAAACAACAAACGTGGATTTTTTAAAAAATATTTTTTTAAGAAAACAACAAACGTGGATTTTTTACAAAATATTTTTATAAGAAAACAACAAACGTGGATTTTTTAAAAAATATTTTTTTTTAAGAAAACAACAAACGTGGATTTTTTAAAAAATATTTTTTTAAGAAAACAACAAACGTGGATTTTTAAAAAAATATTTTTTTAAGAAATCAACAAACGTGGATTTTTTAAAAAAATATTTTTTTAAGAATACAACAAACGTGGATTTTTTAAAAAAATATTTTTTTAAGAAAACAACAAACGTGGATTTTTTAAAAAAAATATTTTTTTAAGAAAACAACAAACGTGGATTTTTTAAAAAAATATTTTTTTAAGAAAACAACAAACGTGGATTTTTTAAAAAAATATTTTTTTAAGAAAACAACAAACGTGGATTTTTTAAAAAAATATTTTTTTAAGAAAACAACAAACGTGGATTTTTTAAAAAAATATTTTTTTAAGAAAACAACAAACGTGGATTTTTTAAAAAAATATTTTTTTAAGAAAACAACAAACGTGGATTTTTTAAAAAAATATTTTTTTAAGAAAACAACAAACGTGGATTTTTTAAAAAAATATTTTTTTAAGAAAACAACAAACGTGGATTTCTTAAAAAAATATTTTTTTAAGAAAACAACAAACGTGGATTTTTTAAAAAAATATTTTTTTAAGAAAACAACAAACGTGGATTTTTTAAAAAAATATTTTTTTAAGAAAACAACAAACGTGGATTTTTTAAAAATATTTTTTCAAATCCTATACAAACGTGATTTTTTTAAAATATATTTTTTCAAGTCCCATACAAACGTGGATTTTTTAAAAATATTTTTTCAAATCCTATACAAACGTGGATTTTTTAAAAAATATTTTTTTAAGAAAACAACAAACGTGGATTTTTTAAAAAATATTTTTTTATGAAAACAACAAACGTGGATTTTTTAAAAAATATTTTTTGGAGACAACTACAAACGTGGATTTTTTAAAAATATTTTTAGGAGGCAACTACAAACGTGGATTTTTTAAAAAATATTTTTTGGAGGCAACTACAAACGTGGATTTTTTTAAAAATATTTTTGTAAGGCAATTTCAAACGTGGATTTCTTAAAAAAAATATTTTTTAAAAGCAAACTTCAAACGTGGATTTTTTTAAATATTTTTTAAAAGCAACTTCAAACGTGGATTTTTTTTTTAATATTACTAAAAGTAACTTCATACGTGGATTTAAAAAAATAAAAATTATTTTTTTTTAAATTCAACATCAAACGTTAAACGTTTTTTTTTTTAACTTTTAAAAAAGTAAAAACTTTTTTTTTTAGGTAATTTCCAATATTTTGAAATATTCTTCTAGAGAATATTTTTTAATAATATTAGATTTTTATAGATTGTTTTCTCCACTGTATTGTTCTAAATTTATACTTGGCAACCTCACCGTGACACAGTTAATTCATATCTTATCAATATTTAATAAAAGGTTTCTATATTTTTGGATTAATCTGCTCATAAAAGACTGGAATATTTGCTTAGATAGATTTAGAAATTTTAATTAATTAATTTCAATTGATTTAAAATTACCCTTAAAATTTTTTCTAACTTTTTAATTTTTTTTATAAATTGTTGATGGATTTAAAAATATTTTTTCTAATTAAACCTAATACTAACGATATAACAAGAACAAAATTCGAAAATTGTTTTTTTTTAACCATTTTTGTCTGTTAAAAATCGTATTTAAAAAGTCGGTTTTCCCATAACAAAAATTATTGGCTTCTCTTGAAAATCCAATTTTAAATTCTGTTGTTTCTAAATCCATGTAAAGACCCATATGTATAAATATTAGCATAATCTTAAACCATATGCTGGCTTTGTCTCATCGAATCTTGTTGACATCTTCCAATAACAAAAATAACCTTTGGCCGTAAACAAACAACAACACTAAACCCCTCCAGCCACACGTCACACGTGTAACCAAACATATGCTCATACATTTGCCGCCACATACACACTCCCTCGCTCTCTCTATTTTTCTAAGTCAAGCACCTCATTGCGATTACCGGCAAAATCGCAGCAACCCATAAACAATAACACAAAACGATGACGTCATTGCACTTCCCCCTCTCTACTTGCTCTCATGAGGCAACTCAATTAGTTATTCTTTCATTCACTTCCTCTACTTACCCCAACCACCGCCAAGAACATATGCATCGCTGTATCTTTAAAGTCCAGACTGCGAGCCAGCAGCGTAACAAAAATTGCAACAAAAATAATTAAAGTGTGATTGAGGGTATTCAGAATTGATTGAATGGTGGCCCATGTTCCAGATTTTTGAGATTTTACACCATCGGTAGCAGCACCATTGGATTTTTTGGTTTTTGCGGCCATGTCAACGTTTTTTTTTTCTTTTCTATTTCTTCGAGAAGTTCTTTATCCACGACCCGTCTAAACAAAACTAACTCTGTTTTATGTTTGCATGACGACGACGACGTCGACTAAGTGACCCACCAAGCATTATTTAACTGAATGATAATGTGTGTCTGTGTAAGTCTGTGTCGGTGAGTTTGTTTATCTCCAAACTATGCTCCAACAATACAACAAATTTAAAGAGAATTGAACATGTCATGCAGTCAATGGTGGAAGAGAGATAACGGTCAGAGAGTATGTGGTGTTGCCAGAGTGTAAGAGATGAGGGAATGAAAAAAACAAGAGTATGTACGGCATTATCGACATGGAGATAATAATAACGGCAAAGATAATTTAAAATGCAATTATTTGAAGAAGGAAAATATTAGATTTTTTAAAAAATACTTTTTCAAGGCAAATAAACCCTTGGATTTAAAAAAAAAAAAAAAATTAAAGGCAAATCAAAACGGGGATTTCTAAAAAATTTTTTTTTGAAGTCCCATACAAACGTGGATTTTTTAAAAATTATTTTTTGAAGTCCCATACAAAGGTGGATTTTTTAAAAATTATTTTTTGAAGTCTCATACAAAAGTGGATTTTTTTTAATATTTTTCATACCAAATACAAACGTGAATTTTTAAAAATTATTTTTTGAAGTCTCACACAAAAGTGGATTTTTTTTAATTATTTTTCATACCAAATACAAACGTGAATTTTTAAAAATTATTTTACCAAATACAAACGTGGATTATTAAAAATTATTTTTTGAAGTCCCATACAAACGTGGATTTTTTTAAAAATTATTTTTTGAAGTCCCATACAAACATAGATTTTTTAAAAAAATATTTTTTGAAGTCCCACACAAACGTGGATTTTTTAAAAAAAATTTTTTCAAGGCAAATACAAACATGAATATTTAAATTTTTTTTTTCTAGGGAAATACGAATGTGGATTTTTTAAAAAATATTTTTTCGAGGCAAATGCAAACGTGGATTTTTTAAAAATTATTTTTTGAAGTCCCATACAAACGTGGATTTTTTAAAAATTATTTTTTGAAGTCCCATACATACGTGGATATTTTAAAAATTATTTTTTGAAGTCCCATACAAACGTGGATTTTTTAAAAATTATTTTTTGAAGTCCCATACAAACGTGGATTTTTTAAAAATTATTTTTTGAAGTCCCATACAAACGTGGATTTTTTAAAAATTATTTTTTGAAGTCCCATACAAACGTGGATTTTTTAAAAATTATTTTTTGAAGTCCCATACAAACGTGGATTTTTTAAAAATTATTTTTTTGAAGTCCCATACAAACGTGGATTTTTTAAAAATTATTTTTTGAAGTCCCATAAAAACGTGGATTTTTTAAAAATTATTTTTTGAAGTCCCATACAAACGTGGATTTTTTAAAAATTATTTTTTGAAGTCCCATACAAACGTGGATTTTTTTAAAAATTATTTTTTGAAGTCCCATACAAACGTGGATTTTTTTAAAAATTATTTTTTGAAGTCCCATACAAACGTGGATTTTTTAAAAATTATTTTTTGAAGTCCCATACAAACGTGGATTTTTTAAAAATTATTTTTTTGAAGTCCCATACAAACGTGGATTTTTTAAAAATTATTTTTTGAAGTCCCATACAAACGTGGATTTTTTAAAAATTATTTTTTGAAGTCCCATACAAAAGTGGATTTTTTAAAAATTATTTTTTTGAAGTCCCATACAAACGTGGATTTTTTAAAAATTATTTTTTTGAAGTCCCATACAAACGTGGATTTTTTAAAAATTATTTTTTGAAGTCCCATACAAACGTGGATTTTTTAAAAATTATTTTTTGAAGTCCCATACAAACGTGGATTTTTTTAAAAATATTTTTTCAAGGCAAATACAAACGTGAATTTTTTAAAAAATATTTTTTCATACCAAATACATGCGTCCTTTTTTTAAAAAAATATTATTTCGAGACAAATACATGCGTCCTTTTTTTAAAAAAATATTATTTCGAGACAAATACAAACGTGGATTTTTTTAAAAAAAAATTTCACGGCAAATACAAACGTGAATATTTAAAAAAAAATATTTTTTGCCGTCTTATACAAGAGTGAATTTTTTAAAAAAATATTTTTTGAAGTCCCATACAAACGTAGATTTTTTTTAAATTATTTTTTGAAGTCCCATACAAACGTGAATACTTAAAAAAATATGTTTTGCCGTCTTATACAAGAGTGAATTTTTTAAAAAAATGTTTTTTGAAGTCCCATACAAACGTAGATTTTTTAAAATTATTTTTTGAAGTCCCATACAAACGTGAATACTTAAAAAAATATGTTTTGCCGTCTTATACAAGAGTGATTTTTTTAAAAAATTATTTTTTGAAGTCCCATACAAACGTAGATTTTTTTAAAATTATTTTTTGACTTCCCATACAAACGTGATTTTTAAAAAATTATTTTTTGACTTCCCATACAAACGTGGATTTTTAAAAAAATATTTTTTCGAGTCAAATACAAAAGTGGATTTTATAAAAAATATTCTTTAGGGGCAAACTTTTTAAGAATTTTGTTAAAGGAAAATTATTCGAAACATTTATGATTACCACCTACCCCAATGACTGTCATGAACATGTGCATCGCCGTATCTTTGAAGTCCAAATTCCGTGCCAGCAGCGTCACAAACACCGCTACCAAGAGGATCAAAGTGTGATTAATTGTATTCAAAACACTTTGAATCTGGGCCCAAACGCCTTTGACCAGTTCAGCCCTGGTTTTGGGTTTGGGAGCAGCCGCAGGTTTTGTTGTTTTTGTTGACATTATTTTGATATTTTTTTACAAATTTAATTACAATATAAACTCGCGACGAAACAACCCGTTTTAATAACAATCGAGAACTACACCGACCAAACGTTAAATTCTAACAGTCATTCAGTCTGGGAGATATCAGTTATTAATTGGTGTGTGTGTGTGTGTGAGAGAGTATCTATGCGATTGAGAATTATTTGTGTTATCTCAACCGTACTTTGATAGATAATGTGTTAGATGAGTGTGTAATAGAAGAGAGTTACTGTGAATTTTGAAGGAGGGTTGCCATGTGTATGAAATATTAAAATTGGCCAAAATTGAAGGAATCGATACCAAGTATCGGAAGTGGACAATTTAAGTTTTTATACCCTGCACCATTCTATGGAGGGTATATTAACTTTGTCATTCCGTTTGGAACTCCTCGAAATATTCATAATAGATCTTACAAAGTACATATATTCTGGATCAGCGTAAAATTCTAAGACCATTTCGCGATGTCCGTCTGTCTGTCTGTTGTAATGACGCTATCTTTCGAACGAATTGAGAAAGAAGGCTAAAATTTTGCTTACATGCATAGTTTACTAATAGGCAGGTTAAGTTCGTAAATGGGCCATGTCCATCCACGTTTTCGTATAGCCCCCATATAACGGTACCACCCGGTATTCGGTATTTTCATAATTTTAGCCACATTATTTACCGGAATTATTTAAAATTTCGTATCCGAAGTTCGTAATAGGTACTACAGCCTATGACAGAAAATTTCTATATGCAGGTTCAGGTCTTCGTATAGCCCCCATATAACGGCATATCCCAATATTCGGTATTTTGATGATTTTAGCGACGTTTTTTAACGAAATTGTTTCAAATTTCGAATTAAAATTTCGTAATGGCTTCTACAACCTACGAACAAAAAATTGCGTATGCTGGTCCAGATCTTCTTATAGCCTCTATATAACAGAACCTCCCTATATTCGGTATTTTCTTGATTCTTATTCAACGGAATTGTTTCAAATTTCGCATTTAAAGTTCGTAATTGGTACTACAGCCTATGACAGAAAATTTCTATATGCAGGTCCAGGTCTTCGTATAGCCCACATATAACGATACCTCCCGATATTCGGTATTTACATGATTTTAGTCACATTATTTACCGGAATTATTTAAAATTTCGTATTTGAAGTTCATAATGGGGAATACAGCCTATGACAAAAATTTTTGTTAGCAGGACCAGGTCTTCATATAGCCCCCATATAAAGATACCTTCCGATATTCGGTATTTTGATGATTTTAGCGACATAATTCGCCAGAGCCGTTTCAAATTTCGTATTTGAATTTTGGAATCGGCACTACAGCCTATGACAAAAAATTACTCATGCAGATCCAGGTCTTCGCATAACTCCTACATAACGGTACCTCCCGATATTCGGTATTTTGATGACTTTAGCGACGTTTTTTTTAACGAAATTGTTTCAAATTTCGAATTTAAAGTTCGTAATGGCTTCTATAGCCTACGATCACAAAAATTGCGTATGCAGGTCCAGATCTTCATATAGCCCTCATATAATAGTACCTCCCTATATTCGGTATTTTCTTGATTCTTATTCAACGGAATTGTTTCAAATTTCGTATTTAAAGTTCGTAATAGGTACTGCAGCCTATGACAAAAAATTGCATATGTAGGTCGACGTCTTCGTATAGCTCTTACATAACGATATCTCCGATTTTCAGTATTTTGATAATTTTAGCGGTATTTTTCAACCGGAATTCTTTCAAATTTCATATTTGAATTTCGGAATCGGCACTACAGCCTATGACAAAAAATTATTCAGGTCTTCGTATAGCCAACATATAAAGGAACCTCCCAATATTCGGTAACTTGACGATTTTAGATACATTATTCACCGTAATTGTTTCAAATTTCGTATTTGAAGTTCCTAATGGGTAATGCAACCTATGACAAAAAATTACTTATTCAGGACCACGTCTTCGTATGCCCGATATATAGTGGTTTTCGTTTGAGCGGTATTTTTCGACGGAACTTTTTGGATTTCTTTTAGTACCATTCAGTACTTTTCATACAATTACAGAACACATTTTCAAAACCAATCCCATATCTCAATTCCAGATGCCAACAGAGACCTCAATATCAAATTGGAGGATTCTAGCCCTATCTCTTTACCCAATACAAAAATTTGGTACCATTTAGTACTTTTCGTACAATTATGGTACACATTTCCGAAAACCATCTCCATATCTCAATTCCAGGTACCAACAGAGACCTCAATACCAAATCTGAAAATTCCAACCCTATCCCTTCACTCAATAACCAATTTAGTACCATTTAGTACTTTTCGTTCAACAAACCTTAGATACCAACAGTTATCTAAATAAAAAAAATCAGAATTTTATATCTATCCCATCACCCAAAACCAAATGTTGTACCATTTAGTACTTTTCGTACAAATATAGAACACATTTCCAAAACCATCTCCAAATCTCAATCTCAGATACCAACAGTTATCTAAATAAAAAATTTTCAGAATTTTCTATCTATCCCATCACCCAAAACCAAATTTAGTACCATTTAGTACTTTTCGTACAAATATAGGACGCATTTCCAAAACTACCTCCAAATCTTAACCTCAGATACTAAATACTAAACTTCAGAATTTTTCTTCTATCCCTTCACTCAATACTAAATTTAGTACTTTTCGTACTAATGTAGTACGCATTTTCAAAACCGCTTCCATAACTCAATTCCAGGTACCAACAGAGACCTCAATATCCAATTTGTATCCTCAGTCATATCCCTCCACCCAATCCAAAATTTGGTTACACTTAGTACTTTTCGTACAATTATGGTACACATTTCCGAAAACACCTGCATATGTCCCGGCTACACATGAACAGTGATTCTAATACCAAATTTTGGATTTCAAGCACTGTCTATTCATCCAATTCCAATTTGTACCAAATATTGTACTATTTAGTACTTTTGGTGCACATTACCAAAACCGCTTATAGTGGGTATTTCCAAAAACCCTTTGATACATCTATCATACACTCTCTCCCTCATTCCAAATTTAAGAATTCTAGATTTACTGCTCCCTCAAATATGAAGGGTACCATCTTTAGTTACATTTTAATGCTTTTTGTACCGTTCCAGTACGATTTTCCAAAAACCCAACATTTTCTGACCCCTTCGGACCAAGAGTGACTCTCATTCAAAATTTCAAGATTCTAGCTTGAGCCGTTTCGTCTGGTCGTTGATGAGTCATTAAGTCAGTCAGTCGATTACATTATTAATAAGAGAGTAATATTAATCGAGATTGTTTTAAATAATTTTTATTAAATTAATAATGTTTTTGTCCTTCTCTGTTCCCTTTAAAACTCTTTTAATAATTTTTTTTTATTATTTTGTTTTTAAAATATTGAATTTAAAACGTTTTAATGGTTTCACATTTAAATTGGGTACATTTAAGTCGATTTTCGAGAACATTGTATACGGCAACACTAAAATATCTCAGTTATGTTCTCACTCCCTCTCTCTCTCTCTCTGTTCTCATTAACTGACCTGTGTCTGTATTATCTATGACACCTGTAATGCAACAAAGGCATGTTATCGTTGTGTTATTTCTCTATCAGCAGTTTATTGCTTTGGGTTACCTTGGTTATCTCAATATCGTAAACAAATAATTATAACTTGCATTTGAAATATTGGGTGTGTTCCCCAACAAATGTAAATATTTTGAAAATATTCCTGAATATATTTTTAATATAATTTTATTTTTTTTTACGAAATATTTTAATACAATTTTCATATATTTGTTTCTCTTTCCAGATGAGGATCCTAATTATCCTGCCAGCGAACTGAATACCCACGGTCCAACAGTACACGGATGGCGGAGTGCACCAAATAGTACCATGTCACCGCATGACATTGTACTGAGATTTCACAAACCAGCCAAAATATATCGAATACAATTGTTAGCCCACCAATATTTGATACGTAAGTTCGAAAAAAAATTATCTTTTTTATTAAAATAATTTTATTCAAAAAAAAATATTAAAATATTTTTATTAAAAACATTTTATGTTAAAATTCAAAAAATTTTATTAAAATAATTATTCAAATAATTTTATTTAAAAATTTGCCATCAAAAAAGCTGAACTCTGGCTGCACTATAAAAATTATATTGAAAAATATTTTAATAAAAAAAAATTATAAATTTTATATTATTTTGAAAAAAAGTTATTTAAAAAAATTCTATTAAATTAATTTTATTAAAAAATGTATAATTAAAATGTATTAAAAAAATTAAAAAAAAAATCATTCAAATGATTTTATTTAAAAAGTTGCCAAAATTATATTAAAAAAATATTTCAATAAAATAAAATAAAAACTTTTATAAAAATTTATTAAAAAAAATTTAAAAAGAATGTTAAAAAAATTATTTAAAAAAAATAAAAAAATCCAAGTTGAAAAATATAAACTTTTCCACTACATAAAATTTTATTAAAAAAATTATTAAAATAATTTTTTTTCAAATAATTTTTTTTAAAAAAATTTTGTTCAAATATTTTTTTTAAATTATTCAAATAATTTTAATACAAAAAAAAAATTGCAACTGTAAAACCTGAACCACAAGCATTTTATTAAAAAAATCTATATCTATAAAAGAGGAAAATGTTTGTATGTTTGTTTGTTTGTTTGTTTGTTTGTTTGTAATTTATGGACTCGAAAACCGCTGAATAGATTTTCCTGAAAATTTCCATATATACTGCAACATCGCCTGAAAGTAACATAGGCTATATACATTTTTGAATTTCCGCTTGGAACTGGAGATATAGCACCAGAATCGGAGGTACCTCCCAAAAATTTAGAATTAATATGCACATATCTATTGATTGGTTGAAGACACAGTCTCCAAATTTGGAATGCGTAACAGAATTTGGAACAAAAATAAGTTTGCCAAATTATATTGTAATCGGTTCAGATTTGGATATAGCTCCCATATATATTTTCGACCGATTTCGTTCATTTGATGCCTCAAACACAATATGAATGTTCGATTCCAATGAAATTTGGAATGTGTGACGGGATTTAATCCGAAAATAAATTTGTCAAATTATATTGACATCGGTTCAGATTTGGATATAGCTCCCATATATATTTTCGGCCGATTTCAAGCATTTGATGCACCAGACACGCTATGTATCCCCAATTTCAATGAAATTTGAAACGTGTGATAGATTTTATCTAAAAAATTGATTTCACAAATTATATTGAAATCGGTTCAGATTTGGATATAGCTCCCATATACATTTTCGGCCGATTTCATGTATTTGGTGGACCAAACACGATATGTATTTCCAATTGTAATGAAATTTAAAATAAGTAACGGAATTGGGAGCCAAAATGAATTTGTCAAATTAAATTGAAATTGGTTCAGATTTGGATATAGCTCCCATATATATTTTCGACCGATTTCATGTATTTGATGCACCAAACACGCTATGTATCTTTAATTTCAATGAAATTTGGAATGTGTAGCGGAAATTAAAACAAATATACATTTGTCAAATTATATTAAAATCGGTTCAGATTTGGATATAGCTCCCATATATATTTTCCGCCGATTTCACATATTTGATGCACAAAACACGATACGTATTTCCGATTCCAATGAAATTCGGCATGAGTGGCTAAATTTGGTACAAAAAAAAAAAAAAATAAATTTGACAAATTATATTCAAATACGCTCAGATGTGATTATAGCTCCCAAATATATACTCAGCCGATTTCACATATTTGATGCACCCAAAGCGAGAGAGACAAAATCTGGCACCAGAAAAAATTGCCAAATTATATTGAAATCAGTTGAGGTTTGGATATAGCTAACATATATATTTCGGCCGATTTCATACATGTTATGCACCACACATGATATATATGACCGATACCAATGAAATTCAGAATGTGTGGCGGAATTTGCTTACAATAATAAATGTGACAAATTAATTGGAAATTAGTTAAGATTTGGATATAGCTCCCATATATATATTCTCGGCCGATTTCACATATTTGACGCACCAATTTCAATAAATTATGAAAGGTGTGGCGGAGTTTGGTGTAAAAGTAATTTTTTTTAAATTATATTTAAATCGAATCAGATTGGGATATGATTTTAATAAGAACCATTGACCCACAACGCCTTAGGCTAACACTAAACAACAACACAACAATTGATTTGAAATACGCTTATTACGGCGAAGTATGTTGCTATCTCGAATTCACTAATTGCAATAGAAATGCCACTCAACTTCAAAAGATTGCAGTTTACTGCACGCTTGGTATTTGCAATGAAATAAATAAATCCGAAGGACAAACCCTTCGTGTATGTATGTCATGTTACTGCTTTTCTAATGGTTTTGGTTATTTACGCATTAAAGTAGTGCAATATATTTTTTTTTAATTTTTAAATTTGTTTTTTTTTTAAACCAACATATATTCGTAAATAAAATAAATGCATATAAAATCAAAAGGGGTAGCGAAGCGCACCGGGTTCAGCTAGTATTCAATAAAATTGTTACTTAAAAAAGCTGAACTTATTAAAATACAATCATTCAAAAAATTGTATTCAAAAGATATTAAAAAATATTATTATATATAAAAAATTATAAAAAAAATATTAACAAAAATTATAAAAAAATGTATTCAAATAATTTTATTAAAAAAAAATATTATTCACATAATTTTATTAAAAAATTCGCCAGCTGAAAAATTAATAAAAATTAAAAAAAAAATATATTAAATAAATTTAAAAATAAATATTAAAAAAATGTATTAAAAAAAATATTCAAAAAAATAAAAAAATAATTTAAAAAAAAATCATTAAAAAAATTATTAAAAAGATTTTATTAAAGAGTTTATTGAAAAAATATCATTAAATTATATTACTGTTAAATAAATTTATTAAAAAAAATGTTATTGAATAAATGTTATTATAAAAATTAAATAAAAAAATTTATTAAAAAACGACTATTAACATAATTTTATTAAGAAAAAAATATTAAAAAAAAATCAATTAAAACAATTTTATTAAAAATTTTATTGAAAATATAACCGAAATGTTGGTAAAAAAATATTAATTAAAAAATTTCAATAAAAAATTAAAAATTGCGTTAAAAATAATTTTATTTGAAAAATTATATTAAAAAATATATTAACAATTTATTCGGCCAAAAATATGTTATTGAAAAATTGTATTCAAAAAATGTTATTTAAAAAATTTTATTCAAAAAAATTTATTAAATGAATTATTAAGAATATTTTATTAAAAAAATATTAAACAATTAAAAAAATGACTAAAGAAAATTTATTAAAAAAATTAAAACATTTTTTTAAAAGCAATTTATTCAAGAATTGTTGTTAAAAAAAATAATAAAAAATTATTATAAAAAAAATTATTTAACAAATTTTATTAACAAAAAAATTATTAAAAAGAATTTTGAAAAAAAAATATTCCATCAAATTATTTACACAATTTTATTAAAAAATGTATTAAATTTATTTTCCAGCTGGAAATTTAAAAAAAAAAAATAATTAAAAAACGATTATTAAAAAGATTTTATTTAAAAAAAATCTAAAAATTGTATTTAAAAAAATTATTTAAAAAAATTATTTAAAAAAATTATTAAAAAAATCAATAAACAAAATTTATTTAAAAAACGTATTCAAAAAAAATTATTAAGCAAAAATGATTAAAAAGATTTATTAAAAAATAATAAAAACAAAAATTTATTACAAAAATTCTAGTAAAAAAATTATTTAGAAATGTTAATAAAAAACATTTTTTTTAAAAAAAATTAAAAAAAAAAATTGAAAAATTATTCAAAAACATTTATTTGAAAAAAAATTAAAAAAATTTTATTCAAAAAAATTATCAAAAAACTTTCATAAAATACTATTTAAAATTTTTAAAAACAAAAAAAAATATTTAAAAAACTGTATTAAGAAAAAAATATTAAAAAAGAACATTCCCTTAATTTTTTTTAATATTTTTTTAATACAGTTTTCTAAATATTTGTTTTTAAATTTTTTAAATATTATTTTATGAAAGTTTTTTAATACATTTAAAAATTATCATTTATTAAAAATATCAACTGTTCTAAACAAAATTTATTTAATAGAACGTATTTAAAAATATTAAAAAAATTATTAAACAGAAATGATTAAATAGATTTACTATAAAAAATTATTAAAAAATTCTAATATATTTTTTTACAAAAATTAAAAAAAATATTTTTAAATTTTTAATAAAAAAACAATTTAAATAATATTAAAAAAATTATTAAAAAAATTGTTTAAAAAAAATATATTAAAAAATGTATTAAATAATATTTAAAAAAGTAAATAAAAAAATATTTGAAAAACTGTATTAAAAAAATGTAAAACAGAAAATTCCAGCTGAAAAAGTTGAATTCTGGCTGCAGTATTTGCCCAAAAGTGTACCAGCACTAAATTAAAAAAATAAAATAAAATTTTTTGAATAATTTCTTTTAATAAAATTTTTGAATAAAATTGTTTAAATAATAATATAAAAATAAAAAATTTAATAATTTTTTTTTAAAAATTAAAAAATTATTTAAAAATTTTATTAAAAAAGAAAATTCCAACTGAAAAGATGGAATCTGGCAGCACTAATCGCCCAAAAGCATTAAATTGAAAAAAATATATATTAAAAAATATTAAAATAAAATTATTAAAAAATACTAAAAAATATAAATAAAATAATAAAAGGAAATAAAATTAATTTTTTTTTTAAATTAAAAAAATTGTATTCAAAACAATTTATTCAAAAAATATTTAATTTTTTTTTTCAGCTGAAAAAGTCGAACTCTGGCTGCACTACTCGCCCAAAAGTATACCCAGTACCCCTTCCTCGCAATGTTTCGATTTCCTGGGCTTTGTCGCATTGGCCGACAATGCGGCCACAAATTACAAATCACGAGAGCTACAAAGCGTCTCGGTGAATCCTCGCAAGGGTACCCATCTCAAGCTGCGTCTAAGCGGCCCCCATGCCAATGAATTCAATACGGAAAATCAAATTGCCTTAATTGCGGTCAATGTTTTGGGTGAAGACCTGGAGGCGAGTGGAAATCCCAGTAAAGAGACGGAAGAAAATGGCAGTAACTCTTTGGCCACAGAATCCGGTTCGGAGGGCTCTGAATTGCCGCTGGCCTCCATGTGTGATGATCTGCTGTTCTCCATGTACGTGGAAGAGTCCATAGCGGAGGTGGTGCGGGAAATGGAAGAGCGCAAAGCCAAGGCAGTGGCATCGGAACGTTTCGAATATGCCCGCAAGCTGAAGTTGTGTATGTGCGCCCTGCGTTCGGCCGGTGAGCGTTTGGGCCGTTATGCCCTGGCCAAGAGGCAGGCGGTGCAGCAGGAGGATTTCACCACAGCCAAGCTGAGAAAGGAACAAATCGAAATGTACAAATCGGCGGTGTTTAGACATCTACTGGTCGATGATTTGCTGGAGCGGAATGGAGAATCCCTGGCAGCCAATGATGTGGCCTGTGAGGTATATGCCTCTAAACCCGTATTGCCGGTGGCACCCAGTCTGCAGGATGTGGCCCAGGCCTTGGCCGAGGCCCATATGGCCGCCACCATGAGTCCCAAAAGTTGCCAAGAAGATAAGTCCTCAACAGATGGCAACAGCTCCACTGGAGGGGGAGGTGGCATCGGCGGCGGAGGAGGAGGTGGTAAACATTTCCATACATCCGCTAACAAATCAACTGATCATGTCTCATCGTTATCTGCAGCCAACCTAAGGAGATCCCACGATGAAATACCCATGTCTCCGAAACTCAATATGCGTCGCAGCCCTAGTCGCCATAGTTCCCCGATGTCCAGTCACCAGGGTTCATTGCGTCGACGCAATAAAAGTGCTCCCCGTAACTCCTATGAAGAATATGAAGATCGAGCCATACCGACGCTGAGACAGTAAGTAGGAATCGGAATTGATTGTTTTTGATGTCTGTCTCCCCACAAACATTTTAGAGAGATACTCGATTTTTGATGTTGCCATATTTTTTCGAAATAATCCCTACCAATTTAGGCCAATGATTCTAGTTGTAATTCCCGCAGAACAAGTTTTGTTTATTTTTAATTTCTTTTTGGATGTTCTCCCTCTCTCTCGCTCTTTAGATGAAATAATTTTTATACTCTCTCTCCCTCTCTCTTGTAATGCATGCCAACTACTTTTTTTGTCGTACTCTGCCACATAGCTAGACTAGAGAGTTGAAATGAAACGTTCTCCATCATTCGGGTCATTATTCTCATAAAACTTCAGGTCAATTTTTTTTTGTAGCTCCAGTTAGTTCTAAACATTTCTCTGTTTTTGTTTCCTTTTCTTTCTTCTCCTTCTCGTCTTTCTATCTATCTCTCTCGCTCTCTCTCTATCTTGATGACCATAAATTATTTCAATTTATTTTCATTTTATTTTCTCACCATCACTTCTCCCTCAATTTGAATCATTTGGCTCACTCTCTACTTCATCATCATCTCTCCCTCTCTCGTGTGCCTGCTCTCATACGCCCCATAAATTATTATCTCTTATCATATCGCCATCTACCATTTTTTGTAATATTTTTCTTTTGTTTCATTTTTGATTTCTCCATTTTGATGTAATTGATGTTACACGTAAAAAAACAAACCAAAAAAACACACTCAAATCCTCCCCATGACCACTCGATCCAGTTCGAATACTAATGAATTTTTAAGAGAGTGTCAAGGTACAGCCCTTCTGGAAGCGGATCCAAATCGTGGACGTTCACGTCTCAACGATCGTGAACGTCGTCAGGCAGCTCTGCCCATATTGGTGTTTGGCAATGACATGGTAAGTATTAGTGTTGGGGAAAATGTATTTTAAAGCATACTTTTAGGCGAAACAAAAACGTAGAGTTGTTTTAAGGAAAAATACATTTTTAAGCAAAGATATATTTAAAAAAAAAATAAAAATAGCAAATTTTTAGGAAATAAGTAATTAAAAAATAATTTTCAAATTTTTAAAAATAAATTAAATATTTCTGGAAATAAAAATAATTTTAAACAACAAAAAAAGTGAAATAGTCATTATCATAGCCAAGCGATGCACGATAACTCTTGAACGGAATATCCGATTTGATCCAAACTTGGTACATCGTAATATTATTATCAAATTTATAACGAGTTTGAAGATGGGCAATATCGGTCCACACCTCCCCCATTAAATATCAAAATTTTCAAAGAAAATAATTTACTGCACAGAAGGAGGAAAAATGATCCAATTTTGCTCCAACTTTGCGAGTCCTAATATTTGCATCAGTGCTAGGTCATATGCGAAAATGGACATTGTCGGTCCACTGCACCTTCCCCACAAAAAGTCAAAATTTTGAATAATTACAACTCTTATAAAATGTGATGTAAGTGTCCGATTGTCCTCAAATTTCACACATCCCAATATTTTTATACACCCACGGTCTGGTGTGAAAATCGAATATATATGTCCTCTCCTTCTGGTACCTCCCCCACAAAAGTTCAAAATTTAAAAAAATATATTTTCTGCACAGAAAGAGAAATTATAGAGCGATTTTGCTCCAACTTTGCAAATCCTAATATTTGATTGAGTGCTAGGTCAAGAGTGAAAATGGACAATATCGGTTCACTCCATCAAGTAGCTCCCCCACAAAGGATCAAAATTCTGAATAATTATAAGTCTTATAAAATGTGTTGTGTGAGTCCGATTGCCTTCAAATTACACACATCACAATATTTTTATACACCCACGGTCTGGTGTGAAGTTGGAATATATCGGTCCACTTCATCTGGTACCTCCCCCACAAAGGATCAAAGTTCCGAATAACCAAAACGATAATAAAATCCGAAATAAACATCCGATTCCATTCAGACGTGGCACATCTCAATATTTCTATCAACACAAGATCTGTTATACAGATGATAGAGATTGGACCATTCCTTCTGGCACCTCCCCCACAAAGGATCAAAGTTCCGAATAATCAAAACGATCATAAAATCCGAAATAAGCATCCGATTCCATTCAGACTTGGTGCATCTCAATATTTCCATCAACATAAGCTCTGTTATAAAGATGATAGAGATCGGACCATTTCATCTGGTACCTCCCACACAAAGGGTCAAAGTTTTGAATAACCAAAACGGTCATAAAATCTGAAATAAGCATCCGGTTCTCTTAATATTTCACATATCTTATTATTTCTACCAACACAAGATCTGCTGTGAAGATGGAATTTATCGGTCCACTCCTTCTGGTACCTCCCCCACAAAGGGTCAAAGTTCCGAATAACCAAAACGATCATAAAATCCGAAATAAGCTTCCGATTTCATTCAGACTTGGCACATCTCAATATTTCCATAAACGGAAGATCTGTTATAAAGATGGAAGAGATCGGACCATTCCTTCTGGTACCTCCCCCACATAGGATTCAAGATTTTGAAAAACAAAAACGATCATGAAATCCGAAATAAGCATCAGATTCTCTTAATATTTCACATATCCTATTATTTCTACCAACACAAGATCTGCTGTGAAGATGGGATTTATCGGACCTTTCCTTCTGGTACCTCCCCCACAAAGGGTCAAAGTTCCGAATAACCAAAACGATCATAAAATCCGAAATAAGCATCCGATTCCATTCAGATTTGGTACATCTCAATATTTCCATCAACATAAGCTCTGTTATAAAGATGGTAGAGATCGGACCAATTCTTCTGGTACCTCCCCCACAAAGGATCAAAATTTCGAATAACAAAAACGATCATAAAATCCGAAATAAGCATCCGGCTCTCTTCATATTTCACACATTGCATTATTTCTACTAACACAAGATCTTGTGTGAAGATGGAATATATCGGTCCACTCCTTCTGGTACCTCCCCCACAAAGGATCAAAGTTCCGAATAACCAAAACGATCTTAAAATCTGAAATAAGCACCCGCTTCCATTCAGACTTGGTACATCTCAATATTTCCATAAACGCAAGATCTGTTATGAAGACGGCAAAGATCGGACCACTCCTTCTGGTACCTCCCCCACAAATAAAATAATTTAAAGATCGTAACTTTAGAACACATTTTTAATGCATATTTTTAGGGATAAATAGAATTAGCCATTTTCGTTAAATGTGTGTACCGTTGTGTTTAGTTTTAGACTTTTTTCATAGAAAGAAATTTATACCAGGATTAGAATTCCGAAAAAGTAAAATTTTTTCAAAATTAAATTCCATTTTTAATTTCTCTTCCCCTCATTTCAGGTCGAGCAATTCTATTCTCGGCAATTTCAAGATCGCGAAGATGGCTTGGTACGTTTACGCAACTTCCTCAAAGGTCAGGAGACGGAAACCCAACCGCCCGGCAATTCGAATACCGAAAACACTGCCGGTCCCAACAAGGTGGCACGCAGTGCTGCTTTTCTCCTACATCGTGCCGTACGCGATGCCGTCTATTCGGTATTCAATCAGGCCACAGAAACTGTACGCGTTCTCTTCTTGGAATATGTACCCGGACGGGTGTCACAGAGCGAGGTGGCCCGCTGTGTAGATCGTTTACTGCCCGAACTGCTGGCGAAGTCGGGTGATCCGTCGGCTCGCATACACACCTTGGCCCAGCACACGATACTGAGCATGGCCTCGTGTCCCGAAGTGGCCGAACAGCATTTGGTGGCGCCAGCCCTCTCGCGCACTGTCAGTTCGGGTACCCATCCCCGGCTGGCCTTGAGTCGCATGCAAATGTTGGAGCAGCTGGTCCTGAGTCAAGGCATCAGCACGGACAAGCACAGCGGTTTGACATGTCGTGCCCTCTCGGAATGCGGCTGTTCGGGTATACATCATCCGGCGGAGCCGGTGCGTAAAGTAGCCGAGCGGATTCTTTTGCTGGTGTACAAAGTAAATCCACGTCTTGTGCGCAAACAGCTACCGCCCGATGATGACATAACGCGGCGTAATCTGCTGTATCGCCAGCTATTCACGGAGTTCGATAAGCTGGATTTGGAGCGTAAAACGGAAATGCTGGAGGCGAATAAATATGCGGGCGGTCATAGTTCCAGTGATCCACAATCTCCTCCCTCAAATCGCAGTGCTGTGGAGCATTTACAGTTAGGAGGTGGTGGTGCAGCCAGTGGTGGCAGCTCCGATAGTCGTGCCAGTCCCTATGGATTTTCATGCAAGTCGCCCGACTCCCAATCGAGTCCAATGCGTCGTTCCGAGACCAGAATCCTAAAAAGTCGAAGTGGTCAAACTCTGGCCCAGGCCAATAATCCAGGCACAAGTAATGGCTACAACAGCAGCGGCAGCGGAGGCGGCAGTGGTAAATGCAATGGAAAGCAGCAGTACAATGAGCTGCTGAAACGTTCCATGATATCGGCCAGTAGTTCGCGGAAGAATTCCAATTCGAATTCAAATTCGGAGTCATTTGAAGAGCCGGCGGATGTGATGTAAGTAAGAAGGATGGTGCTTGGAAAAATTTCTTTAAAAAATCCACGTTTATTGGTCTAAAGGTCCTTGGAAAATTTTCTTTAAAAAATCCACGTTTATTGGTCTAAAGGTCCTTGGAAAAAAATCTCTAAAAAATCCACGTTTATTGGTCTAAAGGTCCTTGGAAAAATTTCTTTAAAAAATCCACGTTTATTGGTCTAAAGGTCCTTGGAAAAATTTCTTTAAAAAATCCACGTTTATTGGTCTAAAGGTCCTTGGAAAAATTTCTTTAAAAAATCCACGTTTATTGGTCTAAAGGTCCTTGGAAAAATTTCTTTAAAAAATCCACGTTTATTGGTCTAAAGGTCCTTGGAAAAATTTCTTTAAAAAATCCACGTTTATTGGTCTAAAGGTCCTTGGAAAAATTTCTTTAAAAAATCCACGTTTATTGGTCTAAAGGTCCTTGGAAAAATTTCTTTAAAAAATCCACGTTTATTGGTCTAAAGGTCCTTGGAAAATTTTCTTTAAAAAATCCACGTTTATTGGTCTAAAGGTCCTTGGAAAAATTTCTTTAAAAAATCCACGTTTATTGGTCTAAAGGTCCTTGGAAAAATTTCTTTAAAAAATCCACGTTTATTGGTCTAAAGGTCCTTGGAAAAATTTCTTTAAAAGATCCACGTTTATGGATCAGATGGTCCTTGGAAAAAATTCTTTAAAAAATCCACGTTTATTGATCTAAAGGTCCTTGGAAAAAATTCTTTAAAAAATCCACGTTTATGGATCAGATGGACCTTGGAAAAAATTCTTTAAAAAATCCACGTTTATTGATCTAAAGGTCCTTGGAAAAAATTCTTTAAAAAATCCACGTTTATGGATCAGATGGACCTTGGAAAAAATTCTTTAAAAAATCCACGTTTATGGATCAGATGGACCTTGGAAAAAATTCTTTAAAAAATCCACGTTTATGGATCAGATGGACCTTGGAAAAAATTCTTTAAAAAATCCACGTTTATTGGTCTAAAGGTCCTTGGAAAAATTTCTTTAAAAAATCCACGTTTATTGGTCTAAAGGTCCTTGGAAAAATTTCTTTAAAAAATCCACGTTTATTGGTCTAAAGGTCCTTGGAAAAATTTCTTTAAAAAATTCACGTTTATTGGTCTAAAGGTCCTTGGAAAAATTTCTTTAAAAGATCCACGTTTATGGATCAGATGGTCCTTGGAAAAAATTCTTTAAAAAATCCACGTTTATTGATCTAAAGGTCCTTGGAAAAAATTCTATAAAAAATCCACGTTTATGGATCAGATGGACCTTGGAAAAAATTCTTTAAAAAATCCACGTTTATGGATCAGATGGACCTTGGAAAAAATTCTTTAAAAAATCCACGTTTATGGATCAGATGGACCTTGGAAAAAATTCTTTAAAAAATCCACGTTTATGGATCAGATGGACCTTGGAAAAAATTCTTTAAAAAATCCACGTTTATTGGTCTAAAGGTCCTTGGAAAAATTTCTTTAAAAAATCCACGTTTATTGGTCTAAAGGTCCTTGGAAAAATTTCTTTAAAAAATTCACGTTTATTGGTCTAAAGGTCCTTGGAAAAATTTCTTTAAAAGATCCACGTTTATGGATCAGATGGTCCTTGGAAAAAATTCTTTAAAAAATCCACGTTTATTGATCTAAAGGTCCTTGGAAAAAATTCTTTAAAAAATCCACGTTTATGGATCAGATGGACCTTGGAAAAAATTCTTTAAAAAATCCACGTTTATGGATCAGATGGACCTTGGAAAAAATTCTTTAAAAAATCCACGTTTATGGATCAGATGGACCTTGGAAAAAATTCTTTAAAAAATCCACGTTTATTGGTCTAAAGGTCCTTGGAAAAATTTCTTTAAAAAATCCACGTTTATTGGTCTAAAGGTCCTTGGAAAAATTTCTTTAAAAAATCCACGTTTATTGGTCTAAAGGTCCTTGGAAAAATTTCTTTAAAAAATTCACGTTTATTGGTCTAAAGGTCCTTGGAAAAATTTCTTTAAAAGATCCACGTTTATGGATCAGATGGTCCTTGGAAAAAATTCTTTAAAAAATCCACGTTTATTGATCTAAAGGTCCTTGGAAAAAATTCTTTAAAAAATCCACGTTTATGGATCAGATGGACCTTGGAAAAAATTCTTTAAAAAATCCACGTTTATGGATCAGATGGACCTTGGAAAAAATTCTTTAAAAAATCCACGTTTATGGATCAGATGGACCTTGGAAAAAATTCTTTAAAAAATCCACGTTTATGGATCAGATGGTCCTTGGAAAAAAAATTCTTTAAAAAATCCACGTTTATGGATCAGATGGTCCTTGGAAAAAATTCTTTAAAAAATCCACGTTTATGGATCAGATGGTCCTCGGAAAAAATTCTTTAAAAAATCCACGTTTATGGATCAGATGGTCCTTGGAAAAAATTCTTTAAAAAATCCACGTTTATGGATCAGATAGTCCTTGGAAAAAATTCTTTAAAAAATCCACGTTTATGGATCAGATAGTCCTTGGAAACAATTCTTTAAAAAATCCACGTTTATTGGTCTAAAGGTCCTTGGAAAAATTTCTTTAAAAAATCCACGTTTATTGGTCTAAAGGTCCTTGGAAAATTTTCTTTAAAAAATCCACGTTTATTGGTCTAAAGGTCCTTGGAAACATTTCTTTAAAAAATCCACGTTTATTGGTCTAAAGGTCCTTGGAAAAATTTCTTTAAAAAATCCACGTTTATTGGTCTAAAGGTCCTTGGAAAAAATTCTTTAAAAAATCCACGTTTATTGGTCTAAAGGTCCTTGGAAAAAATTCTTTAAAAAATCCACGTTTATTGCTGGGATGGTCCTTGGAAAAAATTCTTTAAAAAATCCACGTTTATTGCTGGGATGGTCCTTGGAAAAAATTCTTTAAAAAATCCACGTTTATTGCTGGGATGGTCCTTGGAAAAAATTCTTTAAAAAATCCACGTTTATTGCTGGGATGGTCCTTGGAAAAAATTCTTTAAAAAATCCACGTTTATTGCTGGGATGTTCCTTGGAAAAAATTCTTTAAAAAATCCACGTTTATGGATCAGATGGTTCTTGGAAAAAATTCTTTAAAAAATCCACGTTTATTGCTGGGATGGTCCTTGGAAAAAATTCTTTAAAAAATCCACGTTTATTGCTGGGATGGTCCTTGGAAAAAATTCTTTAAAAAATCCACGTTTATTGCTGGGATGGTCCTTGGAAAAAATTCTTTAAAAAATCCACGTTTATTGCTGGGATGGTCCTTGGAAAAAATTCTTTAAAAAATCCACGTTTATTGCTGGGATGGTCCTTGGAAAAAATTCTTTAAAAAATCCACGTTTATTGCTGGGATGGTCCTTGGAAAAAATTCTTTAAAAAATCCACGTTTATTGCTGGGATGGTCCTTGGAAAAAATTCTTTAAAAAATCCACGTTTATTGCTGGCATGGTCCTTGGAAAAAATTCTTTAAAAAATCCACGTTTATTGGTCTAAGGGTCCTTGGAAAAATTTCTTTAAAAAATCCACGTTTATTGGTCTAAAGGTCCTTGGAAAAATTTCTTTAAAAAATCCACGTTTATTGGTCTAAAGGTCCTTGGAAAAATTTCTTTAAAAAATCCACGTTTATTGGTCTAAAGGTCCTTGGAAAATTTTCTTTAAAAAATCCACGTTTATTGGTCTAAAGGTCCTTGGAAAAATTTCTTTAAAAAATCCACGTTTATTGGTCTAAAGGTCCTTGGAAAAATTTCTTTAAAAGATCCACGTTTATGGATCAGATGGTCCTTGGAAAAAATTCTTTAAAAAATCCACGTTTATTGATCTAAAGGTCCTTGGAAAAAATTCTTTAAAAAATCCACGTTTATGGATCAGATGGACCTTGGAAAAAATTCTTTAAAAAATCCACGTTTATGGATCAGATGGACCTTGGAAAAAATTCTTTAAAAAATCCACGTTTATGGATCAGATGGACCTTGGAAAAAATTCTTTAAAAAATCCACGTTTATGGATCAGATGGTCCTTGGAAAAAAAATTCTTTAAAAAATCCACGTTTATGGATCAGATGGTCCTTGGAAAAAATTCTTTAAAAAATCCACGTTTATGGATCAGATGGTCCTCGGAAAAAATTCTTTAAAAAATCCACGTTTATGGATCAGATGGTCCTTGGAAAAAATTCTTTAAAAAATCCACGTTTATGGATCAGATAGTCCTTGGAAACAATTCTTTAAAAAATCCACGTTTATGGATCAGATAGTCCTTGGAAACAATTCTTTAAAAAATCCACGTTTATTGGTCTAAAGGTCCTTGGAAAAATTTCTTTAAAAAATCCACGTTTATTGGTCTAAAGGTCCTTGGAAAAATTTCTTTAAAAAATCCACGTTTATTGGTCTAAAGGTCCTTGGAAACATTTCTTTAAAAAATCCACGTTTATTGGTCTAAAGGTCCTTGGAAAAATTTCTTTAAAAAATCCACGTTTATTGGTCTAAAGGTCCTTGGAAAAATTTCTTTAAAAAATCCACGTTTATTGGTCTAAAGGTCCTTGGAAAAATTTCTTTAAAAAATCCACGTTTATTGCTGGGATGGTCCTTGGAAAAAATTCTTTAAAAAATCCACGTTTATTGCTGGGATGGTCCTTGGAAAAAATTCTTTAAAAAATCCACGTTTATTGCTGGGATGGTCCTTGGAAAAAATTCTTTAAAAAATCCACGTTTATTGCTGGGATGGTCCTTGGAAAAAATTCTTTAAAAAATCCACGTTTATTGCTGGGATGGTCCTTGGAAAAAATTCTTTAAAAAATCCACGTTTATTGCTGGGATGGTCCTTGGAAAAAATTCTTTAAAAAATCCACGTTTATTGCTGGGATGGTCCTTGGAAAAAAATCTTTAAAAAATCCACGTTTATTGCTGGGATGGTCCTTGGAAAAAATTCTTTAAAAAATCCACGTTTATTGCTGGCATGGTCCTTGGAAAAAATTCTTTAAAAAATCCACGTTTATTGGTCTAAGGGTCCTTGGAAAAATTTCTTTAAAAAATCCACGTTTATTGGTCTAAAGGTCCTTGGAAACATTTCTTTAAAAAATCCACGTTTATTGGTCTAAAGGCCCTTGGAAAAATTTCTTTAAAAAATCCACGTTTATTGGTCTAAAGGTCCTTGGAAAAATTTCTTTAAAAAATCCACGTTTATTGGTCTAAAGGTCCTTGGAAAAATTTCTTTAAAAAATCCACGTTTATTGCTGGGATGGTCCTTGGAAAAAATTCTTTAAAAAATCCACGTTTATTGCTGGGATGGTCCTTGGAAAAAATTCTTTAAAAAATCCACGTTTATTGCTGGGATGGTCCTTGGAAAAAATTCTTTAAAAAATCCACGTTTATTGCTGGGATGGTCCTTGGAAAAAATTCTTTAAAAAATCCACGTTTATTGCTGGGATGGTCCTTGGAAAAAATTCTTTAAAAAATCCACGTTTATTGCTGGGATGGTCCTTGGAAAAAATTCTTTAAAAAATCCACGTTTATTGCTGGGATGGCCCTTGGAAAAAAATCTTTAAAAAATCCACGTTTATTGCTGGGATGGTCCTTGGAAAAAATTCTTTAAAAAATCCACGTTTATTGCTGGGATGGTCCTTGGAAAAAAATCTTTAAAAAATCCACGTTTATTGCTGGGATGGTCCTTGGAAAAAATTCTTTAAAAAATCCACGTTTATTGCTGGCATGGTCCTTGGAAAAAATTCTTTAAAAAATCCACGTTTATTGGTCTAAGGGTCCTTGGAAAAATTTCTTTAAAAAATCCACGTTTATTGGTCTAAAGGTCCTTGGAAAAATTTCTTTAAAAAATCCACGTTTATTGGTCTAAAGGTCCTTGGAAAAATTTCTTTAAAAAATCCACGTTTATTGGTCTAAAGGTCCTTGGAAAAATTTCTTTAAAAAATCCACGTTTATTGGTCTAAAGGTCCTTGAAAAATTTCTTTAAAAAATCCACGTTTATTGGTCTAAAGGTCCTTGGAAAAAATCTTTAAAAAATCCACGTTTGTTGCTGGGATGGTCCTTGGAAAAAATTCTTTAAAAAATCCACGTTTATTGCTGGGATGGTCCTTGGAAAAAATTCTTTAAAAAATCCACGTTTATGGACCAGATCGTCCTTGGAAAAAATTCTTTAAAAAATCCACGTTTATTGCTGGGATGGTCCTTGGAAAAAATTCTTTAAAAAATCCACGTTTATTGCTAGGATGGTCCTTGGAAAAAATTCTTTAAAAAATCCACGTTTATTGCTGGGATGGTCCTTGGAAAAAATTCTTTAAAAAATCCACGTTTATTGGTCTAAAGGTCCTTGGAAAAATTTCTTTAAAAAAACCACGTTTATTGGTCTAAAGGTCCTTGGAAAAATTTCTTTAAAAAATCCACGTTTATTGGTCTAAAGGTCCTTGGAAAAATTTCTTTAAAAAATCCACGTTTATTGGTCTAAAGGTCCTTGGAAAAATTTCTTTAAAAAATCCACGTTTATTGGTCTAAAGGTCCTTGAAAAAATTTCTTTAAAAAATCCACGTTTATTGGTCTAAAGGTCCTTGGAAAAATTTCTTTAAAAAATCCACGTTTATTGGTCTAAAGGTCCTTGGAAAAATTTCTTTAAAAAATCCACGTTTATTGGTCTAAAGGTCCTTGGAAAAATTTCTTTAAAAAATCCACGTTTATTGGTCTAAAGGTCCTTGGAAAAATTTCTTTAAAAAATCCACGTTTATTGGTCTAAAGGTCCTTGGAAAAATTTCTTTAAAAAATCCACGTTTATTGGTCTAAAGGTCCTTGGAAAAATTTCTTTAAAAAATCCACGTTTATTGGTCTAAAGGTCCTTGGAAAAATTTCTTTAAAAAATCCACGTTTATTGGTCTAAAGGTCCTTGGAAAAATTTCTTTAAAAAATCCACGTTTATTGGTCTAAAGGTCCTTGGAAAAATTTCTTTAAAAAATCCACGTTTATTGGTCTAAAGGTCCTTGGAAAAATTTCTTTAAAAAATCCACGTTTATTGATCTAAAGGTCCTTGGAAAAAATTCTTTAAAAAATCCACGTTTATGGATCAGATGGTCCTTGGAAAAAATTCTTTAAAAAATCCACGTTTATGGATCAGATGGTCCTTGGAAAAAATTCTTTAAAAAATCCACGTTTATGGATCAGATGGTCCTTGGAAAAAATTCTTTAAAAAATCCACGTTTATGGATCAGATGGTCCTTGGAAAAAATTCTTTAAAAAATCCACGTTTATGGATCAGATGGTCCTTGGAAAAAATTCTTTAAAAAATCCACGTTTATTGGTCTAAAGGTCCTTGGAAAAATTTCTTTAAAAAATCCACGTTTATTGGTCTAAAGGTCCTTGGAAAAATTTCTTTAAAAAATCCACGTTTATTGGTCTAAAGGTCCTTGGAAAAATTTCTTTAAAAATCCACGTTTATTGGTCTAAAGGTCCTTGGAAAAATTTCTTTAAAAAATCCACGTTTATTGGTCTAAAGGTCCTTGGAAAAATTTCTTTAAAAAATCCACGTTTATTGCTGGGATGGTCCTTGGAAAAAATTCTTTAAAAAATCCAGGTTTATTGGTCTAAAGGTCCTTGGAAACAAATCTTTAAAAAATCCACGTTTATGGATCAGATGGTCCTTGGAAACAAATCTTTAAAAAATCCACGTTTATGGATCAGATGGTCCTTGGAAAAAATTCTTTAAAAAAATCCACATTTATTGATCTAAAGGTCCTTGGAAAAAATTCTTTAAAAAATCCACGTTTATGGATCAGATGGTCCTTGGAAAAAATTCTTTAAAAAATCCACGTTTATGGATCAGATGGTCCTTGGAAAAAATTCTTTAAAAAATCCACGTTTATGGATCAGATGGTCCTTGGAAAAAATTCTTTAAAAAATCCATGTTTATGGATCAGATGGTCCTTGGAAAAAATTCTTTAAAAAATCCACGTTTATTGCTGGGATGGTCCTTGGAAAAAAATCTTTAAAAAATCCACGTTTATTGCTGGGATGGTCCTTGGAAAAAATTCTTTAAAAAATCCACGTTTATGGATCAGATGGTCCTTGGAAAAAATTCTATAAAAAAAACCACGTTTATGGATCAGATGGTCCTTGGAAAAAATTCTTTAAAAAATCCACGTTTATGGATCAGATGGTCCTTGGAAAAAATTCTTTAAAAAATACACGGTTATGGATCAGATGGTCCTTAAAAAAAATTCTTTAAAAAAATTCACGGTTATGGATCAGATGGTCCTTGGAAAAAATTCTTTAAAAAATCCACGTTTATGGATCAGATGGTCCTTGGAAAAAATTCTTTAAAAAATCCAAAATTATTTTTGGGTTGGTCCTCGGAAAAAATTCTAATTATTTTTTAAAGCATATTTTTAGGAGATTATTTTTTTTTTTTACTATAAGTTTTGTCTTCTTTCCAGATCTTGTCCATTCTGTGACTGGTCCTCACAGAGCGGTGATCAAACTCAGCTGGATCGTCACTACTGGAAATCCTGTCCATTTCTGACAAAATGTCCCCAGTGTAGTCAAGTCCTGGAAGTGGCTGCCTTAAATTATCATCTGACAAGTGAGTCCAAAATTTTTTTTTAATATATTTTTTTTTTGAAATACCATTCTGCAATTTTGATTTTTATAAAAAAAAGAAAAAAAAGAAAAAAATATATTTTTTCAGTTTTTTTTTAATTTTTTTTAAGACTTTTAGTTATTTTATTTATTTATTTTTGTTTTTTTTTTTTTTTGGATTTTTCAAATTTGTTTCAATTTAAATCTTCATTTTTTCAGAGGAATGCGAGGTCAAGGACAACTACATCATGTGTGAAAGATGCACAGAGTCGGTACACAAGCAGCTCTACGATCTACACCAAATGGAGGACTATTGTAGAGGTGGGATTTTCTTTTCAAATTTTTAAAAAATATTTTTTTTATGAAATATCATCCAAATTTCTTTTGCAGAATTAAAAACCGGTGCAGCCCGTTGTCCCTTGTGCCACGATGATGTCCACTTACCTTTGGATGGTGGCTGGAAGCTTCATCTGCTGAGTGCCTCTGGTTGCCCAGGCAATACAAGAAGACGTTCCAAAAAATCCACTTCATCTTCGTAAATTTTTCACCAAAAAGAAAAGAGAGAAAAAAGAGAATGGATTGTTTACAAAAAATACTCGCTCATATTTTCATGGAGAGACTACCATTTATTTTTTTCAACTCTCTCACATACACACACAGTCCACTATCTGCCTTTATAAGATATATATGTATGTGTTACTGATATAAGAAAAATAATTTAGAAAAAAAAAATTGGCTAAATGAAATTTGAGGACTTGCAAGCGAAAGAAAAATATTGAAAAAAGTAATCAAAAAATATTGAAAAAAAAAATGGGAGCTTGAATATTTGATATCTGAAATGCGATAATAAATTCATGTTTGGCTCTTCTTTTTAGGGACTTAAAACTTAAGCACATTTTTGAAACTGAACCTAGACAAAAAAAAAACAAATGAAACTAAATTTAAGATTAAAAAAAAATTAAAATAATTATAAAAAAGGAAGAAATCCTGTCTTAAGCTGTTATGAGACTTTTTGCAGAAACACACATTTTTTGGAGCTTGAACATGAACATTTAAATTAAAAAGAGATAAAATATAGAAAAATCGGTTATAAAGATGATTTGATTTTTTTGTGAAATTCAAATCTTTTTTAAAACCATTAAAAAAAAAAAAGAAAAATAAATATTCTCACGAATTTTTGCAAAAACCTGCTATTGATTGATAGATAGCCATTTCAAAATTATAGATTTATCGACACCAATGAAATCAAATCGAAATAAAAATAGAATCCAAAAGCACGAACTTACAGGGCAGCAAAATACTGAGACATAAAGAGATGGATTGAATTTAAAAGAAAATATCAAAAAAAAAAGTAAAAAAAAATAAAAAATTTTAAACACACAAAATTTTCAAAAAAATAATATTTTTGTTAAAAACAATTAGCAAAGATTTAGATTCAGTTTTTTGAAAAAAAAATATTTTCAAAACATTCCAAAAAATATTTTTATAATTAATTTTATTGAATTGAACTCAATATTTATTCTCAACAGCATTTCAAAACCAATAAAGAAAGTCGCTAAGTGGGGCGGACCGACTTTATGATACCCTACACCCCTTTGCATATTTAGTAGAGCTTCATAAAACAAATAAAAAATAAAACAAATCGGATGCGAGCTATAGCTATATTCTGGTACCTCCCCCACAAAGGGTCAACATTTTGAATAACCAAAACGATCATAAATTCCGAAATAAGCATCCGGTTTTCATATTTCACACATCCCCTTATTTCTACTAACACAAGATCTGCGTTGTAGATGGGATATTTCGGTACACTCCTTCTGGTACCTCCCCCACAAAGGGTCATAGTTTTGAATATCCATGAAACTCATAAAACGCGAAATTAACTTTCGAATCTAACCAGACTTGGTACATCTCAATATTTCCATCAACACAAGATCATTTACAAAGATGGTAGAGATCGGGCCATTCCTTCTGGTACCTTCCACACAAAGGGTCAACATTTTGAATATCTATGAAGCTCATAAAACGCGAAATTAACTTTCGAATCTAACCAGACTTGGTACATCTCAATATTTCCATCAACACAAGATCATTTACAAAGATGGTAGAGATCGGGCCATTCCTTTTGGTACCTCCCCCACAAAGGGTCAAAATTTTGAATAACAAAAAACGATCATAAATTCCAAAATAAGCTTCCGGTTCTCTTCATATTTCACACATCCCATTATTTTTACTAGCACAAGATCTGCTGTGGAGATGGGATATATCGGTCCACTCCTTCTGGTATCTACCCCACAAAAGGTCAAAATTTTGAATATCTAAGAAAGTTCATAAAATGCAAAATTGACATCCAATTCCATTCAGACTTGTCACATCTCAATATTTCCATCAACACAAAATCTGTTTTAAAGATGGTAGGGATCGGACCATTTATTCTGGTACCTCTCCTACAAAGGTTCAATGTTTTGAAAACCCAAAAAGGTCATCAAATCTGAAATAAGCATCCGGTTCTCTTCATATTTCACACATCCCATTATTTAAACAAGATCTGCTGTGAATATGGGATATATCGGTACACTGGAAAATTTTGAATATATATAAACAATCGAACATTGGCTGAGGGTATACATCTGTCTGCAATACCTACTGACACTTTGTAACATGTTTTAATATTGTTTTTTTTTTCGAGTTTGCTTCTCCATTTTTTCCTCTCCAGTATTTTAAGGCCCCTGTAAGATTTATTCAAAACTAATAAAACATCTACAGATCAACCAAACACAACTCTAAAACAAATTAGAAAAAAAAACAAATATATAAAATTAAGTTTTATACATTTATACATATATAAATAAACACATATATAATTTATTTAATATATATATCTACAAATCACTGATATATAATTGCATACTCGTATACTTCCTATGTTCAATTTTTTTTTGTTAGGAACAAACAATTTGTTACTATTTGTTTTTAAGCAATTCTGTTAATCCATTATGTTCCTATTTTGTTAGCAAAAATACTATTTGTTTATTTAATTTTAAAAAATATATATATTTTTTTCTTTTTTAAAAAATAAGTTGAATATATTAAAATTAAGTTAAACTGAATTTCATTTGGCTGATGACAAGTTATGGCATTTGTGGATTGCCAATCAGAAATGTCTAAGTGACGGTGGCATCTCTAATATCATTGTTACTGGTTGGCAACATCAACCACGTAAAAGTGTTTTTGGCAACACTTACAATAGCCGTTGATAACAGAGATGAAAGGAAACCAGAAGTGAAGAAGAAATAGTTTCCCTCCATCCTCACCTCTCTTTCTCTCTTTTAGTGTTCTCTCAAACGCACCGCACCGTTCATTGCCTGATTGGAGAGTTAAAAAGCACCCTTTTTTGCCAATTGTCACAAAATTATTTTTAGCTATTGGCAACGCCAAATGAAATACAGTTGCCAACCACCCTCAAATCCCTGATGTCAATTTGATTAAAATTTCATCCCCTCTCCACAGAACAAATTGTTAACCCTTTTAGCTTTTGTTACAAACACCAATGTCTCAAAGAACAAAGTTTTCAATTATTTTTTAGACTAACCCAAACTTCAAGAATAAAACTCTAGTTAAACGTCCGTTAAATCTAACCCCTCCACAATTCAAAATGTAACAACAATTATTAGTAAATTAATGAATAAACAAAAATACAAATACAAAATACAAAATACAATTAAATTGTAGTTGACAAAAGAACAAAAAAATAAATAAAACTGATTCTGAATAAAAATGTAAAACCAAAAAATTTAAAGATTAAATGAGTTTTATTTCTTTTTTTTTTTACATTTTCAAAGAACGAGAATTTTTTAAAAATATATTTAGGGACCCTGAAAGTAATGTGGATTTTTGAACACATTTTTAAGGACTCACCAAGTAAGGACCCTGAAAGCAACATTGTTTTTTAAATATTTTCAATAGAATATGGATGGAATATGAATTATCAGAAAATTCACAAAACAAGTTCCTTCTGAGTACTTTACCCACTGGAAGAGTATTATGTGCATAACCACGTCTTCGTATAGCCTCCACATGACGGTACCTCCTAATATTCGATATTTTGATGATTTTAGCGACATTTTTAACCCGAGTTTTTTCAAATTTCGTATTAAGAGTTCGTAATGGGAACTACAGTCTATGACAGAAAATTGTCTATGTAGGTTCAGGTCTTCATATAGGCCCCATATATCAGTACCTCCTTATATTTGATATTTTGACGATTTTAGGTATAACATTCACCGAAATAATTTGAAATTTCATATTTTAAGTTCCTAATAGGTACTAGAGCCTGTAACAGAAAACTGTCTATGCAGGGTTAGGTCCTTGTATTGCTCCGATATACGATACCTACCTATATTCGGTATTTTGATGGTCTTCGTATAGCCTCCATATAACAGCACCTCCCAATATTCTGTTTTACTTATTTAAAAATCATTTTAAGGACCATCAAAGGAACTATTTTTGAAATACCTAAATTCGTCGATTCTTCTGGAAAATATTTTTTTTTTTTTCAATTTATTTACTTCTCCTTAACGAACACTTTTCCGACATAAATATTTAAGAGACAATTTTCTTTTAATTTCCCAATATGTGCGAAAGTGTCAGCCAATTAAATCTTGGTTGAAAATTAGCAATGCAATAACAACAAAACAATTATCAAATAATTTGATTGTGAATTTTTGAATAACCAAAAACGGAGGCATACACCTAGACATTTTCCAATACCCACTGTCATTCGTCAGTGAAATTGCTTGGTGTGTGGAAAATGTCCGATACGGAAAGGCAAAACTTGGATTATTTGCCCGTGCAGTTTGGAGCCTTTATGGTCTTGGGTTTGGATATTGGTGTGACCCGTCGGAGTGCGCTACTCAAATCGGGCTGGACGTTCCTCTTCAACATCCTCTGTACGGTTTTTATGGAATATGGATTTGCGAATTTCGTCATTAACAGCATCACCGACATTGATGCCATAACCTCTTCTCTGTCCATGTTTAATCAGGGCATGTTGCTGACATTCAAGGTTCTGGTGATGGTTTTTAAGGGTGATGAAATGTTGAAGTTAATATGGGATATGAATCGTTTGGCACGGGGAGGTAAGTTTGGGGGATTAGGGAGGGAGAAATTTAAAATTTTATTATTTCGATTTTCAGCCAATGCCAAGGAATGGGAAATCTGGATTTCGGAAAATCGCATGGGAAAGTGGATTGCCTTGGGTTACTATTATTGCTGCTACATTGCTGCGACCATAATGGCTGTTATGCCCTGGCTTTTTATGCTCTATGAATATGTCCAGGGAAGGGGAGTTCATCTTCGATTGCCATTTCAATTGCAGTAAGTTTGAATTGAGAGGATACTTTTAGAAATAAATTCTGAAAAAATATTAAAAAAAAAAATATTTTTTTAAAAAATGTTTAGAAAAGATATTTAAAAAAATTCTTGGAAAAAATTCTTGGAAGAAATATTAAAAAAAATCCAAGCCTTGGAAAAAATATTAAAAAAAATATATTTTTAAAAAATTCTTAGAAAAAAATATTAAAAAAAAGGTTCTTAAAAAAATACTTCTAAAATGGGCCTTTAAAAAAAAATATTTCCTAAAAAAATCACCTATATAAATGGGCCTGGAAAAAAAATCGACTTGTATAAAAAATTATTTTTTTTTTAATTTAAAAAAAAAGTTTAAATTAAAAAATAAATAAATTTTTAAATAAAAATTTTAATTTTTTAAAAAAAGAAATTTTAAATTTTTTAATAAAAATTTTAATTTTTTAAAAAAGAAATTTTACATTTTTTAATAAGAATTTTAAATTAAAAAAAATTAAAAAAATATTTAAAAAAAAAATTAAAAAAAAAATATTTAAAAAACACGTGTAAGTGGGTCTTATAAAAAATATTTGTATAAAATTCCACTTCAAAATGGGCTTTAAAAATATTTTTAAAAAATACACGTCTAAATGGGTCTTGAAAAAATATTTAAAAAACATCTAAATGGGCATTGGAAAAACTTTTAAAAAAATCAACGTCTATAAATATTTAATTTTTTTAAATTTTAAAAATTTAAATAAAGTTTATATTTCTGAATAAAAATTTTAAAATTAAAAAAAAATATTTATAAAAAAATCCTCGTCTACAAATATTTAATTTTTCTAAATTTTAAAAATAATTATTTAAAAAATATTTTTAAAAAAATCGACGTCTAAAATATTTTATTTATTTTTTTAAATTTTAAAAATGTATAAAAAATATTAAAATTTTGAATAAAAATTTTAAAATTTAAAAAAATTTAAAAAAATATTTTTAAAAAATCCACGTCTTTAAATGTGACTTGGAAAAAATATTTTTAAAAAATCCACGTCTTTAAATGTGACTTGGAAAAAATATTTTTAAAAAATCCACGTCTTTAAATGTGACTTGGAAAAAATGTTTTTAAAAAATCCACGTCTTTAAATGTGACTTGGAAAAAATGTTTTTAAAAAATCCACGTCTTTAAATGTGACTTGGAAAAAATGTTTTTAAAAAATCCACGTCTTTAAATGTGACTTGGAAAAAATATTTTTAAAAAATCCACGTCTTTAAATGTGACTTGGAAAAAATATTTTTAAAAAATCCACGTCTTTAAATGTGACTTGGAAAAAATATTTTTAAAAAATCCACGTCTTTAAATGTGACTTGGAAAAAATATTTTTAAAAAATCCACGTCTTTAAATGTGACTTGGAAAAAATATTTTTAAAAAATCCACGTCTTTAAATGTGACTTGGAAAAAATATTTTTAAAAAATCCACGTCTTTAAATGTGACTTGGAAAAAATATTTTTAAAAAATCCACGTCTATAAATGTACCTTGAAAAAAATTTAAAAAATCCACGTCTATAAATATACCTTGAAAAAAATTTAAAAAATCCACGTCTATAAATGTACCTTGAAAAATATTTTTAAAAAATCCACGTCTATAAATGTACCTTGAAAAAATATTTTTAAAAAATCCACGTCTATAAATGTACCTTGAAAAAATATTTTTAAAAAATCCACGTCTATAAATATACCTTGAAAAAAATTTAAAAAATCCACGTCTTTAAATGTGACTTGGAAAAAATATTTTTAAAATATCCACGTCTTTAAATGTGACTTGGAAAAAATATTTTTAAAAAATCCACGTCTATAAATGTACCTTGAAAAAATATTTTTAAAAAATCCACGTCTATAAATGTACCTTGAAAAATATTTTTAAAAAATCCACGTCTATAAATGTACCTAGAAAAAATGTTTTTAAAAAATCCACGTCTATAAATGTACCTTGAAAAAATATTTTTAAAAAATCCACGTCTATAAATGTACCTTGAAAAATATTTTTAAAAAATCCACGTCTATAAATGTACCTTAAAAAAATATTTTTAAAAAATCCACGTCTATAAATGTACCTTGAAAAAATATTTTTAAAAAATCCACGTCTGTAAATGTACCTTGAAAAAATATTTTTAAAAAATCCACGTCTATAAATGTACCTTGAAAAAATATTTTTAAAAAATCCACGTCTATAAATGTACCTTGAAAAATATTTTTAAAAAATCCACGTCTATAAATGTACATAGAAAAAATATTTTTAAAAAATCCACGTCTATAAATGTACCTTGAAAAAATATTTTTAAAAAATCCACGTCTATAAATGTACCTTGAAAAATATTTTAAAAAATCCACGTCTATAAATGTACCTTGAAAAAATATTTTTAAAAAATCCACGTCTATAAATATACCTTGAAAAAAATTTAAAAAATCCACGTCTATAAATGTACCTTGAAAAATATTTTTAAAAAATCCACGTCTATAAATGTACCTTGAAAAAATATTTTTAAAAAATCCACGTCTATAAATGTACCTTGAAAAAATATTTTTTAAAAAATCCACGTCTATAAATGTACCTTGAAAAAATATTTTTAAAAAATCCACGTCTATAAATGTACCTTGAAAAAATATTTTTAAAAAATCCACGTCTATAAATGTACCTTGAAAAAATATTTTTAAAAAATCGACGTCTATAAATATACCTTGAAAAAAAAATTTAAAGATCCACGTCTATAAATGTACCTTGAAAAAAATATTTTTAAAAAATCCACGTCTTTAAATGGGTTTTGGAAAAAATATTTTTAAAAAATCCACGTCTTTAAATGGGACTTGGAAAAATTATTTTTAAAAAATTCACGTCTTTAAATGGGACTTGGAAAATATTTTTAAAAAATCTACGTCGTTAAATGGGTCTTGGAAAAAATATTTTTAAAAAATCCACGTCTTTAAATGGGACTTGGAAAAATATTTTTAAAAAATCCACGTCTCTAAATGGGACTTCGGAAAAATATTTTTAAAAAATCCACTTTAATCGAAATTTTTTGACCCTTTTTGCAGATTCTTCTTTGTCAGTGGTAATGGTTTTCACATTTCGATTTTCTATTATATCGGCACCCTGTTGGTGGTTCGGGCCTGGTTCAATATGTCGGTGGGCATTGATACCCTCTTCGGTTGGTATATTTTTGCCGTGTCTGGACATTTTCGCATTCTACGCCATAAAATCAAGGAGACCGCCCTGAAGATTGATGCCTACGACAATCATCGAGATTTTGTCAGCGATGTTGCCGCCTTCGTAAGCTATCACAATCGAACATTGAAATTTACCGAAAATCTAAATCGTTTGTATGGTGAGATATTATGGAGTGAAATATCGATGAGTTGCCTGCAGTTGTGTTTCCTACTCTACTCGCTGACCAATGATGAGAATTTCGCCAATATTCCATTTCATTTTTTTGCCTCGGCCGCCATAACCATGCAGTTGATGATTTACTGTTTCGGTGGGGAGAAGTTGAAAAATGAGGTACGTTAAAGGGGGGGGGAGGGGGATATCTCCCTGCTCTCAAATAATTCTGATTTTTCCTCCTCAGAATGACATGCTGTGCCATGACATCTATATGGCCATGCCGTGGGAGAAAATGTATCCCTCGGAGAAAAAGCTGATGCTGTTGCCTTTGCTAAGGACCCAAAGGGAAATTTCCTTGAAGGGCTTATATTTTGTAATCAATGTGAATTTGTTGGTGTTTGTAGGTCGCGGCAAATTCTTCTGTTTCGAAATTACTAAAGTTCAACTTTTTTGCAGATTTTCAAGACAGCCTTTTCTTTCATTACCCTGCTCGGAGCCATGAAGGAAATATAGATCGCAAATAAATCGAAGAGATTTTTCTTAAATGCACCATTTTTTAAGCACCTTTTAAAGTAGAAGTTATTTGAAAAATATATTTGACACCGTAGACCACTAAAAAGTTGTCCTTAAAATTTTTCCTAAAAAACAAATCTTCTAAGATAAGGTCTTTAGGTATGGATTATTTGAAAAATTATATATCTAAAAAATCCACGTATCCACTTTTTGTACCCTCAGCCATATGGCAGCCATACGTCCCTCATCGAACTAACAGTTTTAGACCCTAGGTCTCTTTGGACCAAATCCGTTTCAGGACATTTGTAAGTCGATCTAGCGATGTCCGTCCCTCTGTCTGGCTGGTGCGCATGATAACCTTCGAAGGGAGTATCCGATTTTTTATTTTTGTTAAACTTAGATCGAGTTCGGAGATGGTCAAAATCGGGCCACTCATTCTGGTACCTCCCCCACAAAAGGTCGAAATTTTCAAAAAATATATTTTCTGCACAGAAAGAGAAATGATAATCCGATTTTGCTCCAACTTTGAAATTCCTCATATTTGCATCAGTGCTAGTTCAGGTGTGAAAATTAACAATATCGGTTCACTCCTTCTGGTACCACCCCCACAAAGGGACAAAATTTTGAATATTTATGAAGCTCATAAAACACGAAGTTAACATCCGATCCCATTCAGACTTGGCTCATCTCAATATTTCCATCAACACAAGATATGTTATAAAGATGGTAGAGGTCGGACCATTTCTTCTGGTACCTCCCCCACAAAGGGTTAACATTTTGAATAACCAAATGATTATAAAATCCAAAATTAGCTTCCGGTTCTCTTCATATTTCACCCATTCCATTATTTCTACTTACACAAGATTTGCTGTGAAGATGGAATGTATCGGCGCACTCCTTCTGCTACCTCCCCCACAAAGGGTCGGAATTTTGAATAACCACGAAGCTCATAAAACGCGAAATTAACATCCGATTCCATTCCGACTTGGTACATCTCAATATTTCCATCAACACAAGATATGTTTTAAAGATGGTAGAGATCGGGCCATTCCTTCCGGTACCTGCACCACAAAGGGTTAACATTTTGAATAACCAAATGATTATAAAATCCAAAATTAGCTTCCGGTTCTCTTCATATTTCACCCATTCCATTATTTCTACTTACACAAGATTTGCTGTGAAGATGGAATGTATCGGCGCATTCCTTCTGCTACCTCCCCCACAAAGGGTCGGAATTTTGAATAACCATGAAGCTAATAAAACGCGAAATTAACATCCGATTCCATTCAGACTTGGCACATCTCAATATTTCCATCAACACTAGATATGTTTAAAAGATGGTACAGATCGGACCATTCCTTCTAGTACCTCCCCCACAAAGGGTTAAAATTTTGAATATCCATGAAGGTCATAAAACGCGAAATTAACATCCGATTCAATTAAGACTTGGCACGTCTCAATATTTCCTTCAACACTTGATATGTTTAAAAGATGGTACAGATCGGACCACTCCTTCCGGTACCTGCCCCACAAAGGGTTAACATTTTGAATAACCAAATGATTATAAAATCCAAAATTAGCTTCCGGTTCTCTTCATATTTCACCCATTCCATTATTTCTACTTACACAAGATTTGCTGTGAAGATGGAATGTATCGGCGCACTCCTTCTGCTACCTCCCCCACAAAGGGTCGGAATTTTGAATAACCATGAAGCTAATAAAACGCGAAATTAACATCCGATTCCATTCAGACTTGGCACATCTCAATATTTCCATCAACACTAGATATGTTTAAAAGATGGTACAGATCGGACCATTCCTTCTAGTACCTCCCCCACAAAGGGTTAAAATTTTGAATATCCATGAAGGTCATAAAACGCGAAATTAACATCCGATTCAATTAAGACTTGGCACGTCTCAATATTTCCTTCAACACTTGATATGTTTAAAAGATGGTACAGATCGGACCACTCCTTCTGGTACCTCCCCCACAAAAGGTCAAAGTTTTGAATAACCAAAACGATTATAAAATCCGAAATATGCACCCGGTTCTCTTCATATTTCACACATCCCATTATTTCTACTAACACAAGTTATGTGGTGAAGATGGAATGTATCGGCGCACTCCTTCTGGTACCTCCCCCACAAAGGGTCGGAATTTTGAATATCCATGAAGCTCATTAAAAGCGAAATTAACATCCGATTCCAATCAGACTTGACACATTTGAATATTTCCTTCAACACAAGATATGTTTCAAAGATGGTATAGATCCGACCATTTCTTCTGGTACCTCCCCCACAAAGGGTCAAAGTTTTGAATAACCAAAACGATTATAAAATCCGAAATAACCGTCCGGTTCTCTTCAAATTACACACTTCGCAATATTTTTATTAACCCAAGATGTGGTGTGAAGATGGAATGTATCGGCGCACTCCTTCTAGTACCTCCCCCACAATGGGTCGGAATTTTGAATAACCATGAAACTCATAAAACACGAAATTAACATTCGATTCCATTCAGACTTGGCACATCTCAGTATTTCCATCAACACAAGATCTGTTGTAAAGATGGTAGAGATCGGACCATTCCTTCTGGTACCTCCCCCACAAAAGGGTCAAAGTTTTAAATAACCAAAACGATTATAAAATCCGAAATAAGCATCCGGTTGTCTTCATATGTCACCCATCACAATACTTTCATTAACCCAAGGTCTGGTGTGAAGATGAGATATATCGGACCATTCCTTCTGGTACCTACCCCACAAAGGGTCGGAATTTTGAATAACCATGAAGCTAATAAAACGCGAAGTTAATATCCGATTCCATTCAGACTTGGCACATCTCAATATTTCCATCAACACAAGATATGTTTTAAAGATGGTAGAGATCGGGCCATTCCTTCCGGTACCTGCCCCACAATGGGTCAAAGTTTTGAATAACCAAAATTATTATAAAATCCGAAATAAGCATCCGATTCACTGCATATTTTACACATCTCATTATTTCTACTAACAAAAGATCTGCTGTGAAGATAGAATATATCGGTCCATTCCTTCTGGTACTTCCCCCACAAAGGGTCGGAATTTTGAATATCCATGAAGCTCATAAAACACGAAATTAACATCCGATTCCATTCAGACTTGGTACATCTCAATATTTCCATCAACACAAGATATGTTTTAAAGATGGTAGAGATCGGGCCATTCCTTCCGGTACCTGCCCCACAATGGGTCAAAGTTTTGAATAACCAAAACTATTATAAAATCCGAAATAAGCATCCGGTTCTCTTCTAACTACACACATCAAAATATTTTTATTAACCCAAGATGTGGTGTGAAGATGAAATGTATCGGCGCACTCCTTCTGGTACCTCCCCTACAAAGGGTCGGAATTTTGAATAACCATGAAGCTCATAAAACACGAAATTAGCATCCGATCCCATTCAGATTTGGTACATCTCAATATTTCCATCAACACAATATATGTTATAAAGATGGTAGAGATCGAACCACTCCTTCTGGTACCTCCCCCACAATGGGTTAAAATTTTGAATATCCATGAAGGTCATAAAACGCGAAATAAGCATCAGGTTCTCTTCATATTTCACACATCCCATTATTTTTACTAACAAGAGATCTGCGTTGAAGATGGGAAACATCGGTCCACTCCTTCTGGTACCTACCCCACAAAGGGTCGGAATTTTGAATAACCATGAAGCTAATAAAACGCGAAGTTAATATCCGATTCCATTCAGACTTGGCACATCTCAATATTTCCATCAACACAAGATCTGTTGTAAAGATGGTAGAGATCGGACCATTTTTTCTGGTACCTCCCTCACACATGGTTCAAGTTTTGAATAACCAAAACGATTATAAAATCCGAAATAAGCATCCGGTTCACTTCAAATTTCACACATCCCATTATTTTTAATAACAAAAGATCTGCTGCGAAGATGGGAAACATCGGTCCACTCCTTCTGGTACCTCCCCCACAAAGGGTCGGAATTTTGAATAACCATGAAGCTCATAAAACACGAAATTAACATCCGATTCCACTCAGATTTGGCATATCTCAATATTTCCTTCAACACAAGATCTGTTGTAAAGATGGTAGAGATCGGACCATTCCTTCTGGTACCTCCCCCACAAAGGGTCAAAGTTTTAAATAACCAAAACGATTATAAAATCCGAAATAAGCATCCAACTCTCTTCAAATTTCACACATCCAAATATTTTTGCTAACACAAAATCTGTTCTGAAGATGATATATATCTGCGAAACCCTTCTGGTCCCTCAACCACAAAGGGTCACAATTTTCAATACTTTTATCTGTCATAACTTGCGAAAATTCTCAGCAATTCTTTACCAGGAACCCAAAATGGATTTTTTTTAATTTTGAATTCACCTCAGTAGCCTTTGAAAACAAAATATTTCAAAAAGAAAAAAAATTGAAAACAATTTTTTTCATTCCAAAAAATAATCTCCTAACAGACGGTTCTGTTTCTGCAATCGAATATGGAAGAGTAAGTATTTCAAATCTCTGAGACAATTTTACCTCAAAATTCCATTGTAGGGATATTAAATTTGGAAAACGTCTACGCAATTGCTGTCGCATCCATCACAATGGCTTCTTTAATTTCCTGTCGCCGCTGGTGCTACTACCCTTGGTGTTTCGGGAACCTACATTGGTATGTATTTTCAGTTTGTGATGCATTAACTATTTTCTTAATATCCCGAATAGGAATACCGCACCCTATATCTGCTGATATTATCCTTGCTTTGGTATACCGTCGATGTCATACCCCAGGGTGTTACGGCAGTCCTGCCTATGGTATTGTTGCCCATTTTTGGGGTTATGGTAAGAAGGAAAAATGTTTGTTTTCTCTTAATTTTCCAAAAAAAAAAAATTTTTTTTCATCATCAGTCCTCGACGGAGGTGTGCATGTCCTACACCCAGGACAGTCAAATGGTATTTGTCTTGGCCTGTTTCATGGCCATAGCCATGGTGAACAATAGATTGGATCGTTTTTTGGCTCTGAGACTTTTGAGGACAATTGGTGTAAATCCGATGAGGTATGACCACTAAACCTTCTCTCAAGATAGACCAGGACTTACAAAGGATATAATTTTCGTTCCTTTAGAATTTTAGCCTTCTTGATGGTTTTCACGTTCATTTTGTCCGCCTTGATACCAAATGCCTGTGCCTGTTCCCTGATGATACCCACAGCAAGGGCTATGCTATCGATTCTGGATGAGCTGGGTGTTTGCAGAGCCTTGGAGGAGAGAGACATGGAAATTGGTGATGGGTAAGTAACATATTTTTAATTTGATGCGGAACCCAAGGAAAAATTTTTTATCAGGAAAAACATATTAAAAAACAAAAAGAAAAATTAAATTTAAATCAACTATTTAAAAAAATATTTTATAAAAATATTAAAAAAAATATTTTATGAAAATATTAAAAAATATTTTTTAAACATATTAAAAAAATATTTTTTTTTAAATATGAACAAAAATATATATAAAAAAAGAAAATTAAATTTGATATAAAAAAATTAAGAAAGAAAAATTAAATTTAAATCAACTATTAAAAAAAATATTTTATAAAAATATAAAAAAATATATTTTTTAAAAAAATATTAAGAAAATATTTTTTAAAAATAAAGACATATTTTTTAAAATATTAAAATAATAAAAAAATCATTATTAAAATAAATAAATTAATATAAAAGAAATATTCAATAAAAATATTTTATAAAAATATTTTTTTAATATTTTATTTTTATTTGTTTTTTATATTATTTATTTTTTCAAAAAAAAAATATTTAAAAAAAAATTAATTTAAACCAACAATAAAAAAATAATTTATAAAAATATTTTCTAAAATTTTTTTTTTAAATATGAACAAAAAATATTTATGTGTTTGTTTTCTCTAGTATTTTCTACAAAAAAAAATATGTGAAAAAAAGGAAAAATTAAATTTGAATCAAATCAAAAAAAATATTTTTAAAAATAAAGAAAAAATTTTTTTTAAAAATTTAAAAAAATTGTATAAACATATTAAAAAAAATATATTTTACAAAAATGTGTTTTTTAAAATATGAACAAAAAATATTTTCTGCAAAATATATTTAAAAAAACAAAAGGAAAACTTAAATTTTCATCTACTATTAAAAAATATTAAAAAAATATATTTTTTTAAATATTGACAAAATATTTTCTAAAAATATCAAGGAAATATTTTTAAAGAATATTAAAACTTTTTTTTAAATATTAACAAAAAATATTTTATAAAAATGTTAAAAAAATATTTAATAAAAATTTTATAAAAATATTAGAAAAATATATACAAAATAATAAAAATATTAAAAAAATAATTTATAAAAATAATAAAAGCATATTGTATAAAAAATATAAAAAAAATTGAAATATAAAAATAAAAAATTTTATAAAAATAACAAATTTTATAAAAATATCAAAAAAAAATTACAAAAATGTGAAATTTAAATCAACTATCAAGAAAAATATTTAATAAAAATAAAAAAATGTTTTTTTTTTTAAATATTAACAAAAAAATAAAAAATATTTAATAAAAATATTAAAGAAATATTTAATAAAAATATTTTTATATAAATGTGACCAACAATTATTTTTTTTTCAAAAAATATTTAAAAAACAAAAAGAAAAATTAAATTTAAATCACTATTAAAAATATTATTTTGAAAAAATATTTTTAAAATATTTTTTTTTAAATATGAACAAAAAATATTTTCTGAAAAAAATATTTAAAAAACAAAAAGAAAAATTTAATTTAAATCAACTATTAAAAAATTTTTATAAATATATAAAAAAATATTTTGTAAAGAAAAATTTAAAATATTTTATAAAATATTAATAAATATTTTTTTAAAACTATTAAAAAAAATTTCTAATATATTAATAAAAAATTACAAAAATAAAAAACATATTTTATAAAAATATTGAAAAAAAAAATCTTTTTTTAAAAATATTAGCAAAATTATTAAAAAATAATGCATAAAAAATTAAGAAAAAAAAAAACATTTTTTTGAATATAAACAAAATATAATTTCTGCAAAAAAATAAATATTAAATCAATTATTAAATTAATATAAATATAAAATATATTTTATAAAAACATTAACAAAATTATTTAAAAATATTAAATAAAAAATTAAAAAAAAACATTTTTTTAAATATTAACAAAAAATAATTTCTGCAAAAAATAAATACTAAATCAATATTTTATAAAAATATAAAAAAATAAAAGTATTAACAAAAAATATTAAATAAATATTTTCTAAAAATATTCAAAAAAAAATATGAAAAATAAAGAATTTTATAAAATATACAGAATTATCTTATAAAAATTATAAAAATATTAAAAAAATATTGTATAAAAATTTAAAAAAAAAACATAGTTTATAAAAAAATTAAAAAAATATCTAATAAAGGTATTAAGAATTCATAATATTTATATTTTATTTCATAAAAATATTCAAAAAAATATTATCAAAACATATTTTCTAAAGCTATCAAAAAATATGCAATAAAATACTAAAAAATAAATAATTTTTGGTCTGTTCCAGAACTTGATGATATCAAAAAAAATTGCAAAAATAGTGGATTCTTGCTGGTTCTGGAACAGAGCATTTATAAAATATACTCTGTTCCTGTACCTGCAAGAATCTTCTAGTTTTGCAATTTTCTTCGATATCGTAAAGGGAAGATCGGTTATCATAGTAAAAACTTTTATATTCTTGCAGTTCTGGAAACGACCAATAATCCTACATAAGCTTGAAAATGTCCTTCCTTCATGAAATACTTTAAAAATATGCCACATATCTTTGAGCTCAGCCTATCTTGAATCCTAACCGTTTTTCTAATTAAAATTCGTTTCCTTAGTTTCAGCTCCCCATCCGCTGCTCCCTCGAAAGTGGCAAATGCATTTTATATTGGAATTGGTTTTGCTGCCAACATTGGTGGCATGCTAACGCCTTGGTCTTCCGAAGCTGGATATGAGTTCCTAAAAATATATAAGAGGTGAGTAAAATCAATAAAAAATTAATTAAATGAATATAAAAATTTAAAAAAAATGTAAATCCATTCTGAAATCTTGATTCCTCTTCCAGCAATCTTCAGATCGGCACTTTCATCACATCCGCCGCCACGTCCATACTACTGCTAACTTTCACAATGGTTTACCTTCAAATAGCATTTCTGCTTCTATGGCGTTCCAAGCGTAAAAAGCAAATAACCTTTGATGCGGCTGCCCTTACGCCAACTTTGGATGTCCTAATTCAAGGTGAAAGGGAAAATGGAGTGGCGGACATAATAATCACCGGTCTTCTGATGATTGTGTATGTTTTTGTTTTGATTGGCGCTAGAGTTGTGGAAGAAATGCAATATTTGAATGACACAGTGTAAGTAAGGGGTTTTTAGGTCGATAAATGACCTTCCACAAATCTTTAAAGAATAGGTGGATTACCTATTAACCTTCCATAGATTTAAAAAAAAAAAAATAGAAGCCTGTAAAATTATCTCCATTTATTGAAGATCAAAAGGAGGTCGTCCATTTTTAAATCTATTTTCTAAAAACTTTTAAAATTCTACTTGATTTAATTTTTTTAATTTTCCTTTTCAATACCTTTTTACAGTCTCATCAAATATTCCACACTTGTTATGCTAATCTGCCTTGTAGCTTTTGTTTGTCCCAATAATTGTTCTCATTTGAATTACTTTTTATGTCGTGGTAAGAATTTGCGACCCATTTTGAATTTTTTTCTTTGATGACAACCTAACCTCATTCTCTCCCCCCGCAGAACCCAATAGCTACAAAATGTCGCCGAGCATATTACCCTGGTCAGCAATACCAAAACTAATGCCCTGGAATTATTTCCTTGTATATGGCAGCAGCTTGGCCTATGGCATGGCTCTGGAGAAATCTGGCCTACCAACATATCTGATGGAACATTTGGAAGGGGTTACAAATAACATGACCCTAAAGCTAATGGGTTTTATGGTAATTGCGATTCTGTTGACACTTCTTGGGGCCAATCATTTGGTGGCAAGGGTCCTTATGATGGAGGCTGTCAAATGGGTAAATAGAAAATATCCAGTTTTGAGGCCAATCATTTTAAAAATTTCTTTGCCAGGCCACTTTGGATAATGAGCAGCCTTTATTCGTTGCACTAGCCTTGTGCCTTACTTCCACTGTGGCATTCTTGCTGCCGGTTAGCAGTGTTTCGAATTGTTTTACTGCCGGTTGGGGTAATTTGAAGTCCAAGGACATGGTGGGTTCTGGAAAAATTCAAAATTTTTATTAAATATTTAAAAAAAAAACTTTGCTTATTTATAGATAATTGCCGGTGTTGGACCAACTTTGTTCGGTTACTTTTTGATTTTGGGTGTTATTGAACTGCAGAGATATTTTCCATTATTTTAAAACACAATTTTTCCTTTTATGAATTTCTATGAATAAAAATACTAATTATTTGAAAATTAAACGTTTAAAGATATAACATTTAAGAATGGACCGCATGGGGAAGTAAAGTGGCGTGGTAGGCAAACTGATTTTTAATGCCTTAATTCCTCATAAAAACTATTTGAGTAAGGCTGGAAATACATAAAGCGCATATTTGGCTGGCTTAAGTCATCGGCTGGCTTCTTCGTAGATGAACAAAGGAGTTTTAGGTTGACCTAGTTCGATTTTGGCCCTAGTCTCCTTTGTTCATTTCCGAAGAAGCCAGCCGATGACTTAAGCCAGCCAAATATGCGCTTTATGTATTTCCAGCCTAAGCATCACAGTTTATATTCCTATATGAACATGACATAAGGGTTTTATCATTGCTCTGTTTCGGAACTGCAAAAATGTACAAATTTTTAATAGGATAACTTAATTTTCCTTCATGACAAAATGTGATAAACGCAACTATAAAAGGCAACGAATATTAGATGTGCTGATAGTTTATGAAAAAACGCCATACGCAATCATTCAACATTGTTTTTATGCCTATTTTTCAACATAATTAACAAATTCTAAGACAAAACGTCTCAAATCACACGTCCGTGGGAACATGCCATAAGACTATTAGCATATGTTCGATATTATTCGATTATAATTGCTATCGATATGGACACAGGAGAGCTCTATCTACAATCTGTCAAAAGTCGGCTTCCACATCCCTAGTCTTTGCGCTGTCTGTCGAACGAAAAGCACTGGGAGGATTTTTTTTTGCCGTCGTTGAAATTTCAATTTGATTCGTTTCGGCAAGCATACACAACAAAGTAGTGAAGTGAAAGAAAAATTTAGAAATTTATAAATAAAACAATAGAAAATATGCTTATATAAATTATGAACAACAAAGAATGCTAATTAATTTGAACAAACAATTTCGACAGCCGAAAAAAATCTCAGCAAAAATAAACGAAATATCCTTGCTTGTTTGTTGGCTGCTCCTTTTGTGTCTGTAAACGGTAAAAATCAATAGTGGTTTGCTATTTTTGACAGCAGAAGAAAAGCAGGCAGTGATTTTGTTTTTAGAAAATTAAACTATTTTAACTTCCGCATTAGGAAATATAAAAATAAATCGGAAAGAAAAAATTCAAATGTGCTGTGAGAAGTGAGCAAAAAAAAAAAGCGAAAAGCAAAAATATTGTGTGCGTGCGTGAGTCTGTGTTTGCCAACATTGAAAATCTCGTGACGTCTTTTATTCTTCTTGCTTTGTCCTTCCCACCTGCACCAGCTGGCTGGCTAGCTGTCTGTCTGCGTGCCTGCCTGCCCCGACTCGAGAGCTATTTAATCCCGGTCTTTCGGTTTTCCCTTTTGCGTGGGCGTTTTATTAATTTGTTTTTGCGTGCGTGTGTGTGCCCACATGTTCTTGTGATTGGCTGGCTGGACGCGTTTTTTTTTTTTGCACACGTTTTTCCTCCCCCTACGATTTCACATTGGAATCTTGTTATCATTTTATCCTCATCGTTCACATCATGACAATTTAATACTACGTTAAAAATTGCTTTAATTCTTTTTAACACAAATCCCCCTTTTTATTTACAACTAGTGTGTGTGGTTGTTTGTGTGTTCTTTTTAATTAAATTCAATTAAAGTTAAAAAACAAAAACAAAACACGAAAGAAAACCCAAACCCATCAACATTTACCAGCCCGCCATCGAAGCCAACAACAATTTTTTTTCCTCATTTCAAAAACAGGCAGCAACAAAACATAACACAAATACATTTGCACAAAGAAAACAAAAAGAAAAGAGAAATTATACCGGGTGTCCCTGTGTGTGTGTGTGTGTGCGGCTGCTGGGCCGGCTTGATATGCCGCCGTTGACCATTGGGATTTATTACAATTAATTCCCCCCTTTCTACAACTACGCTACCGCTAACTCTCTGTCACTGTCATCTCTCTCTGCATTTTTCTGACTCTCATCATCTCCTCTCCATTGGGGATTGATTGGATCTCTCTCTCTAGTTCTCGCACTCATTCACAACAACTCCCCCATTACCGGCGCCACTCACAATGACGTTGCTGCAACAGCTGTTGAATTATAAATACCTAAGTAAAGAACATCTCAATGGATTCGATAATTACAAGGTAATTTGAAATTTATATTAAATTTAGAGTTTTTAATTAATTATCTATAATTTAAGGGTTAAATGGGATGCTATGGTATATTTGAATAGAAGTGCAGAGGAAGTAATTGACAAAGTAGTGATTTCAGAGCATTGTTTTGCAGGGGAAAAATTGCAACATATTTGGGGTTATTGGAAGAGGATTAAAACAACTTCAAGGTTCCTAGTGGGGGAAAAGAAACCCATCATATGAATAATTAACTCCATATTTAAGCTGTTTATTAGTTATCATTGGCTACGTCACACCGAGACATTGTATTCATCCTCCAAAGCCAGCCAATCAATGGAATAAAAAATAATTATAGTTCAATGTTGTTGGACGATTGGTTTGGAAATGGCAGCAGTCTGAAGTTGGTGGCAGCTTTTTCATCTCACCCTGTATTCCATTAGAGAGATATAGGAAAACAAATTTCATTTATTGGCCAAAAATAATTTCTTTAAAAATTTCTAGTCCATTTTGCCTTTGAGTACAATGCTGTTGGTTACACATCTTTAGGCTCATCTTATTAGTGGTAGCCTACTTAAAATGTCTTCCCTCTTTACACTTTACAAAAAATCTACTTTCAACTCTTCCCAAATTTCTTATATTGAAGTTAGACAAAGAGGGGTTCATATAAATGTACAAATCTTAAAAAAAATTCCATGACCACTTATCACAAAAAGGTTTCTCCACAATGTAGAAAATTAATCATGTGTTTTTGCAAAAGAAACCCTCAAAGAAAAATAAACCGGAATGTGCCTATGTACTTTTTTTCTTTCTTTTCTCTTATGCTCCCCCCATTCCGACTAAGTAAACATTCGTGGTCTGAGATTTTTTGTTCTTTATTCAATTTCAATTGTTGGCTTATACCACGAAATTTAGGCCAAACAATGGTGGCGTACCAACTAAATTCGCACGTGTTCTCTACAGTTGAATGAACCTACCCACAGAAGCACCATCCGACCAAGTGTTTGGTGTTTGGTTTTTTCTGTCAACACAAGTGTTCGCTACTTATGACCGGTAATTAAAGGCAAACATAAAATATTTATTTGGAAATATTTTATTTTCTTTGGGTGGAAGGTTTATAATAAAAAAAATAATTGAAATTGAAATCTTAATTTTTGTACCCTTTATCAAAAACCTTCCTCTTCACATCACCTCAAAGTTTTCGTCTGAAATCCACAAATTATATATACGAAAGTTAACTTGAAAGAAAAAAAAAACTCCAATTCGTGAGTATTTTTATACCCTCCACCATACATAATATGGAGGGTATATTAATTTCATCAATCCGTTTATAACTCATCGAAATAATAATTTTAGACATAACAGATTATAAATATTCTTGATCAGCGTAAAATTATAAGACGTTTAAGCCCTGTCCATCCGTCTGTTGTATTCAAGCTAGAGTCAAAAGGAGTAGGGATAGGAAGCTTAAATTAAGCAAAGATAAGTCTTTTATGTGCAGTCAGGCCAAGTTCGAAGATGAACTATATTGGGCCACGATAAAGTAGGCAGGTCAAGTTCGAAGATGGGCTATATTGTTGGACCACGATATCGTATAGCCCCCATATAAAGGTACCCACAATATTCGGTATTTTGATGATTCTAGCCAAATTTTTCAATGAAATTAACTGAAATTCTACACAAGAAGTTCTTCGTGACTACTTTACCACCTGAAAGAAAATTGTCTATATAGGTCTACGATATCGTACAGCCCCCATACAATGATACCCCCGATATTCGGTAATTTTTAGCCAAATTTTTCAATGAAATTGTCTGAAAATCCACAAAAAGAGTTCCTTCTCAGTACTTTACCCCCTGGAAGAGCATTATCTACATAGGTTCACAATATTGTATATCCCCCATATAACTGTACCTCCGATATTCGGTATTTTGATGATCACATTTTTTAATGAAATTTTTCTGAAAATCCACAAAAGGAGTTCCTTCTGATTACTTTACCCCCTGGAAGAGTATTGTCTACATAGGTTCACGATATTCGATATTTTGATGATTTGGCTAGAGAGAGGGTATATAGAGGGTATACCAAAACGTGCCTCATCGAAATAAAGGGTTTAGACCCTAGGTCTCTTTGGTCAAATCCGTTTCAGGATATTTGGAGTCGATCTAGGGATCGTCGTCCGACCGTGCGTCTGTCTGGCTGGCTGGTGTGCACGATAACTCTCGAAGGGAGTATCCGATTTGTTCGAAACTTGGTATATCGTAATATTATGGCCAAACTTAGATCGAGTTCGGAGATGGGCAATATCGGACCACTGCTTCTGGTACCTCGCCCACAAAAGGACAAAATTTTCAAAAAATGTATTTTATTGCAAGAGAAAGGTTCAACCGATTTTGCTCCAACTTTGCAAATCCAAATATTTGCGTCAGTGCTATGTCAGGTGCGAAAATGGACAAAATCGGTCCACTCCATCAAGTACCTCCCCCACAAATGGTCAAAATTTGGAATAATTATAACTCTATTAAAATGTGATGTAAGACTCCGATTGTCTTCAAATCACACAGATCATAATTCTTTTATTAACCCAAGGTCTGGTGTTAAGATGGAGTATACCGGACCACCCCTTCTGGTACCTCGCCCACAAAAGGTCGAAATTTTCAAAAAAAAATATATTCTGCACAGAAGGAGAAATGATAATCCGATTTTGCTCCAACTTTGCAAATCCTAATATTTGCCTCAGTTCTCAGTCAGATGCAAAAATGGATAATATCGGTCCACTCCATCGAGTACCTCCCCCCACAAAGCGTCAACATTTTAAATAAATACAACTCTTATAAAATGTGATGTAAGTATCCGATTGTCTTCAAATTACACACATCACAATATTTTTATTAACCCAAGGTCTGGTGTTAAGATGGACTATATCGGTCCACTCCTTCTGGTACCTGCCCACAAAAGGTCGAAATTATCAAAAAAATACTTTCTGCACAGAAAGAGAAACGATAATCCGATTACGCTCCAACTTTGCAAATCCCAATATTTGCCTCAGTTTTCAGTCAGGTGCGAAAATGGACAATATCGGTCCACTCCATCGAGTACCTTCCACACAAAGGGTAAAAATTTTGAATAATTATAAGTCCAATAAAATGCGATATAAGTGTCCGATTATCTTTAAATTTCACACATCCCAATATTTTTATAAACTCAATTTCTGGTGTTAAGATGGAATATATCGGTTCACTCCTTCTGGTACCTCTCCCACAAAGGATCGGAATTTTTAAATATGCATGAAGCTCAAAACAGGCGAAATTAACATCCGATTCCATTCAGACTTGGCACATCTCAATATTTCTATGAACACATGATCTGTTGTAAATATGGTAGAGATCGAACCATTCCTTCTGGTACCTCCCCCACAAAGGGTCAACGTTTTGAATAACCAAAACGATTATAAAATCCGAAATAAGCATCCGACTCTCTTCATATTTCATAAATACCATTTTTTCTGCTAAGACAAGATGTGCTGTGAAGATGGACTATATCGGTTGACTCCTTCTGGTACCTCCCCCACAATGGGTCAAAATTTTGAATATCCATGAAGCTCATAAAACGCAAAATTAACATCCGATTCCATTCAGACTTGGCACATCTGAATATTTCTATGAACACATGATCTGTTATAAAGATGGTAGAGATCGGACCATTCCTTTTGGTACCTCCCCCACAAAGCGTCAAAGTTTTGAATAACCAAAACGATCATAAAATCTGATATAAGCATGCTGTTCTCTACAAATTAAACACATCAAAATATTTTTATTAACCCAAGGTCTGGTGAGAAGATGGAATATATCGGTTCAATCCTTCTGATACCTCCCCCACAAAGGTTCGGAATTTTGAATATGCATGAAGCCTAAAACAGACGAAATTAACATCCGATTCCATTCAGACTTGGCACATCTCAATATTTCTATGAACACATGATCTGTTATAAATATGGTAGAAATCGGACCATTCCTTCTGGTACCTCCCACACAAAGGGTCAACGTTTTGAATAACCAAAACGATCATAAAATCCGAAATAAACATCCGGTTCTCTTCATATTTCATACATCCCAATGTTTCTACTAAGACAAGATGTGCTGTGAAGATGGAATATATCGGTTCACTCCTTCTGGTACCTCCCCCACAAAGTGTCGGAATTTTGAATATGCATCAAGCTAAAAAAACGCAAAATTAACATCCGATTCCATTCAGACTTGGCATATCTCAATATTTTCATCAACACAAGATCTGTTATAAAAACGGTAAAGATCGGACCATTCTTTCTGGTACCTCCCCCACTAAGGGTCAAAGTTTTGAATAACCAAAATCGATCATAAAATCTGAAATAAGCTTCCGGTTCTCTTCAAATTGCCCACATCACAATATTTCTATTAACACAAGGTATGGTGTGAAGATGGAATGTATCGGTTGACTCCTTCTGGTACCTCCTCCACAATGGGTCAAAGTTGCGAATAACCAAAACGATCATAAAATCCAAAATAAACATCCGGTTCTCTTCATATTTCACACATCCCATTGTTTCTAATAACACAAGATCTGCTGTGAAGATGGGATACATTTGTTCACTCCTTCTTGTACCTCCCCCACAAAGGGGTCAGAATTTTGAAAAACCAAAATCCTCATAAAATGCGTAATAATAATTCGATCGTTCCTAAACTTCACACATTTCAATATTTCGACTAACACAAGTTCCAGTGTGAAATTGATTGATATCGGTCAACCCCTGCTGGTACCTCCCCAACAAAGGATTCAAGATTTTGAAAAACTAAACGTTTAAATAAAACAACTCTTCAAACTCTTCAAATTTCACACATACAAACATTTTTGCTCACACAATATCTGCTGTGAAGATGATATACATATATCAGCGAACCCCTTCCGGTACCTCACCCACAAAGGGTCACAATTTTCAATACATTTATCTGTCATAACTTGCGAAATAAGACGGTGATTCTTTACAATTTGCTATATCTAAATATTTTTCTCAACCAGAAACCTGAGATGGATATGGAATTGATTGGAATTTATATTTTCGCATAAAAGTGGATATGAATTTTCGATTATCTTGTCATTTTGCCCATACCAATATTTTTATCTGTGAAGTATGAAAATGGAATACTTCGGTCGACCAATGGTTGATTATTTAAATTAATTTTGACTTCTGTTATGATTATTCGAATTGTTGACCCTCTAATGGAGTAAGTTCCGAAGGAATGGACCAATATTGTCCATTTCGTATAGGGACTAAATTAATATAATATAAATATTCCGACGTGCCAGGTTTTTACTAAATTGTTAACTTATTTTATATAAATTGAAGGAAGTAATATCCTCCAAACCTGGTACGTCCCAATATTTATATCATATTTATTTAGGTCCCAAACGAAATGGACAATATTGGGCCATTCCATCGAAACCTACTCCACAGAGGGCCAACAATTTGAATTATCATACCAAAAGTCAAAATATATTTAAATAATTGAACATTGGCAGAGGGTATACATCTATCGGCAAAACCGACTGATACTTTTTAATTTGTTTTCAATAACCAAATAATTCCCCCCTTATCCAATAAATATTTTTACTTTTCTGTCATTTTCCCTCCTCCATATTCACTTCCATCCTTCTTTTACATACTCAAAAGGATTTGTGATAGCTTATCCGACGATGATAATCCCTCAAATCCAACACATGAGTCAATTTTCTACAATTTCATAGAATTTTCTCCACAAATCCATCCCTTCCTTAGCCAAACAGGCGATTAGTGGAAAAGTGTTCTACGTCAAATTCCATTGGGTCATAGTTAGTTGCTTTGCTTACGCTTATCGACACACATGTATTCGTGTGCTGGGTGAAATCAAAACTTTACCTCCATAGTTTGCCCTTTGACACCCCCCCCACCCCTCCCTATTCCCATTATTAAAAGTTTCTTATATAAACCTGTAATTTATATTCATTCTTTACTAATGATTTCTTTGTATCTCTTTTTTTATTTCTTTACAGTATAGCGCACGCGATACCTCACCGCTGAGCGTTTATGTTATGCATCCCTTTTGGAATTGGATTGTCAAGGTAAATGCAACCACAAAAAAAACAAGCTACCTATCTGGCTGATGGGAAATAAACAAAAACCCCCCAGCTGGGGGACTGGCACAAAATAAAATAGAAAAAAAAAAAAACTATAAAACAATATGAACCTTAACAAGTCACACAAAATTATACATACGAATATGCTCTACACATTCACACGACATTTCGTTGGCATTGTTACAAAAAACAGCGAGGAGAGAAGGTTTGAAACGATGATTTCGGACTCCAAGTAAAAAAGCCTACAAGCCTGAATCCTGAATTTGTTATACCCTGAAACATATGGCTACAGATTATCATAATGCAGAGAGCCGCGTCCTTATTGCCAACCGGAGCTCTTTAGAGCAATTCCCAATCTACATTGTATACGCAGCTAAATTCCCAACCACTGACTTTTTCAGTCCAATTTCAGACAAGAGACATACAAGATTTTATATTCCTGGGCATACCAGTTATCGGAATATCTTTGTCTTGTGGAGGAGAAAGAATTAATTTTTCAAAGGCCTTTTTAGCGAGTCCATTGATTTCGGACTCTACACGCGACACGCCTGAATATTATATTGATTTTTATACCCTCAATCATATGAATACAGATTTTGATTGTCCAAATTTGCCATAGTGCAGATAAATACTTACTGACAACCGTAAAGTAGGACAACTCTTAAGAGTACTTCTCAATCTACATTGAAGGTAGATTAGCCACTGGATATTTTTGCCCAATTTCAGGCAGCCAGGAGTGCTGAAGGATGGCATTATTCACATTTCATCATTTCTGGACATTCACGTTCACATTCAATTTGTTATAACCTCAGCCATATTGCTACAGATTGCGTTTGTACAAATGAACCACAGTGTAGAGAACCACATCCTTACTGACAACCGGAGCTTTCAAAAGTATTCCCAAATTTACATTGTATATGCTGCCAAATTTCCAGCCACTGAATAATTTAGCTCTATTTTTCAAAGGATGAACCCCAGTCCCTTGATTCGAATCGGTTCATGAATCGGTTCACTCCTTCTGGTACCTCCCCGACAAAGTAACATTTTGAATATCCAAAAAGCTCATAAAGCGCAAAACTAACACCCGATACCAATTTAGACTTGGCACATCTCAATATTTCCATCAACACAAGGTCTGTTATAAAGACGGTGGAGGTCGGACCATTCCTTCTGGTACCACGCCCACCAAGGGCCAAAGTTTTGAAAAACCAAAACGATTATAAAATCCAAAAGAAGCACCGTGTTCTCTTCATATTTCTCGCATCACATTATAGCTACTAACACAAGATCTGATGTGAAGATGGGATATATAGGTGCACTCCTTTTGGTACCTCACCCACAAAGGGTCAAAATTTTGGATATCTATGAAGCTCATGAAACGCGAAACTAACATACTTTTCCATTCAATCTTCCTACATCTCAATATGTCTGTCAACACAAGATCTGTTATAAAGATGGCAGACATCGGACCATTCCTTTTGGTACCTCCCCCATAAAGGGTCAACATTTTTAATAACCAAAACGAGCATAAAATCCGACAAAAGCACCTGGTTCTCTTCACATTTCACACATCCCATCAACACAGAAACTGGAGTAAATATAGAATGTATCGTGCAGTCCTTCAGGTACCTCCCCCACAAAGTGTTCGAAATTTTGAATATCCATGAAGCTCATAATACGCCAAATTAACCTACAATTCCATTCAGACTTGGCACATCTCAATATTTTTGTCAACACAAGATCAGTTATAAAGATGGTAGAGATCGGACCATTTCTTCTGGTACCTGAAAGCGAAATAAGCATCCAAGTCTCTTCTAATTCCACACATGCAAACATATTTGCTAACGCAAGACCTGTGGTGAAGATGATATATATCTGCGAACCCAACCAGAAACTTGAGATGAATATGGAATTTATGATTTCGCATGAAATTGGATAAAAAATGTTCGATTTTCTTGTAATTTTGTCCACACCAATACTTTTATCTGTATTAGATGAAGTGTGAAAATGGAAGTCTTCGATCGACTATATCTGGTACCTCACACGCATACTTTAACATTTTCTAAAAATTATCACATATCTCATGTAAAGTAAACGAAGCAGTCGATATCACATTTATTTATGTCCGAAACGAAATCGACAATATTGGTCCATTCCTTCGGAACCTACTCCATAGAGGGTCAACAATTTGAATAATCATAATAGATATCAAAATATATTTAAATAATCGAACATTGGCTGAGTTTATGCATCTGTCGGCAAACCCGAAGTAGTCTACTTACTCCGTAGCAATATTTACATCATATTTATTTAGTTCCGATACAAAATATACAATATTGGCCAACTCCTACGGAAGCTACTCCATAGAGGATCAACTGTTTTTGGATAATCATAACATAAGTCAAAATATATTAAATAATCGAACATTGGCTGAGAGCATACCTCTGTCGGTGTAAAACCGACTGATACTTTTTAATTGGTCAGCGTAAAATTCACAGCCGATTTAGCGATGTCCGTCTGTATGTTTGTTGTAATCACGCTATCTTTCGAACGAAATATCGACATTTTCGAGAATTTAAAATAAGTCCATTTATCAAAAAAGGCTCCTCGAGGTCTCTGTCCCTCCTTCAAAATGAAATTCTTCTTTTCCTTTCATAAAAATACTTTGCTGACAAATAGACCACGCCGCTATCAACTTTCCGCCGGAGGTATTGTAAAAATAACATTTTGAAATTTACTCATTGATGGTGATGATTAATAAATCGTCTATTCACAGAGACGACACACCATGCGACAGCAACAACGACACAATATTTATTACGTATTTATAACGTGACACATGCGGGGCATTAGCATGTCGGTGGGGAAAACAGCAACGTGTGTGAAAACATCACAATCTATATTTATGATAGCATTTATTTGCGATAACATGCACGCACGCAAAAGGGGATTCCGTAGAACATTTTTTTTTTATAGATTTATAACAAACGATAATTGTTAAAAACACATTTTGAAATTTTAATTGAAATATTTTTTAGGTGGTTTTTAAATATTTTCATTGACCCTACACCATGTATAGGCATTATAGGGGAGTTTTCTATAAAGAGTACGTTTGGAAAATTTTATTTTGGAACGTGAAGGCAGGTGAATATTTAAATGGTTGTAATAATTCGGTCGAAATCGAAAAATTCTTGGAGAAATTAGGGTGGAAAAAAAAAGGACAAAGTTTATCAAAAAAAAAAAAAAAAAAAAAAAAAAAAAAAGTCAGGAGAAGCTGCTAAAATTATTAAAACATTTAAAAAAGTATCAGTCAGTTTAACCGAAAGATGTATACACTCAGCCAATGTTCGATTATTTAAATATATTTTGACTTCTGTTCTGATTTTTCAAATTGTTGACCCTCTATGGTGTAGGCTCCGAAGGAATGGACTAATATTGCCCATTTCGTATCGGACATAAATTAATATGATATAAATATATCGACTTGCCAGGTTTGGACTATATCGACTACTTCCTTCACTTTATATGAGATATGTGATAATTTTTTTTTGAAAATATTAAAATGTGCGTGAGGTAGCAGATATATTCGACCAAAGTATTTCTTTTTCACACTGCATCTAATACAGATAAAATTATTGGCGTGGACAAAATTACAAAAAAATCGAACATTCCTATCCAATTTTATGCGAAATCAATAACTCAATATTCATCTCAGGTTTCTGGTTGAGAGAAATATTTAGTTGTAAAGAATCGCTGACTTATGACAGATAAAAGTATTGAAAATTGTGACCCTTTGTGGGTGTAGGTACCAGAAGGGCTTCGCAGATATATATATATCATCTTCACAACAAATCTCGTGTCAAATTTGAAGAGAGTTGGATGATTATTTCGTTTTCTTTGAGCGTTTGTTTCTTTAAAATCTTGAACCCTATGTTGGGGAGGTACCAGCAGGAGTTGACCGATATCAATCAATTTCACGCTGGAACTAGAAATATTGAAATGTGTAAAGTTTAGAAACGATCGAATTATTATTTCGCATTTTATGAGCGTTTTGGTTTTTCAAAATTTTGATCCCTTTGTGGGGGAGGTACCAGAAGGAGTGGATCGATATTGCCCATCTTCACAGCAGATCTTGAGTTCATAGAAATAATGGGATGTGTGAAATTTTAAGGGAAACGGATGCTTATTTCGGATTTTATAAACATTTTTGTTATTCGAAACGTGAAATATGAAGAGAACCGGATGTTTATTTTGGTTTTTATGATCGTTTTGGTTATTCATAACTTTGACCCATTGTGGGGTGGGTACCAGAAGGAGTGGTCCGATCTCCACCATCTTTATAACAGATCTTGTGTTGATGGAAATATAGAGATGTGCCAAGTTTAAATGAAGTCGGATGTCAATTTTGCGTTTTACGAGCTTTACGGATATTCAAAATGTTGACCCTTTGTGGGGGAGGTACCAGAAGGAATGGTTTGATCTCTAGCATCTTTATAACAGATCTTGTGTTGATGGAAATATTGAGATGTACCAAGTCTGACTGGAATCCAATTTTCATTTCGCGTTTTATGAGCTTATGAATATTCAAAATGTTGACCCTTTGTGGAGGAAGTGCCTGAAGGAGATGCTTATTTCGGGTTTTATGGTCCTTTTGGTTATTCAAAATTTTGACCCTTTGTGGGGGAGGTACCAGAAGAAATGGTCCAATCTCTATCATCTTTATAACAGATCTTGCGTTGATGGAAATATTGAGATGTGCCAAGTCTGAATGGAGTCGGATGTTAATTTCTGGTTTTATAAGCTTCATAGATACTCAAAATTTTGACCCTTTGTGGGGGAGGTACCAGAAGGAGTGGACGGATATATCCTATCTTCACAGCAAATCTTGTGTTAATAGAATATGCGACCTGTATTTTTTTTTTACAAAAAATACATGGAAAGACGATCGGAACAGACAGACGGACATATATAAATCGACTTAGAATGTGATTCTATGCGGATCATGAAAAGGATCCACGGGTCTATCTCGTTTTCCTCTGCAAGTAACAAAAAATGCACAAAGACATAAAACCCTAATCACGGTGTGGTTTGGGGTTTAACAAGTAAGAGGCAGCTAAGTTCCGCCAGGCCAAACCTTTTATGCCCCCACCATTCGAAAGGGGCTTAAAAATTGAAAAAAAAAACATTTAAAAATACCGCTCAAATGAAAATCTTTATATGGGAGCTATACGAAGACGTAATTTTTTGTCATAGGCTGTTGTAACGATTCCGAACTTCAAATACGAAATTCGAAACAATTTCGGTGAATAATGTCGCTAAAATCATCGAATTTCAAATAAAGGGAAGTACCGTAGTATGGGGGTTATTCTAAGAAGTGGACCTGTATAGGCAATTTTTCGTCATAGGTTGTAGTACCCATTACGAACTTCAGATGCGAAATTTGACGAAATTCCGCCGAATAATGTCGCAAAAATCCTGGAAATACTGAATATTTCGGGGTAGTGTTATATGGGTGCTATACTAAAACGTAGACCTATATAGTCAATTCTCTTCCAGGGGGGTAAAGTACTCACAGAGAACTTCTTGTGCGGATTTTCAGACAGTGCCATTGAAAAATGTGGTTAAAATCATCAAAATACCGAATATCGGGAGATACAGTTATATAGGAGATATACGATATCGTGGACTTATATCGACAATTTTTTTCAGGGGGTAAAGTAATAACGAAGAACTCCTTGTGTAGAATTTCAGATAATTCCATTAACAAATGCGGCTAAACTCATTAAAATACCGAATATCGGGAGATACAATTATATTGGAGATATACGATATCGTGGACCTATATAGACAATTATTTTTCAGGAGGTAAAGTAGTCACGAAGAACTCCTTGTGTAAAATTTCAGACAATGCCATTGAAAAATGTGGTTAAAATCATCAAAATACCGAATATCGGGAGATACAGTTATATTGGAGATATACGATATCGTGGACCTATATCGCCAATTATTTTTCAGGGGGTAAAGTAGTCACGAAGAACTCTTTGTGTAAAATTTCAGACAATTCCATTAACAAATGTAGCTAAAATCATCAAAATGCCTAATATCGGGGGGTACCGTTATATGAGGGCCATACCCATCTTCGAACTTCACCTACCGGCAGACAAAAGACAGATTTTAGCTTCCTATCTTTATTGATTTTCACTCTAGCATGATTAAAACAGACGGATAGATGGACGGACGGACGGACAGGGCTAAATCGTCTTACAATTTTACGCTGATCAAGAAGTTCGAAGAGTTACAAACGGACATATAAGTGTGGAGGGTAAAAAACGGTAATTTTTTAAAAATAAAAATCCCAAAATCAGTTGCTTGACAGGTATTTAAAAAAAAAATAAAAATTTTTGGTTATTAAATTCGACCTTTATTTTAAATTATTTCAAATCTATAGCTCGTCGATATAAAACCCAACGTCTTTTGTCCTTAAAAAATATTTTTCCATAAATATTCTTCTCTCCATAGAGTAGGTCATCTATCCAAAAAACATTTAAATTTTAAAAACCTACCATTAAATTTTTAAACTACGAGTGGGCTAGCGGTGTATTCGAAGAGCCCCCCACCCCCCACCATACTCACATGGTAACCGAGTACAAAAATTAAAATCAATACAGTGTCCTTATTTTTTTCAACAACAAAAGTTACACAAAACAAAAAAAAAATGTAAACTGAAATAACTTTTGAAAACACGCACACATATATATACACACTAATACACGTTTATAAATTTTTACACACCCATTCTCACATGCATTTCAAAATTGTTTTCTTCTCCCCCTTTCCAGTTCTTTCCACGATGGCTGGCACCGAATGTTATGACCTTTTTGGGATTCCTTTGTACAGCTTTGAATTTCCTGCTACTCTCCTATTACGATTGGAATTTCTATGCCAGTTCCGGACTGGAGGGTACACAGCCCATTCCCTCATGGGTATGGCTATGCACAGCCATAAACATATTTCTCGCCTACACTCTGGATGGCATCGATGGCAAACAGGCACGACGCATTGGCCTATCCGGTCCGTTGGGTGAACTCTTTGATCATGGATTAGATTCGTACACAGCTGTATTGATACCGACGTGTTTGTATAGTATATTTGGTCGTTCGCCTGTGTACTCGGTGGCGCCCATACGCATGTACTATGTATGCTGGATGGTGTTCTTTAATTTCTATGTCTCCCATTGGGAGAAGTACAATACTGGTGTGCTATATCTGCCGTGGGGCTATGATCTCAGCATGTGGGGCTCTACAGCTATGTACCTGATCACATGGTGGTTTGGTTTTGAATTCTGGAAACGTGAACTGCCATTTGGCATACCGTTGGGTAATGCCATGGAATTTCTGCTGCACTTCAGTGCAATGGCCAATACCCCGATGGTGGTGGTGAATATTTACAAGTAAGAGATAATGGATTTTTTAATTTTCGATTTTTCTATAATTATTTATACCTCTCGTTCGCTTTCAGTTCTTATGTCCAGCGCACGGGTAAAATGAGATCATTCAAGGAAGCCATACGACCCCTGTGGCCGTTACTGGCCTTTATGGTCTTGCTGCTGGTGTGGCCTTTCATCTCACCCAATGATATTATGGAACGGGATCCCCGAGTCTTGTTTATGCTGAGCGGCACAATATTTTCAAACATAAGTGTAAGTTCCTAAAAATCCTTTGTTAATCCTTATTCTTAGGAATAATTAAATCTGTGGGTCCTTGAATTTTTTTTTTTAAAATTCCACATTCGATTGGTCCTTGAAAAAATATTTTTTTAAAAAATCCACGTTTGATTGGTGCTTGAAAAAATATTTTTTTTAAAAAATCCACTTTTGATTGGTTCTTGAAAAAATTATTTTTTAAAAAATCCACGTTTGATTGGTTCTTGAAAAAATATTTTTTAAAAAAATCCACGTTTGATTGGTTCTTGAAAAAATATTTTTTAAAAAAATCCACGTTTGATTGGTTCTTGAAAAAATATTTTTTAAAAAAATCCACGTTTGATTGGTTCTTGAAAAAATATTTTTTTAAAAAATCCACGTTTGATTGGTTCTTGAAAAAATATATTTTTAAAAAATCCACGTTTGATTGGTTCTTGAAAAAATATTTTTTTAAAAAATCCACGTTTGATTGGTTCTTGAAAAAATATATTTTTAAAAAATCCACGTTTGATTGGTCCTTGAAAAAATATATTTTTAAAAAATCCACGTTTGATTGGTTCTTGAAAAAATTTTTTTTTAAAAAATCCACGTTTGATTGGTTCTTGAAAAAATATTTTTTTAAAAAATCCACGTTTGATTGGTTCTTGAAAAAATATTTTTTTAAAAAATCCACGTTTGATTGGTTCTTGAAAAAATATATTTTTAAAAAATCCACGTTTGATTGGTTCTTGAAAAAATATTTTTTTAAAAAATCCACGTTTGATTGGTTCTTGAAAAAATATATTTTTAAAAAATCCACGTTTGATTGGTTCTTGAAAAAATGTATTTTTAAAAAATCCACGTTTGATTGGTTCTTGAAAAAAATGTTTTTTAAAAAATCCACGATTGATTGGTTCTTGAAAAAATATTTTTTAAAAAATCTACGTTTGATTGGTTCTTGAAAAAATATTTTTTAAAAAATCTACGTTTGATTGGCACTTGAAAAAATATTTTTTAAAAAAATCCACGTTTGATTGGTTCTTGAAAAAATATTTTTTTAAAAAATCCACGTTTGATTGGTTCTTAAAAAAATATTTTTTTTAAAAATCCACGTTTGATTGGTTCTTGAAAAAATATTTTTTTAAAAAATCCACGTTTGATTGGTTCTTGAAAAAATATTTTTTTAAAAAATCCACGTTTGATTGGTTCTTGAAAAAATATTTTTTTAAAAAATCCACGTTTGATTGGTTCTTGAAAAAATATTTTTTTAAAAAATCCACGTTTGATTGGTTCTTGAAAAAATATTTTTTTAATAAATCCACGTTTGATTGGTTCTTGAAAAAATATTTTTTTAAAAAATCCACGTTTGATTGGTTCTTGAAAAAATATTTTTTTAAAAAATCCACGTTTGATTGGTTCTTGAAAAAATATTTTTTTAAAAAATCCACGTTTGATTGGTTCTTGAAAAAATATTTTTTTAAAAAATCCACGTTTGATTGGTTCTTGAAAAAATGTTTTTTAAAAAATCCACGATTGATTGGTTCTTGAAATAATATTTTTTAAAAAATCCCCGTTTGATTGGTTCTTGAAAAAATATTTTTTAAAAAATCTACGTTTGATTGGCCGTTGAAAAAATATTTTTTAGAAAAATCCACGTTTGATTGGTACTTGAAAAAATATTTTTTAAAAAATCCACGTTTGATTGGTACTTGAAAAAATATTTTTTAAAAAATCCACGTTTGATTGGTACTTGAAAAAATATTTTTTAAAAAATCCACGTTTGATTGGTACTTGAAAAAATATTTTTTAAAAAATCCACGTTTGATTGGTTCTTGAAAAAATATTTTTTAAAAAATCCACGTTTGATTGGTTCTTGAAAAAATATTTTTTTTTAAAAAATCCACGTTCGATTGGTTTTTGAAAAATATTTTTTAAAAAATCCACGTTTGATAGGTCCTTGAAAAATGTATTTTTAAAAAATCCACGTTTGATTGGTCGTTGAAAAAATATTTTTTAAAAAATCCACGTTTGATTGGTCTTTGAAAAAATATTTTTAAAAAATTCACCTTTTATTGGTCCTTGAAAAAATATTTTTTTAAAAAATCATCGTTTGATTGGTCTTTGAAAAAATATTTTTTAAAAAATCAACGTTTGATAGGTCCTTAAAAAAATATTTTTTAAAAAATCCACGTTTGATAGGTCCTTAAAAAATTTTTTTTTAAAAAATCCACTTTTGATTGGACCTTAAAAAAAATATTTTTTTAAAAAATCCACGTTTCATTGGTCCTTGGAAAAATATTTTTTTTTTAAAAAATCCAGGTTTGATTGGTCCTTGATAAAATATTTTTTAAAAAAATCCACGTATGATTGGTCCTTGAAAAAATATTTTTTAAAAAATCCACGTTGGTCCTTAAAAAAATATTTTTTAAAAAATCCACGTTGGTCCTTAAAAAAATATTTTTAAAAAAATCCACGTTGGTCCTTAAAAAAATATTTTTAAAAAAATCCACGTTGGTCCTTAAAAATATTTTTTAAAAAATCCACGTTGGTCCTTAAAAAAATATTTTTAAAAAAATCCACGTTGGTCCTTAAAAATATTTTTTAAAAAATCCACGTTGGTCCTTAAAAAAATATTTTTAAAAAAATCCACGTTGGTCCTTAAAAATATTTTTAAAAAAATCCACGTTGGTCCTTAAAAAAATATTTTTTAAAAAATCCACGTTGGTCCTTAAAATAATATTTTTTAAAAAATCCACGTTGATCCTTAAAATAATATTTTTTAAAAAATCCACGTTGATCCTTAAAAAAATATTTTTTAAAAAATCCACGTTGGTCCTTAAAAAAATATTTTTTAAAAAATCAACGTTGGTCCTTGAAAAAATATTTTTTTAAAAAATCCTCGTTTGATTGGTTCTTGAAAAAATATTTTTTAAAAACTCCACGTTTGATTACTCCCATAAGTGTAAGTTCCTAAAAGCCCCTTTAGCCATAATTTTTCTAAGGAAAACTGACAAGGTTTTTATTTTCGCTGCTTATCGCTTTCGCGCTCCATTGATTTCCAATTTGTTTTGCTTACGCTTCGTTGTGACTCGTTCCCATTCAAGTACCTTTTTATTAACCATCCTAAATCAATAGTCCCACACTTGCGATAACAAAATGATTCACAGTTGTTGTCGTTGGCTTTACTTTGTTTTTCTATTACCACCAAAGGTGATTTCATTTAATGTCCATTGAAGTGCTTATTTGTGGCATAGCAATGCCAACGGAATTGGCGATAAGATTTATTTCCCAATAAAAAACGTGACGAATGGGTTGTTTGGTGGAATTTCTACAACAGCAAAGGGCCTTTGAAAAACTATTCCTGAAAAATAAATTTCGAATGAAAAAAAAAAAATTAAATAGTTTGAGCTTTAATATTCTCAATAAATTATTAAGAAATAAAAATATAATAAAAAATAAGCAAAGGCTATAGTCGTACGAGGCCGACTCTTTGATATCCTACAACACGACAATATATTGGGAAACCCCTTTTTAGGTCCAAACCCATTTTAGTCGAAGCTTTTATATCCTCAGCCATATGGCTGGAGATGGTATATATTATTTGATACGGCCAAAAGGTGCCTAGTCGAAATAAGGTTTTAGACCCTCTACCTTTTTGGACCAAATCCGTTTCAGGACATTTGGAGTCGATATAGCGATGTCCGTCCGTCCGCCTGTCTGGCTGATGCGCACGATAACTCTCGAAGGGAGTATCCGATTTCATCCAAACTTGGTACATCGTAATATTATTATCAAACTTAAATCGAGTTCGGAGATGGGCAATATCGTCCCACCCCTTGTGGTAGCTCCCCCACAAAAGATCAAAATTTTGTAAAAAAATGTACTGCACAGAAGGAGAAGACATAATCCGATTCCGCTCCAACTATGCTTATCTTCATATTTGTATCAGTGCTAGGTCAGGTGAGAAAATGGACTATATCGGTACACTCCATCAAGTATCTTCCTCACAAAGGCTCAAAATTTTTAATAATTATAACTCTTATAGAATGTGATATAAGTATCAGATTGTCTTCAAATTACACACATCACAATATTTTTAGCAGCCCAAGATCTGGTGTGAAGATGGAATATATCGGTTCACTCTTTCTGGAACCTCCCCCACAAAGGGTCAAAATTTTGATTATTTATGAAGCTCATAAAACAAATTTTTAGGAACAAATAAACCACGTTTATTTGTTCCTAACAATTTTTTTTTTAAATCCACGCTTTATTGGTTCTTGAAAAAATATTTTTTTTTAAAAATCCACGCCTGATTGGTCCCTAAAAAAATATTTTGTTAAAAAAAATATTTTTTAAAAAATCTACGTTTGATTGGTCTTTGAAAAAATATTTTTATAAAAATCCATGTTTGACTGTTAGTTAAAAAAATATTTTTTAAAAAATCTACGTTTGATTAGTCTTTGAAAAAATATTTTTATAAAAATCCATGTTTGACTGTTACTTAAAAAAATATTTTTTAAAAAATCAACGTTTGATTAGTCTTTGAAAAAATATTTTTATAAAAATCCATGTTTGACTGTTACTTAAAAAAATATTTTTTAACAAATCCATGTTTGACTGTTACTTAAAAAAATATTTTTTAACAAATCCACGTTTGATTGTTACTTAAAAAAATATTTTTTAAAAAATCCACTTTTGGTGGAAAATATTTTTTAAAAAAATCATGCTTGATTGTTACTTAAAAAAATATTTTTTAAAAAAATCATGCTTGATTGTTACTTAAAAAAATATTTTTTAAAAAATCCACGTTTGATTGTTACTTAAAAAATATTTTTTAAAAAATCCACGTTTGATTGTTACTTAAAAAAATATTTTTTAAAAAATCCACGTTTGATTGTTACTTAAAAAATATTTTTTAAAAAATCCACGTTTGATTGTTACTTAAAAAAATATTTTTTTAAAAATCCACTTTTAATTGTTACTTAAAAAAATATTTTTTTAAAAATCCACGCTTCTATGGGTCTTTGAAAAAATATTCTTTAAAAAATCCACGTTTGATTGATCCCTAAAAAAATATTTTGTTTTAAAATCCACGCTTCTATGGGTCTTTGACAAAATATTTTTTAAAAAATCTACGTTTAATTGATCCTTAAAAAAATATTTTTTAAAAAATCAACGTTTGAATGGTCTTTGAAAAATTTTTTTTTAAAAATTCTACGTTTAATTGATCCTTAAAAAAATATTTTTTAAAAAATCAACGTTTGAATGGTCTTTGAAAAATTTTTTTTTAAAAAATCTACGTTTAATTGATCCTTAAAAAAATATTTTTTAAAAAATCAACGTTTGAATGGTCTTTGAAAAAATATTTTTTTTTAAATCCACGCTTCTATGGTCCTTTGAAAAAATATTCTTTAAAAATCCACGCTTCTATGGGTCTTTGAAAAAATATTTTTTAAAAAATCTACGTTTAATTGATCCTTAAAAAAATATTTTTTAAAAAATCAACGTTTGAATGGTCTTTGAAAAAATATTTTTTTTAAATCCACGCTTCTATGGTCGTTTGAAAAAATATTCTTTAAAAATCCACGCTTTTATGGGTCTTTAAAAAAATATTCTTTAAATATCCACGTTTGATTGATGCTTGAAAGAATATTCTATAAAAAATCCACCATTGATTGGCCCTTAAAAAAATATTTTTTAAAAAATCCACGTTTGATTGTTCCTTGGAAAATAATTTTTTAAAAAATCCATGTTTAAATAAATTTTCCCTTTTATATTTTTATTTAAAAATTTGTAATAACCTCAATTTTTTTCTTCTTACAGTGCCGTCTAATTGTGGCCCAAATGTCCAATACCCGCTGTGAGAGTTTCCACTGGATGACACCAATCTATGTGATTTGCATAGCACTGGGCCTGTGGCTGCCATTCCTCGAACGTTTCATGTTGTATTTCCTCTTCATCATTACCACCCTTAGCCATTGGCATTATGGCGCTGCCGTGGTGAATCAAATGTGTGAACATTTCAATAGGATTTGTTTCAGTGTACATATGCGACAACCTGCCGGCGCTGCCAATAAAAAGGCCAAAATCAATGGCCAAAGCTCAATGGATTCAGCCACAACAACAGCACTGACAACAAGTACAACAAATGACACATTAGCATCATCATCCTCAGCAACAGCAAATTCTTCCAATTTAGAGACCTCATCTTCACAAAAATTAGAATAATATTTTTTTAATGTTTAAGAAGCTCGCTTTTGTAAAGAAAAATTATTTTAAAATTATTTTTTTTTTTATTTTAATTTTTAAAAATTTGTTTGCAAAGTATTTTTTTTGTTTTATTTAGTTTAATTTATTTTATTTATTATTTTGTAGTTTATAACTTAACGAACCAAGAAGATCATTTATGAGAAATTTCAGGGTATTATGTTCGTTTTATGTGTAATGAGGCTATTCTGAGATTCAATACCATTCTGCTTTACATATTTCATTTATATATAAATATGTCATTGTGATTTAGTTTGCTTGTAATTGTATAATTTTTCCTTATTAGAATATCGATGAAGAGATGTGTATTGTATTTTCTATTCTCAGTCCTAATGTAATTGTCAGTTTGCTATAACACATTTTTTTTAAAACTAGAACAGCATCATTTCTTTTGCCTAGAAGAAACAAACGCTTATTTTTTTTTAAATTTATTATTATTTTTTTTTAGTTTTTTCCTGTAATTTTTTTATTTTATTTATTTTTTCATTTTTCCTTCTCGAATCTTTGGTTCCTTTTCGTATTTTAAATTTCAGGATTGTCTTGGAAGTCACTTTAGGATTTTCTAGTTAACAAAGATTCTGTTTCTTTTGAGTCTCAAATATTTGAGTCTTCCAAAACAATCCTGTAAAATTTGTATAAAACAAATTGAGTACTCGTTTAATCAATTATGATGATTAATAAATCCAAAAAAAACTTAAAATGAAAATATATCCTCTCCTTATTCTCTATAAACCTCCTTGGCTGTATTCTTTCCTACCCATATATATTTAGAGTTACCTATTTGAAAAAAAATATTTTAACAGAAAATATTTATTTTTTCAATAATCCCGCACTTCAATAGTCCCAAGAAACCCGCAAAAATTAAATGAACCCTTTATCACCAAACATAACCTCAAAATCAAGCTCCCCATTTTTGTTAACAGGAACATAACCAAGGCATAATTGAAAATTATCTTGAAAAAAAGATTATTTTCAAGGTCTTCTATTTTTTTTTATAAAATTTCCTATTTTAAGGAGATGTGTGAATTTGAATTTTTAGACAACTTGTAAGATTTTCTATTTTAAGAAGATGTGTGAATTTGAATTTTAAGAAACCTGGTAAAAGGTCTTTTATTAGCCAAGACATGTCTTTGAAAATACATCCCCATCCTTCTACGCTATTCTCCTTCCTATCCAAGTATTTAGAGTAACCTATTTTAACAATTTTTTCCTATAATCCAAGACATTAATAGTCCAAAGAAAACCGCACAAATTAAATGACCTTTTTAACACCAAACATAACCTCAAAATAGACCCCCTATTTTTTGTTAACAAAAACTAAACCAAGACAAAATTAAAACTTATTTTTGAAAATAAATTATTTTTAAGGTCTTCTATTTTTTTTTTTTTTTTTTTTTTTTTTTTTTTTTTTTTTTTTGTAAGATTTTCTATTTTAAGAAGATGTGTGAATTTGAATTTTTAGACACCTGGTAAAAGATCTTGTTTTGAGCGTAGACAAGTCTTTGAAAATACATCCATTTCTTAATCTCTATAAACCTCCTATGCTGCTCTCCCTTCTATCCATGTATTTAGGGTAACCTATTTTAACAAAAACAGTTAATTTTCCTATAGTCCAAGACGTCAAAAGTCCAAAGAAAACCGCACCAATGAAATGAACATTTTAACACCAAACATAACCTCAAAATCAACCGCAATTTTTGTTAACAGAAACAAAACCAAGGCAAAATTGAAAAATATCTTTGAAAATAGATTATTTTTAAGCTCTTCTATTTTTTTTGTAAAATTTTATATTTTAAGAAGATGTGGAAATTTGAATTTCTAAACACCTCATAAAAGGTCTTGTATGTGCCTAGGCAAGTCTGTGAAAATACATCCCCTTCTTATTCTCTAAAAACCTCCTTTTCTGTTCTCCTTCCTATCCATGTATTTAGAGTTCCCTATTTGAAAAAAAATTTTAAATTGTTTTTTCCCATTATCCAAGACGTCAATAGACCCTAGAAAATCGCACAAAATAAATGAACCCTTTAACACCAAACATAACCTCAAAATCAACCCCCATTTTTTGTCAACAAAAAACCAAGCCAAGGCAAAATTGAAATTTATCTTTGAAAATAGATTATTTTAAAGGGACTTCAATTTTTTGTAAGATTTTCTATTTTAAGAAGATGTATGAATTTGAATTTATAGACACCTGGTAAAAGGTCTTCTATTGAGCCTAGACAAGTCTTTGAAAATACATCACCTTCTTATTCTCTATAAACCTCCTATGCTGTTCTCCTTCCTATCCATGTATTTAGGGTAACCTATTTTAACAAAAATATTTATTTTTTCAATAATCCCAGACTTCAATAATACCAAGAAAACCGCACAAATTAAATGAACCCTTTTAACACCAAACATAACCTCAAAATCATCATCCCCTTTTAGTTAACAAAAACTAAAAAACCAGGGCAAAATTGAAAATTTATCTTTGAAAATAGATTATTTTTAAGGTCTTCTATTTTTTTGTAAGATTTGAATTTCTAGATACCTCGTGAAAGTTCTTCTATTGAGCCTGGACAAGTCTTTCTTGGACGGAATCATATCGCTCATTTACCTAAAGATTGAGACATCTCGAAAAATTAGGCCATATGTGTTGGAAGGAGTTAACCAGTGTCTGGATTCTTGTTCGAGAAAATATGAAATGCAATCTTTTTTTTTTTTTGAGTAAAGAAATGTAAATTGAAAAATTTTCTTAAGAAAATATTTTTACCCTGCTCCACAAGCTGCTCAGGATATTATGTCATTGCGCATTTGTTTGTAACAGGCAAAAGGAATCGAGATAGACCCACCATATTTCCTTTTAATGATCTGCATAGAATCACATTCTGAGTCGATTTATGCATGTCCGTTCATCCGTCTGTCTGCCCATGCATTTTTGTGAACAAAGTACAGGTCGCATTTATTGCCCGATCCAAATGAAATTTTGCACAAGTCATTTGTTTGACCCAAGAACGAACCCAATTAAAATTGGAGATAATCGGTCAAAATTTCGATATAGCTCCCATACATAACTTCGTCCGATTTGCCAAACGTGTAATATCAGCATATGCATATACGACAAAATTAAGCCTGGAAACGAGTATGTCAAATTTGGTGAAAATCGGCTCAGGTATATAATTAATTTTGCCCTCCGCAGCCGTAATATGCACTTCGTATCAACGATTTTGGGGAAATATATCAAATACAGCTCAGAAATACGTCTGCTCCCATATTTATCTTCGTCCGCTTTTTATTGTGCAAACAAATGTGTAATATTAGCCCAAATGGGATGGAATTTGGCACTAATGACTAAATTGAGCCTAGAAACAATTATGTCAAATTTGTTTCGGAGATCGAGTTCGGAAATGGGCAATATCGGTCCACTCCTTGTACCTCCCACACAAAATGTCAACATTTTTTAAAGAAAATTAAACTCTTATAAAATGTGATGTGAGAGTCCGATTGTGATGTAAGAGTCAAATTACGCACATCACAATATTAGTATTAATGTGAATATGGAAAATATCGGTTGATTCCTTGTGGTACCTCCCCCACAAAGGGGGGATCATAAAATCCAAAATAAGCATTTGGTTCTCTTCAAATTACACACATCACAATATTTTTATTAGCCCAAGGTCTTATGTAAAGATCGAATATATCGGTCCAGTCCTTCTAGTACCTCCCCCACAAAAGGTCACAATTTTGAATATTCATGAAGCTCATAAAACACGATATTTTCATCCAATTCCATTCATACTTGGTACAGATGGTAGAGATCGGACCATTCCTTCTGGTACCCCCCCAAAAAAGGGTAAATTTTTAAATAACAAAAACGAAAATCCAAAAGAAGGATCTGGTTATATTCATATTTCGCACATCCCATTATTTCCACTAAAACAAGATCTGCTGTGAAGATGGGATATATTGCTCCACTCCATCTGGTACCTTCCCCACAAAGGCTCGATATAAAATCTAAATCTTATAAATTTTAATATTTTTATCAGACTTAGATCAGATACAAAATTGAAATTGGCCCACTTCTTCTGAGCCTCTCCTATGAAGGATCAACGCAAGTAAAAAAATATTTTAATACCAGAACATTGGCTGAGGGTATGCATCTGTTGGCAATACTGACTGACTTCATTTAACTTGTTAAATATTTTTGATATTGTACTGTACTTTTTGATACTGTACTGTAAGTTACCTGCCTGTCTCAATTGTCCCATTGGCTTGAATAGACATAAAGTTGTATTGCTATGTTCGCCATATGTTCCTTTGCATTTGATGCTATCTGAAGAATTTCGCATTTGACTATCATTGACTCCATGAATGTTTTTGTTGTTAATAACACGCTTTTCTCTTTCTTTCAATATTTTTCAGCTATTTTAACCTCCTACTATCAAGTCTAAAATAATGGAATATCAATTCGACATGGAGTAGCCAATCGTAATACGATTTTCGGAAAAAGAATGTATGTTCCAAAAACAATAAATCTCTACAATACTAATACCTATCGGATAGTCCAACCCCGAATATTACAGCCAGAGCCGAATACGGCTTTAGAGTGGCTTGATCTGTCACCCTGGGGAAGTAGCCGAATTTTTAAATTTGAAGACGGAGCAGTATCGGATTAGTGAAAATTAGAATGATTAAGATTCGGAATTTTCGGAAACTCAAAGGCCAGCTAGACTGGCAACAAGACTGGGGGCTTATCACTAAAATATTTTGAAATACAGTTTCAATCTCGATCCTGCTTTCTTGCAATAGAAAATAGGTTAGGATTTTTGGTTTTTTGTTGATTTTTCCATTCGGTTTTTTTGTGATTGATAGTCGAAACACTCTGTGCTTTGAATAATTTTGGTCCATTTTGTTCTTCTTAATAATTAAGAAAGGACAGGAAGGAAGGAAGGCAGGCGGTTGGTTTTCTAGGGACTTGGCAAAGAACTCCAGTCCTCGGCATTTAATTCATTCATGATTCAACCAAGACTACCGAATGAATATTTATGCAACAGATTTCGATAAGTACCCAAAAAGGACCAACAAGGAAGTGTAAGACTACGTCTACAGGAGACCGAAATAAGCGCCCGATTCTCTTAATATTTCAAACATCACTATATTTTTATTAACTCAAGGTCTGGTGTGAAATGGAGATATATCGGTCCACTCCTTCTGGTACCTTCCCACAGAGTATCGAAGACTGTTGCAAATGGCCTAAAAAAGTACTCCGGCAA